GACACAGGTCTCACTCGGCTAAAATCAAGGTGTGTTTTTATCCAGAGGCAGTGGGAAAGAATCCCTTTCCTTGCTTTTTCTAGTTTCCGGGGTCCACTTCCTTCTCTGTCTTGAGAGCCAGGAATGTCAGAACAAGTCCTTCTCTTGCCGGTATCTTGCTGCCCCCACCCCTCATTCTCTCTCCCTCTCTTCCACCTTCCTCTTCGACTTTTAAAGACTCTTAAAGTTACACAGGACCCACCTGGAGAGCTCAGGCTAATTGCCCCATCTCAAGGTCAGCTGATTTGAACCAGAATTCTATCTGCCTCCTTAATTTCCCTTTGCTGTGTAACATAACATAGTCCCAGGCGATGGAGGTTAGGGCATGGATATCTTCTGGGGTCATTATTCTTGCTTCCCACGGAGGTTGAACAGCTTCCTTTTAAGGTCGTGTCCTTGAAGTCGCACATAACACTCTCACAAATATCCTCCCGGCTAGAATTCAGTCACATGGTCACACTGAACTGCCAAGGAAGCTGAGAAGTAGTTTCTCTAACTAGGCAGCCACGTGCCTGTTTAGAAATGGAGGAGTCCTATTCCCAAAAGAAAGAAGGAAGACAGTAGATACTGGACAGCAATTATTTTGGTTTCCCTTCATCTTGCCACCTTGGTGCTATGGGTAAAGGGCACTTAACTCCTGGCCCCGAGCTGCCTCTCACCTGAGACTGGTTTCTAATTTAGGAGAAGATAGAATTGTTACCTTAATGGACCATCATAGTGATGTTTCCTGATCTTCACAATGATTTTCTGATGAGACTAGATGGTTTGCCAATGTTTCTTTCTGACCTCTGGTAACAGGGCTTCCTCACATTTACCGGCCACAGACTCCATGTGTGACAGACCTGGTACGCTCTCCGCCATCTTGCTCTCCCTTCCACAGTCACAGTCACCGATCCTGTCTGCTGCCCTGTCACTGAGTGTTGCCTGTGTCAGTCTCTATTGAGCCCGGCCACTACGCCCCATCTCAATCCTGACTCTCTTATCTCCTGCCCTTCCCTCCACCGCTGCTCTGAGACGCATGGAGTTCAGTGTAGACTTCTCTGTTCCAGTCCCTCACACACCACGACAGACTTCCCAGTGCTGGGCAGATGTGGTTGGTGTGCACTCACCTCAAGCCTAGGAAACTATTAGAGTCATTATAACAGAAGCAAAGACCATGTATTCATGTTGATGTAAGGCAGAGCCGTGAGCTCTTTCCTGAAAACTGACAGAGGCTTCTCGATGCAGAATACACAGATCTAAAACCAAGAGAGGGGGAAAATCTGACACTCTTTGCAATTACATTCAAATGCCTCACAGGCAAAATTTTATTCCCTATACCTGACTTTGGGCTCCAGTCTCTAAGGAAGTATGTTTTTACTAGATGACACAACAGTTGCACCATTGAATTAGAAACCTACCAATAACCAGCTCTTTCGGGATAAACAGGCCAAAGAAGGGGGGATTATCATTTTGATTGGGGTCATTGGTCTCAACTCTTATAGAGAAATAGAGCTTTTGTTACACGGTGGCAGCAGGGAAGGGTATGACTGCAGTCTAGACAATCCGGTCCTGCCAAGTCCAAGGGCAAAATGTAATGTAAGTGCACTTTGCCTCTGTATCTGCAGGACCTTCAGAGACAGAATTGCCAGGAAAGAAGGTTTGGATCACTCTACCTGGTAAAGAGATGCTTGCTGAAGGCGGAGGGAGGAAGGAATGAGTAGGAAAGCAAAACCATTAATCCCAATGCAGCCTCTTGAAGAGTTCACAGAAATGAGGTTTGCAACTCAATCTGTGTTCCCCGTGTGAATTTTGTACGTATTTATATTCATTATAAAATATAAAAATGTGTTTAATTTCCTTTTTAGTTCCCTTCTTCCCCCACGACTCTATACTTGATGTGTGTTGGTGGTAAACGCTATCATTTGGATCATCAGTTGAGGGACATCAGAGACCGAATTGTAACAGAAATGGAAAAGGGAGAGAGCATCAGTGAGCGATGGGACTTAGGCTTGGTTCCCTTGAAGACCTGGTGGATGTGCTTCCAGAAGGCTGAGCAGAGGCAACATGGCATTTAGTAGAAGGACTTGTTTTGTTTTAGAATCAGATGTTGGATGAAGAATGTATCATATTAGGAAAAGGTGGACTGTGATGGAAATTTGTAAGTTTTTGATGCTTGCCATCAAAACACTTTCCACCTTGGAAGATCCAAAGATACGTGGAGAGAAATCTCCCCCCGCCCCACTGCCAAAGCTAAAAGGGGGTAGAAGTTCTGTCTTCTCCCCCCAGTCAGGGCACATGGAGAGGCTCAGGCAGTTGGATATTTCTCCCAATATCCAAAATGGGATTTTTGAGTCATGGGAGAGGGACACGAGATGCAAGACAGTTGAGAGTTAACTGGAGGTTGCCGAGTGTCTAATAGGGCGAGTGTTAGCATCCTCACCGGAGTGCTCCTGGGGTATGATCTTGGATATATTCCCAGATGCATAATTTTCCTTGGTTGCATTTTCCCCAGTCATTTCTTCCACTTTATGTGCTATGAGATTACCTTTTTTTTTTTTAATTTATTTATTTGAAAGACAGAGATCACAAGTAGGCAGAGAGGCAGGCAGAGAGAGAGAGGTAGGGAAGCAGGCTCCCTGCTGAGCAGAGAACCTGATACGGGGCTCGATCCCAGGACCCTGGGATCATGACCTGAGCCGAAGGCAGAGGCTTTAACCCACTGAGCCACCCAGGTGCCCCTATGAGATTACCTTTAAAGAGATTCCTTTCCTGCATAATAAGCTGTTATTGTTTGCGTATGTCAATGTTTGCATCCAAGAACCAGACTGGTAAAATAATATTTAATTTTTGTATTGTTTGGATTACTTGCATTTTTAATATAAGTAGTGCTTAAATAAATGGATTATTCACAAAGCTTTTCTCCCCTGTATTTAAGATTATTTTTTTAATATACGGGTTCAACTGGATCTCAGGTTATATCTTGCTACACATTTTCAGATGACTTTGCAATGTATAAAAGATACTGTTTCACAAAATCTTTGCCTCGGTCACATCTTGAGCAACTGATACAGCAAGTAATAGAAATTAGAAATGATTTATCTGAGGAAAAAGATGTTTCACGTCGGTACATTTTTTAAGATATCCAAAGCTTATCATTTTAACACATCAAAGTTTAGAAAGCATAACCACTTTTTAATGACAATCTTTCCAAAGTGCATCACATCATTCCTGACCTCATCAAGCTGCGATTCCTTATCCCCGGAGGCCCAGGGTAGATGAGGAGTTTATCTCTCGCTCTTGGACTTGATTCCCCAGATCATAGCACTTTCCTTAGGGCTGGGGAATTTTCTGCCTCTGGTGACCTCGAAAGCCTCCAGGTCAGAGGACAGAAAGTCCTCCCTCTTTAACCCTTGCCACACTGTCTATTACTTGCATAGTTTCCTACCACTGCAAAGCTAGAACAGTTGAATGCTGCTATTGAAAACAGATAACCATACTTGTCAAGTTAAGTGTCTCATCTGTCCACGGGTGGAAGTCAGTATCCTGGTGGGAAGGCTGGAGTGTCTTCTACCCTCTCTATGCTGGAGTACACAACTTAGATTTTGTGACAACTGCGTTGCAGCTCTGGTTCAGGTTGTGTGTCAGTTTCCAGATGTCTAAGTGCTGAATATATAGAGCATTGCAATCAGGAAGTTTGAGAGAAATTTCTGGTGGGCTTTCCGGTAGAAAAATTTCACTTTGTTCTTCAGGTTCTCCAGGGAAACTGCAGTTTTCCTAAATTATGTATGTTTTAAGAAATTTCATATTTATGTGTAATTCTAAAACTTGATTTAAAACTTGATTGTAAACCCATTTTTTATGAGTCAGTCCTTAAGGAAGATGGCTCCAGCTGCTTTCCTCTTTCATACATCAATGTTGCTGTCTATTATTTCTTATTCAAAACTGTGGGGCCAAAATCCCTTACAATAATCCCTCTGAAGGATGGCTTTCGCAAACGGAAGTGAAGGTGCTCGGTTATATATCATACATGCAAAAAAAAAAGTTCATGCAAAATCATAGACCCATTTGAAATGAGAAAATCTGATTTTTCACACTAAACAATAACAATGAGATTGCTGGTCTTTCAAAAATCAGTAGCACATTTTACAGAAAATCTGCTTACAGACAAATTACAAAAAGTAGTACTTTGATATTTGTCTTTTTGAATATTGTTCCAGTGCCATTTGGGGCAAACAGAACCCTTTGGTTGAGAGAATGAAATTAGAGGGAAGTGGGTGGAAAAACACATTACATTTTGAATTGTATGCATTTTGTTCAGAATAATCATTTTAGAGATAAAGCAAATCCAAATTAAAAATAAAACCCAGGCCAGTCTAGCACATGCCATCCAGATTCATTCCATTCTAGTGTTAGAGACATTGATGTATTTTAGCTTAATTTGTTTAAATTTATTTTTATTCTGCTTTACTGCTGTAAGAACATTTAAGATGAGATCTATTTTCTGAACACACATTTAAGTGTGCAATACATTGTTGACTTACATACAATGTACAGCAGAACTCTAGAATTTACCCATTTCACTTCACCGGAACTTGATGCCCATCGATTAGTAATGCTTTTACCTCCTGCAAGCCCCATCCCCCCACAGGCAACTTATTTCACTTTGGTTCATTTGACTGAAGTGATAATTAGTAAAGAGAATACTTATTTATTTTGCACTTGTCATATGTAACACATTATTTTTACATTATGAAAGGGAAAGGAGGGCAAGAGGAAAGGTTTCTGAAGCCAGAGACGATGTCTGTACTTCCTCCTTTCTCTTCCATGTGGAACAGCATTTCCTTGGTCCAGCTCAGATCTTTGGCTAGGAGCAGGCTCCGGAGCTGGAGGAGGTGGGGCTGTTTCTGTTTCCCAAGTTCAGCACAGCTCCTCAGGCTTCCTTGTCAGAAGCCAGGAAAGTAGGCAAAGGTATCTCACCCTTCGCCTCTGCCTAACTATAGCAAGTAGCATATTTATTTCCTTGCTCGACAATCTCGTTTTTAATGGCAACAACTTGATCTTCCAGCTGTTTCAGTTGCTCCGCTTTTTCTTGTCTACTCAGATGCAGATCTTGGATCTTCTTTTCTAAATCTGAAACAAGAAAACGAAGGAAAGGAGAGATTGGGTTTTGGTGGATTCTTCCTGGATACCCACCTTATATGAAACACGGGGATTTCTGTGCCTCTTAAAGACATATTAAGCTCTGTGTTGCGATTCAACAAACGAAACATGTATTGTCACCAGGCTTCTCAAGGTTTTCACACAAATCAGAACAAACTGATGTTTTGTCTAAAAAGTATTTTACATCCAATGGCATTTATCAATGCCAGTCTAAAGCTTGTCAGAGTTTGTTAGAAATGAAAAGGTGGAGGATGAGCCTTGATTGGACTTGGTGAATATTTCCACAGGTTTGCTCTTGCTGTTTTAACTTCACTTTTTAACACGTGTTCACCACTTTAGGGGTTCTCAGTCTTCCAGTAAAAAAAAGACTGACATTTTCATTTCTTCATTCTGCTCTGTGGATATTCAAGCCCCTGAACAGGAAAAGCAAAGTGATGCCTTCCACTCTTACCCATCCATCTGTCCATCCATCCATCTGTCCATCCATCCATCCACCCATCCCTCCAATTTATCCACTCTTCATTCAACAAATACCTGGGAATTATGGTAAACCCCAGCAAGGAGCCCACAGAATATTGGATGGAAGAGGTAGAGTGGGCCACAGTTAAGAGTGTGAAGTGCCTTTAGAAAAAGAAACTTCTCATAGGTTGAAGTGGAACTTCTTAAAGAAGGAAGGTAAATGTCCCACTTTACCCAGACAGGGCAAACCTGGATCATGAGGAGGGAGTTGTCAAACTAGCCTGGAGCATATGTTTAGAGCAAGGAACTGGATTGCGGAAGAATTTGGAAACCGTCTGGTGAACAAAAGATGAGGATGAACTAACTGGTGATGTTTTATATAGAGAAAGAAGAAGATTCGGGGCATGTCCTGTCGTTATTTTCAAGTATTTGAGGCCTAGGAAAGCAGAGGAAATGTGTTTTGTCATCCTGAGGAAATAGAATGAAACCAGCAGGTGAAACCTCCGTGAAGGAAAATTTTGTCTGATTTTAAAGAACTTTCTAGCAGTCACAGCTGTTCAAAGAAAGAGCTGCTACCAGAGGTGGTGAGCATTCCATCTCTCGAAACTTAAATATAGATCATTTGGGATTGAAAAAGAGATTCAGCACTGGACGTGTATTTGTACTAACAGGAAAAAAGACCCCTGAGCCTCTTTCATAGAAGTCAATGAGGCTGTGTGGGTTCCTCTTCATTCGCCTCCGCATTCACATCCACTCTCCGTCCTGCTCTGTCCTGGAAAGCTAGCTTCGGTGGATGACATCATCTGGCTCCCGGGATCTCTGGAGTTCATTCACGCTTGGCCACCGGACAGTTCAGAGAAGGGATCGGGGATGGGAGGGGGCGGGGAGAGTGAACAGGCTGTCCCTGTGCAGCCAAAGGGTTCTGGCAGTCCTTCCACCTCTCCCCTCAGCCTGCAGGGAGGCCCCGTGCCTTTGGCTCCATCCATCAGACAGCGATGTCAGAGCATTCGCCCTCCCTCGCCCCTGCTCCCTCGAGCCCAGGGATGCTGACGGCTTCCCAATGAAGCCAGTCACACAACACCCGCCACACCCTCAACGGAGTCTCAGAATTCCTGTGAGTTTTTAAGAGTTCCTCCCATCAAGAAGTAGAGGCTATTTGCCCTCTGCCCTCAAACCGGGTCCAGCTGGGCCTATTGGGGTGACCAACAGGAAGTAAGAGAAATCAATGCACAAGACCTCCAGGGCCTTAGGGCTCCCCTGCTCACTGTCGGGAACCCTGACCCAAGTGAGCTGTAGAGCCTGCTGGGCTGAAAGAGCCCATTGAAAGAGGATCCAGCATCTCAGTCAAGCTGACCCCAGACTGACCAGCCAATGGACCCATCAGCTGAGAGCAGCTGCTTGGGTCACCAGGCACAGACCCGCAGAAGAACCACCCAGGCAACCCACAGAAAAACCAGCCATGGTTGTTGTTCTAATCCCCAAATATGGAGGGTGCTTTGTTATTCAGTAAAAAGGTAACTGAGCCAACTCTGGCTCAGTGATCCAGAATTATCTCCAAGTGTGCTGTCTGGTTCTCGCTGCGACCCGGACTGGAACTAAGTTCTGTGGAAGGAACCTGGCTGTGGCCTGGAGGCATTTCTCCACTCTCTCCACTTTGACCCTGCCAAGGTAAGGAAAGGCTCCTTTCTGGGGTCCCCTGGCCACTTCTTCCTACCAGGGGGATCTAGAGCACCGCCCTAGGGGGTCAGACCCTTCTCCAGTCGCAGCGTCAGCAAGGTGGCCAAGCTGATGTCTTATTTTCCTCCCGAAGAGAGCCAAAAAAGTGGAGTGTATGATCTTAGACCTCGTTTAGAAGGAAGGTTCCTGACTTCTCTTCTGACCTAATTTCAAAAATTGTGGAAGTTCTAGTTTATGGGAATAAGTGGAAACAATTTGGACCTCGATATAAAACACGAGACAGAAAATATCCTTCCTGTTTTTTTGCTCCTCCACTTAGGTCTGGAAATAACAGCAACCGACTTTTGAATCTTTCCTAGTAATTCCTTTTTAAAAATATTAGGAAAATACTGGAAAGTACAATTGTGTAAATCATATAAATGTCAGAGATGTAAATTACATAAATAATTATATATATGTAAAAAGTGGTGTTTTTCCTCTTCACTCTCCCTCTCCCCAGAAATGATGAATGTTAATGGTTTAGTATATATATTTTGTATATTTCCTGACTTTGGCCCATACCAATGTTGCATTTTCATATTTTTTTTTCATGTCATGGTGGTGATATGAGTGGTTCTAAGGCCAAAGACTCATATTACAACAAAGAAGCATTATAAATGAGGAATCTTGGTTGTTTGAATATCTTGAGAGTTCTTATATTCCAAATGAATATGACTAACTTTAAAGTTTTGGAGACAATAAATGCAACCAAAAGTAAAACTAGACCACTCATCATTGGCTATTTCTTAATGATTTCGAGGTAGTTGCTAAGGGCATGATGCCTTTCCAGAAAAACTATGAGTACCCGTTGTGGGGAAAAGAGATTCTAATTAACTTCCTGATTGTGTGTATTCCCTATTTACTACACTGGGTGTGCACCCAAATTTCCATTTTTGATCAAAATCCTGGTCCAGACTATGGTTCCTTCTGGAATGTTTTTTTTTTTTTTAAGATTTTATTTATGTATTTGACAGACAGAGATCACAAGTAGGCAGAGAGGCAGGCAGAGAGAGAGGGAGGAAGCAGGCTCCCTGTTGAGCAGAGAGCCCGATGCGGGGCTCGATCCCAGGACCCTGGGATCATGACCCGAGCTGAACGCAGAGGCTTTAACCCACTGAGCCACCCAGGCGCCCCTCCTTCTGGAATGTTACCTACAGATCTATATGAAATGACCAGTGCCTTGGGGTCTAGATCATAGGGATTCTAAAACAGTTATTTGCATGGGAGGAGAAAATAAGCAGCATAGGTTAGGACAGGGTTTCCTAAGTTTCTCAACATCCACACCCTTAGAACTCTGGGCAAATAATTGTTCATCACAGGGCTGTTCTGTGTATTAAGAATGTTTACAAGCATCCCTGGCCCCCATCCACTCAATTCTAGTTGCACGCCCTAGTTGTGAGAAGCAGAAATGCCTTCAATACTCCTGTCCCCAGGGAAGGAGAGAAAATCACCCCTGGGTGAGAACCAGGGTGTAAGGAGAAGGGCATTTCCAGTTGACCGAAGGCAATGGGCATTTGTTCTGACGAACACAGTGAAGACTCCCCGATATCCTTTGAAGTAAAAGCATGCAAGTGGCTTGTTATATGGCAGTCCCCCAGCCACTGACCCAATTCCTACTTCCTCGACTTGGTGGGCTCATAGGTAGTTGAACTGTGCCAATGATAAGTTGGTATAAATTCTACCAGGAGGGTGGAGTATTAGGTTACCGTCAAATTGGTGGAGTGTGTAATAGAATCGATTGAACTCCCATATGATCCAGCAATCCCCTTCCTGGGTATATATCTGAAGGTAATGAAATCCATATCTCGAAGAGATTATCTGTGTACCTATGTTCATTGCAGCATTATTCACAATAAACAAGATATGGAAGTAACCTGAGTGCCCATCAATGGATAAAGAAAATGTGGGATGGGGTGTGTGTGTATAAAATTCAACCATAAAAAAGAAGGAAATCCTGCCATTTGCAACACATAGATGAACCTGGAGGATGCCACACTAAGTGAAAATAAGCCAGAGAGAGAAAGACAAATACTATATGCTCTCGCTCCTATGTGGAACCTTAAAAAAAAAAAAAAAAAAAAAGGCTAGAACTCACAGAAGCAGAGAGAAGAATGGTGGCTGCCAAGGTCTAGAGGGTGGGGGAAATGGGGAGAGGCTGGGCAAACGTACAGACTTCCAGTTTGAAGATGAAAAGCTTCTGGGGATCGAATGTTCCGTGTGGTGCTGACTCGTTGGCAATATTGCAGGCACCGTACGGTGCGTCGATCTTAAGCATTCTCACCATAAAAAGAAATAAGTAACTATGTGAGCAGATGGAGGTGTTGATGACCTTAATCGTGATGATCATTTCACAACGTGCATGTCCATCAAATTGTCACACTGTACACTTTAAACAGACACAATTTCACCTGTCACTCAGACCTCGATACAGCTGGGAGAAAAGAAGAGTTACCTGCTATTCTTCTTATCTTGTCCTCTGTATCTGTGGCCAGTTTTTCCACTGCACCTTTTAGCTGTTCCACTTTTTCCAAAGTTACCTTTGTCAGTCTTACAGCACCATTCTTATGTTGAAGAGCAGCATATTGGTTTCTCAGCTCTGCAAACTCCTGCAACAGAGCCACACACTCCCATCACCAGAAAATATTTACAAGGCGTGCACCCATGCACGATATTTGCCCGATACTGTTCCAAAAAGGAGCAAGAGGTTTTTGTGGGGAAAAAGGTACGAGAGATGGGAGGCGGGAAGGGAGGTCCAGATGTTAGTATGAAGAGCTCCCTGGGCATTAGAATGGCAATCTCGGGGGTCAGCCTGGGTGGCTGACAGTCTAGAATCTGGAACAGCTTAGTGAAGCCCAGGAAGGGAAATGGGGAGAGGATGGACAGTAAATATGTCTCTCAACCTCCCTTCCATAGAAAATGTGCTCAAATCCCCCATCTGTGGGCAATTACCCAGCACATTAGGAATGAAAAGCAAGAGAATGGACCAATTGTAAGAACACTTTCCCATTTTTCCCATGTTTAAGCTACCCTATTAATGCAACCAACCAGAGATATCCTGCTGAGAAAATGAGTTGATAGTTTCTTTCAGCAACCTAGATGAATAGGGTATTTCCCACAACTGTTTAATTAACTCACTCTGACTTTTGTAACTTGACCTATTCTCTTTGGCAGGTGACTTTCATGTCTTTGTTTTCGTGATCAGTTATGTGATTGAATTAGAGTAAAGTGTAAATGTACCCAAGACAGACCAATGGCGCGAATCCTGAACATCTGAAAGGAAGGAAACACTGGACGAGGACACCACTGGTAGTCCTGGGAGGAGGAGATGTGGGGAGGAAACACTGCATCCTAATTTGGTCAAAGGACTTCTGTCTTCCCTGGAATCACCCTCCACAACAGAAGAGCCTTCATGCCCATCGGGATCCCTACTAACACACGCCACTGAGCGCAGTCCTGCACTAAGGGAAATGCTGATAAATGGCACAGTGAGCTGAGGTCAGAGGATTAGCCTTCAAAAAGGGTCTGTCTGTCTGCTCTTGGTGGCACCGGCGGGGCTAATGACCTGCTTGAGGTCCCCAGCCTGGCGTTGGGCCGATGCGGCCTGAGCAGTCACACGGGCGGCTTGCTCTCTGTTCCTTTGCAGCTTGGTCTGCAGCCCGGAGAGCCTGTCCTCCAGCACTGACGACTGCTTTGCTAAGTCGAGCTCATTCTTGGTGTGCTTGGCTTTCTTTTCAGCCTGTTGTTGATGTAAAGACCAGAGAGGAGAAAGTCTCTTTAGGTAACAGACAACAAAAAGACAAATGATATAATTACCCCTCAGAAAATAAGCGAGGTAGGAAGGGAGAAGGAATCATTCCTTTGCTTTTCCATTAAAAACAACGTTGTAAGAAAATATTTCAGACAAACACAAGGTCATAGAAGCAACTATGACACGTATCCATGGTGGCCAGGTTAAGAATAAAGCCCCACCAGCGAGCTAAGCTCTCCTCTCACCCACTCACTCCCCACAAAGGTAACCACTATCCTGAATCTAATGCTTGTCATTCCACGTACTTCTATGTGCTTTTTATTAGATCCCGTGCAGCATGCCTAACGTGCGGTATTTTTTTAACTTTATGCAAATATATGATGCTGCGTATTTCTGCAACTTAATTTTAATTCAAAATTATGCTTGTACAGTTCTTCCTGGCTAATTTGCATAGCTCTTGTTTATTCAGTTTCAGCAATTTAAAGCATTCCATTGTTTGACTATACAATTTATATTTCTATTCTCCAGCGGATGTGGGTGGCTTCTCATTTTTCCTCCTTACAAATAATAATAAACATCTTATCTTCCTTTCTTCTTTCCATGGCTCTATTTGTCCCATATAGCAGTCAGATCTGACTGGTCATCTGTTAGCTCTTGTATCTTGCTCTTGGGTCATAATTTCAACACCTTCTTTGATTTTTGCAGGCATAACGAACATTCTGATTTTGTATGCTACATGGAGTACCTGTCTTATCTGCAGACTCTTGTTTCCTGTTTCTGGTGCCTCTTGCTTGAGGCAATTTGTTCTTTTATGTGTTCTGGGAGACATTTTTGAGGCTCGGTTTGAAGGTGCATTCCTTGGGAGGGGATTTCCGCTGGCCTCTGGCAGGCATCTTGGGCACTATCGGCTCACGACCACTTTAAGGCCCCGCTGTTGTCGGGGCCACACAAGTAGTGTGAATGCTACCCTCAAACTCGTGTAAGAGCCAGCCAGTGGTTAGCAATTCTTAGTGAAGACCTTCCTCCCCCGCAGCAAGTGTCTTTATTGGCACTGTGCCTGCGCGCACACGTGTGTGTGTGTGTGTGTAGCTGTGTGCACGCACACGTGTGTGAGTCCACGCAGCAGTAGGAAGTAGCAGCTGAACATTTCACTGAGGATTTTGCCTTTCCAAGCGGGGGTCATATGCTCTCCTTGCGTGGGCTTTGTTTTCTGTCTCTGCTCATGGTGAGGATTAAAGTCAACAGCTTGGGCGCCTGGGTGGCTCAATCATTAAGCATCTGCCTTTGGCTCGGGTCATGATCCCAGGGTCCTGGAATCGAGCCCTGCATTGGGCTCCTTGCTCCGCAGGAAGCCTGCTTCTCCCTCTCCCACTTCCCCTGCTTGTGTTCCCTCTTGCTGTGTCTCTCTCTGTCAAATAAATAAATAAAATCTTAAAAAAACAAAAAACCCCGACAGCTCTCCTACACCAGCGATTGGCGGATATCCTCTGCCTGCCATCAGGTTCACGCTTTGTTATCTCTCTGGATTCATACTTCCCTGTTGTGGTTGGCCTCTGAAGATTTCCTCCATCTCTTTCTAATTCAGGTATGTATTAAATAAAAAAAAAAAATATCCCAGACAACATTTTGGGTTTTTTTCTACTAGGAGGGTTCTGCAGGAGCCCTGGCCTACCATAATTGTAGGGGTGGGGGGGAACTCCAAAAACCTTCTTGTTCCTTTGGACATTTTTTTTTTTAAGAGCACAAATCTACAGCTTTTCTGTAAAGGACCAGAGAATAAATGTTTTATGCTCTGTGGACCATGAAGTCTCTATTGTAACCACTCAGCTCTGTGTCACTGTGGTGCAAAAGCAGCCATAGACAATATGGGGCTGGATTCCAATAAAACTTTGTGATTTTTGATAAAAAAACAAAACAAAACAAAACAAAAACAAAAACAGTACGCCCATTTGACCCACAGGCTGTATTTTGCCATCCCCTGTTCTAGCGTATATGCCTCAAATGGGAAAACCTGGAGGCCTTCTTTGTTTTTTTTTGGGGGGGGTTGCTACCCTATATTTGCAACCTGTTCATGTCTAACCTCTTTATTTCCTGGTGCCCTACTTCCTCTTCTGTCACTTTCTGCTTTTCTTTTCAAAACGCGTGTATTTAGATCTGTACAACCCAGCTGAAAAACAGAGACTGGGAGCTGGCATTCTAGGGGGAAAGGGAAGGCCCGGGGACGGAGCCTTGGAGCAAGACACATCACACAGCTTGGGACTAGTTCCTATCCTGTCCTCCCACTGCCAGACTTCCTCTCCCAGATCCATAGTGTGGGTTAAACCAGGCCTGGCTCCCACCGAACTCTGGATGGAACACTATCTTTTGGGTGAGATATCCTTTTAGTCCTAAGATACTCGGATGAGATTTCATGCCAAACCTGCCAGTTACAAAAACCTGGCAACAATGAACTCTATTTCTTTGCCTTGTGAGCTTTAATAACTCTATTACTTTCCCTGGAATCAGAAGGGATAAACTCCCGCCTCAAATATACCTTTAATTAGCTGTGTGACCTTAGGGAAGTCACTTAACCTCCCTGAGTCTCTGTTTCCTCATTTGCAAGCTGGAAGTAGCTCCTGCTTTGTCCCCAAGGAGGGGTCAGCAATGACGAATTGATGTCGTAAGAACTCCGTTGAACATCAGTTACATGCATCACACCACCACCCTTTCATTTTGTCCTATAATCATCCCATCAGGCAGGTCAGGCAAGCGTGACATTGGCACACGTCAAAACCAGGCTGTCTCCACATTCAAAATCTTTTTCAGGTTTGTTTCCAAGAAGATAAATACCTGTAGTGCGTTCTCTTTAATTTTCTTGATCGCTGCCGTCAGCTGTGTAATGGTAGAGTTTACCCATCCTTGGGTGACTTGAACTTGTTGCAACTCATTCAGCGTTTTGTCAAGATTTAATAGAACATTTGCTGTTTTTCTAAGGTAGGATATTAACGTGTCAGATTAGATAAATACACAATTATTCATTTGTTTCACCTTGGGAGTCCCTTCGGCTCCGTGAAAAACTTAGCTGAATTATTTATAAAGCAAATTTAAATGCTCTTATGCAAGGCCAAATCCTGAAATCTTTATTTTGAGAAAGAGGTAGGTTGAAATGCCAATAACAATACATATATATGCATATCAAGTAGAGACAGGTATGGAAATCAAAGATATAGGTCTTGTTTATTCTTAATCTGTCATAACAAGAGAGGCTCGAGGACCGTCACCAGTGAGCTTTGAACAAAATATGCTCAGCCAGTTCCCATTCCCTAATTTCTCACACTTCAGCCACACTCTAAATTCTCGCCACAGTGCGGGTGGGAGAGCTAAGGGGCCCCACAGACAGCAAAGAGAACTAAAAGCCCTCCATTTCCAGGCTGTGTTTATTCAGGTTTATTTAAGCTCCACTGACATTCTAGCTGCCAGGGGCCCTGTCGGAGGTTAAAATCACAAGCATTCCAAGTGGTTGTCTATTTTACAGAAATCAGCTCACCTCAAGTCCACACTCCCCAGATACTTGGATCTGTGGGCTCAATACCACCTTTGGAGGAATGAACCAAGTGAGCGAACTATCAGATAGACCTTTGCAGAGGCATAATTAGAAATGTGCATGGAAGGGAAAACCAGCTAAATTGCAAACATCCCCTGCCCCACGCAGCCCTACCTCTCCTCCCAGTGGAGTCTCTCTCTTATTTTTTAAAAAAGGGTCTATTGTTTTTTTAAAGAGCTGTTTTAGGTTCGTAGCAAAAATGAGCAGAAGGTGCAGAGAGTTCCCTGTATCCCCCTGCCCCCCGACACTCACAGCCTCTCCAGTTATCAACATCCCTGCCAGAGGCGGACATTTGTTAACGCTGATGAACCTACATCGACACATCACAGACACCAAAGTCCAGAGTGTACACTGGGGTTCATTCTTGGTGCTGCCCATTCTGTGAGTCTGGACAAATGTGTAATGACATGCATTCATCATCCTGGTATCACACAGAGTATTTTTACTGCCCTCAAAGTTCTCTCTGCTCCACTGATTCATCCCTCCCCTCAGCCCCTGGCAACTACTGATCTTTTTTACTGTGTCCACGGTTTTGCCTTTTCCAGACAATAGGTAGGTGAACCACACAATAGGTAGGCTTCCCCTTTCTTTACTTCTTTTCCTTACAGGTCCAGAAGGGGTTCAGGTGCCTTCCCTTCTCATAACATCCCCCACCATATCTTCATATTTAGTCTTCTTCCTTTAAATTTTCAATGTAACTACTTTTAGAGTAAAATGAGAAAATACCTAAAAATAGAAAAAGAAAAAGAAGCAGAAGTGGAAGAAAGAGAAGAGGAGGAAGAGGAAGGGAAAGAAGAAGAGAAGGAAGAGCAGGAGGAGGAGGAGGAGGGAGAGGAGGAGGCAGCAGCACAGAAAGAGTAAAAAACCATTTTCAGGAGGGGAAAAATGTACCACTAACCGTATCACCTTTTAAGATATCAGCACATTCTAGCATTTTTGGCCTACAAATTTTTTTCTTTCCATGATGGAGACCGTCTTCTTTATATAATCTGTTACCTTGTTTTTAAAAACATCAACAATGCCTGCATGTTACAAAGAACCTTTCCTCAGCATCATTTTTAACATCTGTGTGACCGTACTGCGCTTACTTATTCTTCCTGATTGTAAGTACCAAAGCCGGAAGGGGTTGGGCTTATGGGGAAGTCTGGTACACTTCAATTATCCAAGTGGCAGGGGACACGGAGAAGGCAGGTCAGCTCTCAACTGTTGGGCGTCCTGACGTGATGGCATTGCCACTATCCAGCTGACCCCACCTAAAATCTAAAGCACCAAGATGCTTTTTCCATTGGCTTGGCTAAATCAGCAAGAGCAAAAGGAAGCATGAGTTAATGAAATCCGTGCACCGTATCTGTAGTTTTACTCCCAGGTTAGTCCTGGGGCACTAGTCTTTGTTTCTTCTATTCCTCGCTGTCATATCTTTTCAGTGTAGTCTTTTTAAAAAAAAGTTTAGATCTTCCAAGTACTGTCTATTATGGTAAATACAGAAAGCAGCAGACATAGGTCAGCAAGAAAGGGAAAAGACAGCCATGTTCCCACCACCTGTTAAGATATTGGCAGACAGCTAGTTTATGGCACTGATTGGTATAAAGACTAATAGGTCATTGCAAAGGTATTTTCCAAGTCTGTAGAAAGTGGGAAACAAGCATTCCTGCCCACTGCCTCCCAATTCCCCAGCTTCCTGAGGCTCTTGCAAGCAGCTTAGCCCTCACCCTGGGCACTAACCTACTGGACAGTAATTTCATTTGAATGTTAAGTAGCTCCTCACACAGTTGGCCTTTTAGCAGCTGTCCTGGGCGAGGAAGATGAGAACATGAATACTGTACTCACTCAGCATCTTCTGCCTTCACCAAAACCTTCTGGGCTTCCTTGGCTGCTTTATGTAGCCTGTCTTCATCTGCCCCGTAGTCCTCACAGAGCTGCACCAGATTCCGCACTTTGTCAAGTTCATGGGTTAGATTCTGCGATGTCATGGGTAGATGGACATCAAGTACGGGATTTGCAACCTTCTCTATATCCTCTGGAGGCACGTTTTCCTCTTAAATAAGAAAGTGGTTTTAGGTCATCCGTCTCCTTATGAAACTGTATCTTGTAAATACACCCACAATGAACTCGAAGTCAAATGTACATGCACCTGATTATTTATCCCTGGGACACAGGGATTAGACTGTCTACATCCCGTAGATTCTTCTTCATCCCCAGTTTTCCTTTCTCTCTGAAAGAAACACCATTTGTGTAGTGTTGAATACACGTTGCACAAATGGTTGCTGGAAAACTGAAAACCTATAGGCTTGCAATGTGTATATTCTGCAAAACATCCTCCTGCGAACCAGTTAAGTCCTGGTTCAAAAGCAAGTACAACGGTTAGATGCCTGTCACCAAGATTTGAATACGAATGAATGAGACATGGGGGAAGCACCAGGTCTGGACCCAACAAAACTTGATTCTAATCCTCTGTGACATCAGAAAGGCTCACAGTTGTTGCTTGGGACAACCCTACCTGACGCTATCACTCAAAGTCCTATTTCAGGAAGGGAACTTGACAATAGAGAGTCAAGTCCCAGATGAGTAATAGGTTAACTGGAAACTGTTAAATACACCCCTGCCCTGCTCTTCAGGAAAACAGAATCAGCCTCCCCTGAGAACGGAAGCAGCAGATGGACTGTTAGGGTCCGGGATGCTAACACTTTGCGTCGCTCTGGCTCCTTACTGAGGCATAATGCTGAATCCCTTGCGAGAAGTTGGAGATCTAGTCCTCAAGGGGCTGACCATCCAGTGGGGGAACAGAAGCCATTCCATATGAATATTAATAACATAAGAACAGAGATGATAAACAGAAGACGAAATGATATGGGATCCAAAGGGAGGAGAAAATATTTCAAGAAGAACCTCAAAAAGGCACATAAGTTGAGCCTGGAGGACAGCAAAGTTTGTACCCATGGAAATGCGGGGTGAAGGCAGGGGTAAAGGCATCCCAAGCTGAGCGAAACTCAAATGCCAAAGTTGGCTGCAGCAAGAAGCCATCCTCGGATCACTGCTGGTGGCAGAGAGTGGAGTCGCAGTGCAGGGCTGCACATCCCAAAAGGCTGGAACAGAGCCCAGGAGCTTCCACATGGGAGGCCGAGGAACTCGGACTTTCTTCAGGAGGCAGTGCGCACCACAGACACCCTCCAGCTTTTGACAGACATGACGTGAGTCTATATCCTTCTGGTAATCATTTTGTTCTAGCTTTTTATTTAAAATAAAAGGACTATTTTACTTCCTGTCATGTTTTTTGAAAAAAAAAAAAAAGTAAAGAGATTTTTTTTGTGTGAGTAAATCACAATTATGATTGAAACAGCATGCACTGTACTCGGAAGTTGGCTCTTGAAAGAAAGAGTATTTCCTTTTATTAAAAAAGTTCTAATAAAAAGTAACTTTAATTTAGCCCCATATTCATCATCAAACATTTATTGGCATTTGTTATGAGATCGTAAATTCCAAAATTTTTATATGGGACTTGCAGGAGAAGTGACAGCTAACTTTGTCCATGGGGAATTTCAGACCACAAGGAAAATATAAAGATGGTCAAGACGAGCGGAGGAGTGCAGCCACCATACAATTTAATAACACTTTGATTTGGGCTTCATGGAAAGGATAGAGGAAGAGAAACTGGTGAGAGGAGGTACTGCTTCCTGGGGACCAAGGGTCTTGGGACCCAGATCAGAGATGTTTCTTTTACAGAATAGGATTTTTCCCTTTGCCTACTTTAATTTTCGTTGTAATAATCTGGAAACAGTTTTTTTTTTTTTTAAATTCATTGGGGTAATTAAACTTTTTTTAAAATTAGAGATATATTCAGCAGCAATGACAATGAGACCAGTAAGGGAATAGTCTCCATGACCAATGGCATGAGGTGGAAAGCAGTAGACCTTGCCTTCTGAGCCATCAGTTGGGGCCCAGAAGCATATGGCACCATTTTGCATGACTGGTCTGGCAATTTGGTTTTGGTGCCTCAACTGACCTATATCTGAAGAAATAGCTAATGTGTTCCTTAAACCAACCAGTTTCTAGATCTGTGTCTAATCAATACAATCCATCCAGCTAACGCACTGAAAATTTGCTTTTGAACAAACAAAATGTCCAGTAGACCAATCTCATCCCATTCATTTTTACTGATTATTTTGGTCATTTTTACTGATGACTTTGCGCTGCCTCATTTTGTTCTTATTTCGAAAATCAGGACTTGGGCTGAGTTCATATAGTATCTAGAAACATGGAGATAGAAAAAGCAATTGGCCATAGGAGTCTCTTACAACTATTAAACAGATTCACAAAGTGGTTGCAATGATGGTAACAGACATCCCAGTTGTCAGCTGATTCACATGAGGAGCATTAAGTTATTGAATCTGGAAGACGGTGATGGAGAAGAAAACCTCTTAAGATTTACTCCATATACGGTCATACCCAAGCTGGATTATTTGCAGAGGGAAGTTTCAGATCAATTTCCAGCTGTACTATTTGATTTTTATCTTCAACTACTAATTCTCTGTAATTTAAAATAAACTTCTTAAAAAATAAAATAAAAGTGAACTTTTACAGTAAGGCACAATGAGGGATAATAACATCATAATTATAATAATAAACGGATCAAATTATTCCTTTCAGTCAATCACAGAGAACCAATAGGAAACTTGGAAAATAGTCTATAATAGTTAAAAACTGATATTTTAGATACCACCTCCTTAGAGTATTTGGTATACTAACCGAAATCTGGTATGCTTTGATCTCACACAGTCTGTCAGCAGAGAAAATCGTGGAATCATAACATTAAGAAATCTGATAGAATCATCATGTTAGACTTTTTTTCTTAAAAAAAAAAAAAAACCCACATAACTTTAAGCACCCACTTCATTTGTTTGAAGTTTTAACTAAATTCTAGGACTTTTTACTAAATTGATCTTGTACAGATAGCCATATATATTTTGATAGAATTAATATTTGGGAATTATTTTCATTAAGAAATTTTATATCAAGGGGTACATCATGTTTCTGATTTAGGCATTTCATTTCCACTTAATGTAATTTGAACTCAGTTATGATGTTTGAGTATATATTAAAAAACAAAAAACAAAGAAAAAGAAACAAAACTAGTCCCAATATATTTTTCTAATTACCTGACAAAAATGTTTTCAGTTTTTTGATTAAGAGATTCATTTTCTCTTCTTCAGATTCACTTTGATTTTTCATACTTCTCAGTTTCTCATTTAGCTGTAAGGCACTGTTTTTGGAGATTTCTGCCAGTTTACTTACATTTTTGAGCTGGGATAAGAAAAAAAAATAACAATGAGGAAAACACAACAATTAGGCACATTGTGTGATGTTTAATTACCTAGTTGGACCAAAGGAAACTCACTAAAAACAAAATAGGAGCATAGAGATTAAATAAAAGATTCATTTTAAGGGATTTCTCTATGAGGTGATGTTATTTGTTTTCATTATCATGTTTGCTTAGTGTGAATTTATCTTGTGGTGTCTGGCTGGCTCGGTAGAGCAAGTGACTCTTGATCTTGGGGTTGTGAGTTTGAGCCCCATGTTGGGTGTAGAGATTACTTAAAAAATAAAATCTGTAAAAAAATAATGTGAATATATCTCTTCAAACACTATTAGTGATCAAAATTATTTGGAAACTGTGTTGACCTAGTGCTAATGACTTCCTGGTACAAATGTAAAACAAAAATTCTGTTTTAATGAGACTTTAGCATTCTATAATGTCAGCAAATTACTTGGGACTGCTTACAGTGGTCATAATGTTTAATAAGTTAAGATAATTTTCTTTTATGTAAGTTAAAATAATTACTCTTCTTGACATTCCTCAAATTCAAAAAATGTACTTTCTCTGAAAGCTAAAAAGAAAGCATTCCTCCTTTTAATAAACGAGTTTGAGCTCAGAGCAGGCTACAAAGATAAATTCCAAACATCCTGTACACTTGGTGGAGGAATGATAGGTCTAAAAGTCTTGCCCTCTAGAAGTGCAAAGTTTTAATTATGTGATTTGAGAAAACTCCTGAGCTTTTCTTGACATTCCAACAAATTAGAGAAAGAGGAAAAAAAAAATAAACAACAGAAAGCAATAGGGCAACATCAGCAACAAGTTGAGCTGTATGGAATAAATTAATTGTGACAGAAGTAGAGCTAATTAGGATCAAAAACAATTATGGAAAAAAGAATCTCCCTTTATTTCCCCACAAAAGGAGCCAGTCTAATTTGAGCCATACGGATTTTTTGGAAAAGGATTTAACCGCACTCATTGGAAATGATGAAACAAAAAAAATATTTACATGGTGAAAAGTATGTATCTTCATTTTTTTGAGAGTTGTCCCTTAATTTTTCTAGAACTTCGAAAACCTTAGAGTGGTGAGCAGTTGTTGAGAGATATCTTCAAAGTTCCCATCATGAGAAAAAAATCTAAGTGAGGGGACGGATGTTAATCAAACTTCCTGTGCCAATCATTTTGCAATATATTCATCTACCAAATCATGTATGCCTAAAACTAATACAGTATTCTATGTTAGTTATCGCTCTCTCAATTAAAAAAAAAAAAGGTTAGCAGGAAGAACACATGAAAGTAAAATGAGAATTCCACAAATAAATACTCTGGACAGGAAAACACAAAATTGTAAAGATGAAATCTGTGTCAATTAGTCGATGCTGTACTCAGAGAGAAAGAGATTGCTAAATTACTTCACTCTTAAAACATCTCTCTGCAATCCATCTTTTGTCACCACTGACTCCTGAGAATTCTCTCACAATCTTTCCTGGCACTCTTCTGCCCCATCTAATCAAGAGGGAAATAGCACACCATTTTATCAACATGAAAACCCCCCGCTCCCGCCCATCGCAGTTCTTCAGTTGGGCGCTTAGGAAGCCAGATCTTGCTAGAACATACATCAGGGGCTATCTTTTAAAAGTAAAAGCTTAACACAGGGCTTCTTTAAATGGTGTGAGGTTTCTGGGTTTTTGGTTTTGTTTGGTTTTGGGTTTTTTTGAGTTTTTCTGTTTTGTTTTGTTTTGAGAAGGGGCAGTAAGGTGTAATCATTTAACATTACGTTGAACAATTCAGGATTGTTTTAACCACCAGGATGCCAGACCAGGATTTGTCTTTGTTACGTGCATTGCTGGGTTCCCAACATCTAGATAAATGTGTCGCATATCGCACATCTTAGGCACTCAAAGAATATTTGTTGGAAGAAGGAAGAGTAACATCTAAGTGAAAACTAGGTAGCAATGCAGAATTATGACTATGTAAATAAAAATTTGCAACATTCAAGATGTGCAGGATATCCGCCAGCTGGTGCTAATCAGAGGCTTGCATCAGGACCTGGATTTGGGAGCTTGTGGAGCACGGGCTTGGGACCAGCTGGGGCTCAGGCTCATGCAGATGAGGCTCAAGGAGGAAAGTGCAGCTCTGTGTGCGCATGCATGTGCGGGCAAGCCCGTGTGTGCACATGTGTGCACCCATGAGCGTGAGATGCATACCATATCTTAGCCGTGGTTCTCAGCCCGTTCCCAAGCTTGGCCTTCTATCCTCCTGTTGATTCTGAAACTGTTTTATTCAGGGGTCGGTTTCTGTTGCTTACAAACAGGAATGCTGACTGCTATAATATTTAACTTACATATTTTTGGGTGTGTAGATATAATTTCATTGAAATAATTTTATATTTAAACTCAATTAACATATAATGTATTACTTGTTTCTAAGATAAAGGCCTATGATTCATCAGTCTTTTATAATACCCAGTGCTCATATTGTTGGTAAAGAAATTTAGCTTTTTTTTTTTTTAAAGATTTTATTTATTTATTTGACAGACAGAGATCACAAGCAGGCAGAGAGGCAGGCAGAGAGGCAGGCAGAGAGAGAGGGGGAAGCAGGCTCCCCGCGCCGAGCATGAGCCCGATGCGGGGCTCCATCCCAGAACCCTGGGATCATGACCCGAGCCGAATGCAGGGGCTTTAACCCACTGAGCCACACAGGCGCCCCAAGAAATTTAGCTTTATAAGAGATTTTTCTTCTTCATCAAAGACTCTATATATAGTGTAAAAAATGAAGCCAACTAGGGCACACATCATTATCTTGTTACGAGATTAATCCAGTTAGTCACAGAATACCTAAAATTGTATTAATCATTTCCAGGTGAATGTGTAACGTATTCACAAAAAAAAAAACAACCAACCCCAAGGGAAACTAGGCAATTAAAAATTATTCTCATTTATCAATATGATCAGAAAAATAAATGAAAACAGTTCAAGTTATTAGAGACTCAATCATCAGGTACTTAAATATTAAAACTACTGTTTCATGTCTAACAACATCAGAAGGAGTACAAGGCCTAAGGGTGTATCCCTATTACAACATTTTCTAAATCAAATTAAATTTTAATGTTGGAATTTGTATATTTAGCCCTTGAATTTGTACAAATTAGTCTTTACTTTGAGAAATCTAAAGTTTTCAAACCTTTAAGGCTAAGAGTCTCCCATTTTTTTTATGTAGTGTTTGCTAGAAAAGAAACATCCATTTAAGTCTATGTCCTGCAAACATAGACTTTTGAGTTCTTTCTCTTCTCGCGCTCTCTCCATACACACAAACACACACACGCACATTTACACACATATATGTGATACATATATAATAGAAAATATCAATATTCACATGTACTTTTAAATGTACATTTATACACACATCTGTAGTTTTAATCCTCTGTTTCCAAGCATAAGAACACCTAATATTGGACGCCTGAGTGGCTCAGTCATTAAGCATCTGCCTTCGGCTCAGGTGATGATCCCAGGGTCCTGGGGGAACCTGCTTCTCCCTCTTCCGCTCCCCCTGCTTGTATTCCCTGTCTCACTGTGTCTCTCTCTGGCAGATAAATAAATAAAAGTCTTTAAAAAAAAAAAAAGGAAAAAAAGAGAACACCTAATATCTAGAATCTACCCTTTCACCTAGAAACTAAATGGTAGTTTTAAACATTTCAGTTTGCTTTTTTCTTCTTATTGCTACAGCTTTACAAATAAAACAAGAGAAGCCATATTTACCTGGTTCTTCCAACCCTGAACCTGGTCGCTCAAATTACGAATTGCAGACTCTGCCTCCTGAGCTTGCTGGAGGGCATCGCTCGAGAGGGGCAGGGAGCCACGACAGCTGGGGCCATCACAGGATGAGAGCACGCATGGCATGTCCCCTGGGTCTCCACACACCTCAAGGGAGAAAGGATTCATGTTGAAAATCGACATGTGGGCAGGGTTTGGCTAATGCCATCCAGGTTCACTGAAGCCACGCACTGCTCTAGGCGTATGTGTTTCTTCGACAGTGGGTCATGCTTAGCACGTGGACGCAACCTTGTGAAATGTGTCTCTGGAACCAAATACCTGAATTCTTTGTTGTCAGCATTGGGTCAATCAATGCATTTTTACGCTCAGAGGTTTTGGAGAAAACAGTCAAATATCTAGCATTTCTTGCATGTTAATTTCTTTTTTTTTTTTTAATAAAAATTACCTTTTATTTACAAGGAAGCAAAAGGAGCGAATGTCTATAATCTGTACCATTGTGGAAAGAGCAAATAATATAAATAAAGATAAGATAATAAAATCAAGCCACAGTCTTACTCTGAATTTTCTCAAACTTTGATTTAGAAAATAAAATAATAAAATACAAATAACCATATTTATATTATTTGTATCTTATATAATACAGCGTATCTAAATTTAGGTTATATCTATACACTTACAAAGTCTAAATAAAAAAAAACAAAATGCAAGGCGGGAAATACAATTGAAGAGATTTGTACGCCAAGCAGAAACCACAAATGCTTTTGCCACACCATTGTGAACATTTACCTTTTCTTTCAGTCTTTGGATATCTGGTACCGTAATCTGCTTTAGTTTTTCCAATGACGAGTTCTGTTTTGAGGTTAGCGTATCAAAGATGGTAAGTAAGTCGTTTCTGGTTTTTTCAGAGTTTTTTATGATAGAAATGGTTTCATTACTTTTCTTTTCAGCAGATGATGACATCTGATAATGCTTCTTGATGTCCTCTGAGGAATCTACATTAATGCAAATTGAGGTAGGGTAAGTTTTGTGAGAACAAACGAAATTCCATACCAGTTATCAAGACAATCTTTTCACAGTGTGAGTGTTGGTTTTGCCCTTTACTGTCTGCCTAAGTCCTTGAGCAAACTGGCTCATCTCCAGATCGCTTGCTTATCTGTCATTCGTGAGGACTAAGTGAAATAATCCGAGAATCCACTCTAAAGTGTTCCACAGATGGACGGAGTATGTATTAATTAGTGTCAATGACGACTGCCTGTACGAACCCTAATGTGACAAACCAGCCGAGTTCACCTCACTAGATGGGGCAGGAGTTGACAAATTTGTTCTGGAAAGGGCCAGAGAACAAACGATTTAGGCCTGCCGGCCGCAGCACATCAGTCACAACTTCTCAGCCCCGGAGAGTGAGAGCGGCCACAGACACCGGCAGGTGAGCCTGTCTCCTGGTGAGACTCCTTTATAAAAACAGGCTCTGGGTAGAAGTTGCGGGGGGACCCTAGCGTGCTGACCTGTCATGTTGAAACTGATGACAGCAGGTGTCAACTGCGGAGTGTTTGCTCTGTGCCTGCACTTCCTGTCAGTTTTCTTCCTGAATCTTCACAAAACGCTGAGGTGCGTGTTAGTGGGATCACTCCCACCTTGCAAGTGAGAGACGAGGCTCTCGGGACTTAAGTTATTGGCCCGAGGACTCACAGACAGCGAGGTAGGTGGTTTGATTCTAGAAATTATGTTCTTAAGCTCTGATCTGTATTTTCCATGTTTTTAGTAAAATACAAATTCATGAAGATAATACAGTACGATTTACTGCAAATGATAGTGTCGCAGGACTTTCAACAGTAACTCTGTATTTTAGGAACCAGAGGCCCAGGATCCTGATCTTTACTCTCTATGTAGCTAGAAGCTGGGCATGAGACAACCACACCTTCCTACTGCTTGGGATGAATTTTGGCCTTTATTTATCTGGCAAATTTTAGCCTCATTTTGTGAAGTCTAAGGCAGATGTCACCTATTTCCTGGAGCCTTTCCCAGTAAACCCACAAAGAATTCTATTCCCCGTGCTCGATTTGGGGGTCCAAATCTTTCAGGCCATGAACCATTTTGAAGAGGCAACCGGACAGCAATGCTTGAATGTCCTTTCTCTGAGTGTCACCGTTTGTTCCTTTGACTTGGAGGGAAGAGCCAAGGCAGGGAGCTTTCTGGGCCTCATTGCCGTGCTCAGAGGGACAAGCTGGTTTTGGAACATCCAACTCTCAGTCCGAAGCCCGTTACACGAGACCCCTTGCATGCTGTGGCACGAGGAGAGAACTCTGGGGGTCAGTACTGGCTTCCTAGCAGACACTGTTAGTTGTATTCATTATTTTCAGCACATGCTACCCAAGCTCTGTCCTGTTGAAAAAGTTGAAATATTTGTGTACAAATAATACCTTTAATGGGTGTGTTTTCAGGTCCTAAAGTGCTCAGGCTCTGTGGCAATGAGCCCCGGGCAACTTGCTGACGGCACGCACGATGGATGGCAGCGAGCAAGCTGCATCCATCCGTGGGCCTCCAGGCGCGTTTTCTCTTACCTGTGATGCTTGCGCTGCGGGCATGGGAGCGCAAACCGATTTCTCGCCGAAGTTCTTCAAGTAAGAGGTCTGCTTCATTCCTCCTTCTCCCTATCCTTTCTTTCAGATCTGGAAACTCACGCACAGCTTTCATTTGCACACTTAGCTGCATGATTTGCTCCCTGGAGGGGAAATGACAGTGAACGTAGCAAAGCTTGTATTCCTGTTGATAGACCAGTGAAAAAAACACAACACTGCCCTCATGATCAGACAACCTCATAATTAGAACCGATCTTTCTTCCCCGATGTTGTTTGACAGTTTGTCATTCTGTTCATGGTTCCTCTCTTTCTTTCAATTTTCTCTTTCAATTCAGCTTCCGGGAATATTTTAGCACTCACTTAAAACACAACCCACACGTGAGGCCTAGCGGGACAAGGGCTTTGAATCTTTCCATTTCAACTATTTAGACTCTGTCTGTCTCCCTTTGCTTTGGGTTTGCAAAAACACGCATTCAGACACGGTTCATTTAAATCCATGAGATCCGACCTATATTCAGCTTTCAACATGGGAGTCCTCACCCAGCCTAAGGAAAGAAGCAGTTCTTTATCGAGAATAAATCCGCTCCCAGCAAGGATCCTTCTAGTGCCACTGCTGTACAGGGTCCTTGTCATTCCCATGAGTGACGAGGAGGTTTCCTTGTTGGTGACAGTACCCAGGCCTAGGGTATGTTCCCTCGCCTCATCTTCTCCATGGTGCTAGCTCTGTCCTGCTTCAATGTGCTGGGCTCAGCACCCATTATTTTCAAGGAAATTATTAGTAATGTCCCTCATGCTAAGGAAATTTGGTGCAAATTGTGATGAGTACAGTTGAGGAAAATGACAATATGAATCTTTGGGACTAATTTATCTTGGCAGAAATGCAAAGCATTAACTAATGCTTTTTAGCATTTTCTGCTCTAACTCTCCCTTCTAATCTACAGACTTTTCCTTCTGGCGCCAACTGTCAGGACCATAATTCATCATGTTAATAATAATAACAATGATAGTAATTACTGTTATTACAAATGTGACTCCTGAAGCCCAGCAATGCGCCAGGCACATGCTCAGTAGCGCGTCTAATTATCCCAAGAAATCTGTGAAATAGATAGTTGATCCCCCTTTTGGATGAAGAAACAGAAGCCTGGAAAAGTTAAATAACTTGCCCAAGGCCACACAGCAATATGTGGATTTCAGTCACGGGATCTGTACTCGTGACATCTTGGCTTCCCTGCCCTTCGCCTCCCTTTTTGTCGGTAATTTTCCCAGTAAGCATTTGTTACATTACTGAAGGGAGCCTGGAGAAGGTAACCTCTGCCCTCAGGGGCCCCTCAGTGAGGCGACTGCCCAGGAAGCACAGGGAGGTGGGAAGATGGAGAAGGAAACACGTCTTTTTCTGAGGAGGTCATGGAAGGCTTCAGGGAGGAGGTGGTGTTTTGGTGGTGGCTAAGGAGGAAGAGGAGCTCAGCAGGTGGCCCGGGAAGGGACAGACAAGCTGGTGTCTGGCAGAAGAGGCCTGGTCCTGGGACTCCTGCTCCTCATGCTGTCTTTCTGCTCTACTCAGAGGTCCTGCGGTCTCTGTTTAGAATGCCCACTGTCGACTGGCTCATTCTGCCTTTCTGACAGGACCACTTTGTCCTCCATATTCTAGAACCACAAGCCTGTGGTCCATGGGCCAAAGCTCATTCTCAGACACATTTATTTGGCCTATTCGGTGTTTCTAAGAGCACCGTTGGATTAGCTGCTGTATTTTAAAGTGGGGGCCTTTGCATAAAAATCTGGAGGTCTGACATCTCTTGAAAAGTGGGAAGATCTGGGGACCCAGGGCTCAAATCCTGCAGGGCAACAGTCTTTACGAGGCTACAGATGTGCTCGCTTTCAGCTGCTAGCCTGGCCTGGCCCTTCCTCCGAACTACGTCGGCGGACTCTTACCTTCTTTCTTGTGTAACTTTTAAGCTGTTACCATGTACCTCTGGGACTTCCTGCCTGATGAAAATGAATGGCCTTATATCGACACTGGTATTTTGTATAACATAAGACTCTGCATCTTCAAGTATTCTTTAATCCAGGACCTTTGATAGTGGGGCGGGGTGGGAGGAAAGGGATATTCTGCTACATAATCAGTCTTTCTGATTTCTTAGTAGACTATGTGCTCATAGAAGGATGGAGAACTGTATCCCGTGCATCCTGGGTTTTGCCCAGAGCAATTGGCAAATTTTTTCTGTAAAGGGTCAGATAGTAAATATTTTAGACCTGGCGGGGGGGGCCTAGTCTCTGTCACAACAGCTCCACCTGCCCTTGTCCCAGGAAAGCAGCCACAGAGGACAGGCACATAAGTGGGCATGGCTGTGTACCAGCAAAGCCTCATTTACAAAAGAGGGTGGCCTGTGGGACTTTTGCCTGTGGGACTTTTGCCTGTGGTTTCCTGAGCCCTGGCCCAGACCAAACAACATAATTTCCAGAAATGTTTGATGTGTGTTATATAAATATATATATAACATATAATAAAAATGACAATGCATTTTGAGGAACTTCTCACACTTGCTCTATGACTTCACATTAATGTATGGGCTTTCCAAACAACCAAAGAATTTGGGAAGATTCAGCAAATTTCCCCCTGGGTGCCTGGTTGGAAAAAAAAAATCTGTATTATAAATGACCCTTTTTCCAATTTTGTGTCTTTCAGCTCTGCTGGGTTTGGGCTTTCCAAAATCAAGCTCTTAATGATGCATTGCCTTTTTGTTCTAATTGATGTCATCTGGAAAGATCCCACGAAATCCTAAGTAGGTAAGAAAGACACAGACCATCACAATGACCAGCCTGGACACTGACCAAAAAATTATTTCCCTAACGTCCACATAGGTACATTTGGAAACTGAAGTCTGCTTTTTAAAGCTCCATGGGAGTCGAGGCACATCAGGAACTTGCTCTCTATGGCTTGAGCACAAATCTTACCGAACAGAGTCCTGATAATCCTTGACGGTTGAGAATTCCCCCGATGAGAAAACAGAATGTTTCAGAATCCTTTCTATTTCAGACATGTTCTCTCTGAGGCCTTTGAAGTCGGCCTCGCAGACCCGCACAGGCTCTCTTTTATCTCGCATGCTAGCGGCCAGCCTCATTAACCCTCGCACCGCTTCGGAGAGGGCAGAAACCGTGTGGTCCCAGGGATCAAAGCAGCCGTGACACCGCAGACAGGAAGGGAATTCCCGGCCGTGACCCCGGGCGCAGCGATCGCATCGCGGGCCGCTAACCCCATCCTGGCAGCGGCACGTGCCCGTGTTCCGGTCACAGGTGGGCTTCTGGGTACCTTCCCTGTTGCAGTCACATGCTAAAACGAAGACAGAGGGAGCAGAGAATGTCAGTCATTTGGCCTTTTGCTTCTGGCTCAAGAACAAAGCCCACCCCTCTCCCCGGAAAGTATCCCCGACGCCCATTTTTAAGGTGAACATTTAAAAACCAATATAATTACAGAGACCTGGCCGTGGCCGTTACATACAGCACGCCTCTTTGTGTTCCACTAACACATCCGTTCATGGTTCCCGGATGGAGGTACCAGGTGTCGTCTTTACTGTGTGAGTGTTCTTGTGTGGGTTCCTTCGCCTGTTCGATGAGTAACCTGGACCCAGCGGTGGATGTCACAATAGCGTCTGGGGCCACTCCCCCCGTGGGTGACTCAGGCGTGTCGGAGACCCTCTAGGAATTCTCGTGACCACACTCTGTCTCAGGAAAACTCAGCCTGCAGGTGCTGACCCATGCCGTCTTCCATTACATAAGGAGAACCAGTCCAGCCTCCAAAAAAGGGGGGAAATCACTCCATCATGTTTACCCAGAGGAGCTGAAAACTTATGTCCATGCAAAACCCCGCAGACCGATGTTTATGGCAGCTGTATTTATAATCGCCCAAACTTGGAAACAACCACGATGTCCTACAGTGGGTGAATGGGTAAAGAAAACTGTGGTACACGGGATATTTTTCAAGGCTAAGAAGAAATGAGCTATCAAACCATGAGAAGACACAGAGGGACCTTAAATGCCTGCCACCTAGTGAACTAAATCAATCTGAAAAGGCGATGTACTGTAGGATTCCAACTACTGGACATTCTGGAAAAGGCAAAACCATGGAGACAATAAAAAGATGAGTGGCTGGCAAGGTTTGTGGGGAGAGGGGTGGCAAGAGAGGAGCAGGTGGGGCACGGAGGATTTTTAGGGCAGTGAAAATATTCCATATGAGGCCATCATAGGGGGTATGTGTCCTTACACATTTGTCCGAACCCACAGAATGGAAACTACCAAGAGTGAAGCATAACTGTGGACTTGGTGGTTATGGTGTGCATCAACGTGGGTTCATCAGTTGTAACATGGGGGTGTTGGTAATGGGGCTGGCCATGTGTGTGTAGGCGGTGGGGATATATGGGAAATCTCTGTACCTTCCTCTCAATTTTGCTGTAAATCTAAAATTGCTCTAAAAAAAAGCTTAAAAAAAAACAACAACAACAGATGCTACATGTAATTCAGTTGAGTAGCTTTTTGATTAAGGCTGAGGACGGAGAATGGATAGAGCTATGGAAGTTACAGCAATTTCCAGAAGGTCAGGACATCATTAGTCTGTGTCACTAGACTAACTGCAAGGAACGAGTGATTTAAAAATGCATTTTACAGCTTGAGTAAAAATCCCGATTACAAATAAAAACTGATTAACACACTAGGCTCCTCAACTAGATCCCATCTGTCCAGCACATTCGCTTTGGCTCAGAGGCCTCGCAGGAGCCCCTCTGGGGTAGCACTAGGTCAAGTCACCAGCTTATTAATGGCTCTTTTCCAGGAGCGTTAGAAGGGTCTATGGCCCCAGTTGATCATTTGCAAAGTTTTCTCTGTCAAAGCTGAAAGCGTTTCAGAACACGAGATTATTGAAATATTAGGAGGGCACAGACGAAAGATGCTCAGACAGATTTTCCAGGAGCCAAATTCTTCCCTGGTTTTTAACGTCTCCATTCCAGATGACAGAAAACTAAGTGGGACTGGGGGGAACCACTGAGGATAGGGATTTGAATGGGGCAAGGAAATGAAGGCCATTTTTCTTAGCCACAAAAGCACATTTAGAAAGGAATTAGGAAGGAGGAAAAAGTTATCATGTGGCTATGTAGAGGTGGCTGCGATAAGCCCACCACATTGGATATTCCTTTGGATTGACCTCTTTCGGCAGCAGACTGCAGAGATTCACAAATCGACTAACCCAGACTCTCAATCCGCTGTCCAATATGGTAGCTACTTAGCACTGGGGTTGCTGAAATGTAAACGAATTGAACACACGGTTCTTTTCTTCGTCAGCACTAGCCACATCACAAGTGCTCATCAGCTCCCAGGCCCGTGACCCCTGCATCCCAACGGTGCCAACTGGACCATTTCCATTGCTGCAGAAAGTTCTGTCTGATGGTGCTGCTCTAAGCCCAGTGCTAAGACATGGGGCGAAAGTCACTAGACTATGAACTCCACGAGCACAGGGGTCTTGCCTTATCTGCTCACGACCTAGTGCACCCAGGAGGCATTTTGTGAATATCTTAAAATAAATGAAACAGGGAATATTTGAAAGAGCCAGAATTACGAGATCCAAGTTGGGGAAACATTCCCTCTTCTGGCTTCCTACGAACCATCTCCCGGCCTGCACCTCCCTCTAGAAGCTGTTTATGTCAACATGCTTCCAAATAGCAGAAAACAGGCCACAGGTCATGACCTCAGACGTCAGTTGCATTTTAGGGACTTTGAGGAATTGCAATCCAGGCTTCAACACATGTAATGTAGCCAAAGGTTTGACACAAATCTTTTTATAAGGCTATAAAAAATACTGTTTTCAAAGCAAAGATTGCACATTGTGAATTTTCTATCAAATAAAGGAATTTAAAATTCAGCTGGCTCATAGCATGCCTGTGGTCAGGCCAGGCAGATGGTCCTTGTGTTTTTAGAATTAGTAATACTTACGAATGCATTGCCCCAGTGGATCACGGTAATAATCTTCCTTGCACTCGCTGCAGAGTTTCCCGTCATAGCCTAATTTACACGGACACTGGCCTGTAAGCTGGAAGAACAGTGAGGTGACTGGGTGAGGAACTGCCAAGCTTTATGATCTAAAACAAATAATGCATCTTAATATGAAATCGTTTTCCCTCCAGTGGTTTAGATCATACAGCTGTGCAAAGGCAGAGGAAGGATGATTCCCACGGTCAGCAACTACTCTCGACAAGACCACGGCTCAGGAGCTGATGTGTTTTGGCTTTGGGCCCCTAAATATACCGCCTGCTTCCAGCTGTTTGAGGCCAGGTGGCCCCAAGCCGGGAAACATACACAGATGTAAATGAAAACAAAACACATCATGGGAAACGGGCCACATTCTTTTCCTCTACAGTTATGGGAGTTCGTGCATGATGAACAGAGAGGCTGAAGGCCTGGATGAACATTCATCAACTGATTTGGCAAATAATGTTTCCATTATGGAATGTACAGTGGAGCTTCTCCCAACTGGGCTAGTGTTTTGCTCAACAAAGCAATATTTTTTTGCAATTGAAGCTTAATCATTTAATGACGGTTATTTGACTGTGTTTTGGGGGAGAGGGCTAATCTTTTGTATACCCTCTCAACGGGATCCTTGACCAGCCTTTCTGAAAACTGGGGAGGTTAGAAAATTCACAGGAGAAAAATACAAAAGCAAGTCACTATTGTCACAGTACTTGGTTATACTTGACCAAATTTGCTTAAAGGACAGCTCCATCGGTAGTCTGACTTATAAAATGACCAGATCTACACAGCTTCTGCCTTTCTTTGGCGTTCCCATTAGCTTCTGCTCAAATATAAGGAGTTGTGGTGAGCAGGCTGTCCCTGAAACCTGACAGACTTCTGGTTGTCCTTAATTGTTGGGCAATCTTTCCTCCGATGGGTGGAGAGTCTGCTCTTTTGTAACTTGTTGCTGTTGTTCTGAGCCCTGCTGCAGAAAAAGAGCAGCCTCCCCCTTCCCTGGGACAGTCCCTCTCCCACCTGGAGATGACCATTCTCAATTTGCATTTGCTTCTTTTCTTTGGACTCATCACCCCTAATTCCTTCAAGCCTTCACCCCAGAATAGCGACGGTTCTATGCACTCTCCTGATTGGCTTCCTTGGGACAGGTACTAGTTTGTCAATAGAATGTTTAAAATGTAGGACGCAGAAGTAACAACGATGTTCCTATGGCTGTCCAACCAGTACAGAGGACTATGGGACAGTGACTGGCCTGACCCCGAGTGTGGCATTCCCACTGGTACAGCTGGAACGGACACTGTGTCTTTGGCAGCCTGGCCACCACGGCTGGCTCACAGAAGCGAAAATCCTCAGATGTTTTTCACACGAGCTGGTGCCAGGTTCTTACTCCTACTCTGCATTGATGCAATGGATTTTAAAAACCCAATTGCAAAACTTTTACTTTTATCCTGGTACCATTTCACATTCTTCTTTCCAGCCAACAGGATGGGCTGTGAGGATATCTTGTCTAGTGTTCTGTCTTTATCCCAGGAGCTTACAACTTTGCCATATCTGCAAATTTGATACTATTTGGGAGGCATGTTTCCCCACCTCAATCCCAAATGTTGATGAAAATATTGGATTGCACATTTGGCTCTCACTCTGTAACAATGCCCCAAGGATGACCTCCTGCCTGACATAGAGACATTTACCAGTGGTTGTTTAAACAGCTGGGAATCTAAATATCCACCTGTCTCTTCTATACTCCAGTGAAAATGTTTCCTGATTTTAAAGAGCAGTCTTCCCCAAGGAATACCCAATGGACCAGACAACCCCAAATACCCTTGTCATCAGGGGGCCTTCCGGTTAAACCAACGCCATCTGACTGCTAGCTTCATAGCCTTCCCTTAGCCTCCATGACTGGACTGTGGTCTTCGTTGAGTCCTGCTACAAATACGCTTCCTAAAAGGTCTACGGGGCACCTGGGTGACTCAGTTGGGTAAGCATCCAACTCTTGATCTCAGCTCAGCTCAGGTCTTGATCTCAGGGTTGTGAATTCAAGCCCTATGTTTGGCTTCATACTGAGTGTGGAACCTACTTTAAAAAAAAAAAGGAGAAGAAGCTAAAAGGTCTAAGAAGCGTGCCCGATGTGGTGTCATGAACATTGGGAGGCCCTCTTGAATTAGGAAGCCAAGCACTCACGCAGAGTCATTTTGTTCCACGGTCAGTGGCAGCAGGTGTGAGGAGTGGGGGGGCGGGGATATATGAGACAGGTGTGGTCATCTAGTGCTCAGATACCATTCTCCAGTAAAAGGAACCAGGTCTCCTTAAAGAAATGGCTAATTCAGGGCACCTGGGTGGCTCAGCCATTTAAGTGTCGGACTCTGGATTTCGGCTAAGGTCATGATCACAGGGTCATGGGATCAAGGCCTGCATCAGGGCTCTGTGCTGGGCATGGAGCCTGCTTAAGATTCTCTCCCTTCCTCTCCCTCTGCCCCTCCTCCCACTTCTCTCTCTTAAAAAAGAAGGAGGAGGAGGAGGTGGGAGAGGAGGAGGAGTAGGAGGAGGAGGAAAAGAAGGAGGAAAAGAAGGAAAGAAATGGCTTTTCCTAGGATAGTGGCAAGAAATACACCAGATGAGCTTAGAGTATCTTGTCATGCAGAAAGTGCTTAAAAAAATCGAAAACCTAATAATAATGAGGCATGTCAAAGGGACATAGAAACCTACTGAAATCACTGACCAGAGCTGGAATAACATGAACAGCAAAATAAAGTCATATCGGATTGTAACTTGAATTATAGTATAAATACCCATGACTCCATGTAGATATTAAAAAATGATTAATAAATGAAGACCTGGGGGACAACAGATAAATCTCAGTGCAGAAGAATTCCAAATAATTTATGGAGCTACTCTGCCCTCAAGGAAGGAGTGTGAAACTCCCTGCTGCTCATGTGTAGAGTGTGCATGTTGACTTTCTTCCATGGAGCACAGTATGGAAAGGAGGAAAGAAAGTAACTTTACAGAACAGAACCATGACAAACACTACCTCAGCCTGGTGACTGGGATTCGTGTCAACAGTGCTAAGTCATGTAGATGGTGTGAAACCCTAAGAGGATGTTATGAGAACAGCACTTTCCCTATGTGGGCTTCTTCCTCAAACCCATAATCCAAGTCCAAACAGGAGAAAACATCAGATAAATTTGAATAGAGGGACATTTTCCAAAATCTTCCTCAAAATTGCTAAGGTTGTCAAAAATAAGGAAAGCCTGAGAAACGCTACAATGAAGAAGAACCTGAAGAGAGAAGATGACTAAAGGTAATGGGGTGTCCTGGATGGGGTTTGGGAACAGAAAAATGACAATAGGTGACCAACTAAGGAAATCTGAGTAAATTATGGACATTAGTTAATGATACTGTGTCAATATTGGTTCATTAATTGTGACAAATCACCATACTAATGTAAGGTGTTGAAAGCAGAGGAAGGCGGGTGTGGGGTCTATCTTCTCTGTCCTATCTTCATAACTTTTCTGGAAATCTATCCTAAAATAAAACATTTATTAGGGAAAAAAGGGCATGGCCGAGGTAGGGTTATGTGTGTGTGTGTGTGTGTGTGTGTGTGTGTGTGTTGGAGCAGAACAGCTGGAGAGAAAGAAGAAGAAAGAGAAAGGAAAACACGTTCTATATATGAGAACTACCTTCAAAAGTTGACTTGCCTAAGATTTGACCTTTGCATCAGCTGAACAGTGGAACTGAAATTGGAGATGAGCCAAGCTTCTCATTATTTTTAGTAGTTGGGAAAAGTCCAGCTTCTTAAATTAGCATTTTGATTCCAATTAAACCCTGGTCCCTGCAGTGTGGACAGACTCTAAAATTTCTTCTCATTGTTTTACCCTTCCCTCCAATCTCTATTAATGTGGCAAGTGTTTCAAAGAATGTATTTATTAAGCCAAGGACCCTGATTATGCCATGAATACTTTTTTTCCATATAGATGTTATATTTGTTTCAAAAATTCTGTGCCCGTTATTTTATGGACTAAAAATCGCATGTGCAGCTAGGTAGCATTAATGGTACGTTACAGAACACAGGTTTGCTCCTAGTACACTACCCTGCATTCCTTCGAAACAACTGAGGCTGGTCTGGCAAGAAAAGAGGACATCTTATTTTCCCCGTAGGTAAAGCCATTGGTGAGCTGTAGGGAATGACAGTTTAATTTCTGAAAATGGAACTGCGGTTCTGCAGGCATGCATTGATTTTCATTCTGATCCTCAATTCTGATTAATAACCAATTTCTTGTAGCTTCCCTATGATCATACATACAGGGTAGGCAAAGAGAAGCTGTGTTTTGCTGTGCATGAATTCTGACTTCCCCATTCACAAAGAGGCTTGGAGAAAACCAAAAGAAGCCAAACTTGACCTTGAGACCCTCATTCTCTTTTTTAGTGTTTTTCATTCCTTATAAATGCAGACTCTATCCCCCTATGAGGCCAATCCTGTCCAAAAACACTAATTAACAAGAGTATATAAAGAAGACATTATTTGCAAATTTGGAAACCATGTCTCCCCCTCCCTTCCCACTCTAGCACCCTGGAAAGTTCAAAGCATCTTGCCTGGTCACAGTGGCCTCCGTGAGAGGTCCGGGGGTCACAGTCGCATGGCTGGCATCCTCTGCCGGGGACGAGATTCCAGTATCCATCGGCACAATGGTCACAGGCCTGGCCCGTGACGTTGGGCAGACAAGGGCATGTGCCGGTGTCAGGATCACAGAGGCAAGCTCCCCGACCAGGGGGACACTCAGCGGGATTCACCCCAGAAGGATGGCAGGAGCACCCTGAGGAAGCAGAGCCATTGCTGTGGGTAAACTCAGGGACAACACTGGCATTCAACAAACATACAGACATTGTACGTATTGTTTCTCTGAAGGGCTCACGGAGGAGGCACCTCACCATGTTTCAGGTCTACCAAAGAATCTAAGTAGGTTGAACCCATTCAACATTTCTGATCGCCCCACATAGCGATTTCATGTAGTTCTGCCGACTGTGTTCCAAGAGCTCACAATTAGGATGACTGAAAACCTTGCTTTTCTGCCTGCCATTCATGATCTGAAAACAGTTCACTGTGTTGACTTCAGTCAACTGAAATAGTTAATATCTTCTAAAAACTTCTGCCACCCCCCTTTTTTTTTTTTTTTAGATTATAGACTCAACCCCTGGCCCTCTTCTGCATCAGTGGTTCCCAAACTGCTACATTAAAGACACTGGATGAACTTGGTCCCAGTGCCGATTCTGGGAAATTCTACTCAGTGGGTCGGAGGTATAGTCTAGGAATCGGTCTGTTAATATCCCAGCCCTGTCCCCAGGTGATCCCAGCACATGCATGGAGGACCTCGCTCTGCTGCCATGTTCCCAGCCCCAATCCACCCTCCCTTGGGAGCCGGGCAGACTTACTCTGGCAGGTCTGATTGACGGCCGATCCAAAGTGACCTGGTTTGCAGAACTGGCAGTGGGGCCCCTGTGTGTTGTGCAAACACTTCAGGCATTCCCCTGTCAGCCGGCTGCAGGACTCAGGGTCCGTCACGTCGGTGTTGTTGTTGCAGGCACACGGCTGGCAAGGCGCTCCCGAAATTCTGGGATTTCCGTAGAAACCTGCAGAGCATTCTCCACACTGTTTACCTGAAAAGAAGGGAGAGGAAATGGGAATGACATGAGAAGCGTGTGTGTGTGTGGGGGGGTGGGTGTAGGGAAGCAGGGATGGAGACGAGTACAGAGAATAAATAGGCTCTTCAAGGGATAATGAGATGTCACACATTGGGGATGTAGAAGGAAAAATGTTCTGAATTAAAACATTCATTTTAATTTATTATCCAGTCAGAGAATACAATGATTATTCAGAACTAATAAGTCCTTGGTGAGGAACACATTCTAGTCCTTATATAAGAAACTAGAGTATTAGGCACAGGATCCCTGCATCTTTCTATAACGGGGGTCACCCAAGTGTCTCAGGACCCAAAGCCAATCTCACCTTGTGTTCTCTCTGTGGTACCCCCACCCCCACCTGCTTCTGGAGGTGAACCAACAGCACCTGAATGGGGTCTAGCAGTGTAGATGGTGACTGTGGTTTTCGTGATGTGTGCACACTGGATAGTGTTTTTATCAAGCACCGGGGGGAGAAAATATCCCTTTCCTCCTTTACCTGCTACCTTTCCAACCACCAGGGAACTGTAGTCAGTTAGGTGCCCAAACCGTGGGTCTACCCCCACCCCCATTTTGGTTCATTCTATTTAGGAATGCTCTCATCAGCCAATCCTGGTCTCAGTTCTGAAACACTGACCAACCAAGCCAGAGTGGACACAGACAAGAAACTACATGGGAAGAGGTCAAAATGAAGTAGAGACATAGGTAGTAAAAAGAAACAAAAACCAAAAACCAAACCAAAACAAAAAAACTAGCCACATCATTTATTACCATGATGGTAACTATCGTTGGAGAAAATAGCAGCACCATATTCCTAAACTATGATTAAATCAAGTAGGTTTCATGTTTTTTTCCTTGTTTGCCTTATATGTTTACACTCATGCTTAAACTCCTTAAAATAAAAGTTTTGGTGGAGGGACAGACACAAATACTGAATGGACTTATATGGTGTCTATATGAGGCCCAAATCAGTGCTTCAGATCTGAAAAAAATACATTATTTTTGTGAAATATCAGTCAAATTGACTGGTTGAGATTACATAAAGTATTTGATTAAAATTTTTTATGTTTTAATTGCCAACATTATACGTTATATGAGACATATATATTACTTAATCACCCATGTATCTTACTTAACATGTGATGGTTTTATTCTAAATAAATCTATTTGATTTAAACTCATTTGGTCAGTTAATGTTCCAGAATGTTATTTAAAAAAAAAAATTATAGCTTGGAGGAATGAGCTTTTCATTGTTTGTTTCTGAATCCTTCAAATCCTTTGTTCAGTAAAGCAGCAAGATACCAGATTGTTTCTTCTTACCATTAACTTACATTCAGGACCACTCAGTTGTTCAAAGCAGATAAATTATGAACATGGGATCAGTTTTTAGATAGCATTATGGGATAGAAGCAAAAAGGCAACATGAACTAGACTACACACCTGCATAACCCTGAAGACAATTGCAGATCACATCTGAGTTCCAAGGATGCTGATAACAGGAATGGGCAAAATACTGGCTACTAGAGGGAACGTCTGGACATCGGCAAGGATGACAGGACTGTCCCGAAGGAGGATTCCCATAGTAACCATCAATGCATCTGGCAAGACAATTGCTTTTTACCAAACATTCCTGGAGAAAGCTCACATTAGCCAGTGTGGATTTGTTATGCTCGAGGACAGGGCAACTCTCAAAACAGTATTTTATAAGATGTTTTCTTGCTTCCGTGAAGGCATTTTTTGGTTTACATTGAAAGTCCCAAGGCGTACACTCATTAAACTCAATATAGTAGCAGTGAAATTACATGTTATACTTTAGGAACATAAAAAACAAGGTGCCAGGCCAATAAATGCCTGTTTTTTAATTTAATCAGACATGGTCTGGCTTATCACAAGATCCTGAAGGACATCAGGAATGACGCTCTACCTTCCCCCACTCCCTATAGCAATTGTTCTACACTTAAATACCGTTAAGTCTCTACCCAGTGGTCCTTCAGAGGGTGTTGTGACATCAGAACAAAAGAAACAAAATTAAAGTGCGTGTGAATTTCCTACCTTTCACAGTTTCTTCCAGTTGTAAACCCCCCACAATTGAAGCACGAGCCTGTTTCGGGATCACAAAGTTCCGCGAATCCATTACAAAGGCAAGGGCGGCAGCTGGGGAACCCAAAGTAGCCTTCCAGGCATCGGTCACAACGGCGGCCGGCCACCTCCCCCTGGCAGGAGCACTGTCCCGTTATTTGGTCACATATAGGGCTCTTTGAGCCTTGCGGATGACAGTGACATGCTAGACAAAGAAAGAGGACATGCTGAGTGGGGGCAAGTGGTGTGCTGGGGGAATGAGTGATGGTCCTGATTTTGTAAACTTGAACTCACTGTCGCATCCCGATCAGGCACATAAAGTGAGTCCGAGAGCCTGGCATGCATCCAGTACCAGGTCAGTGTTTGTCGAATGATTCCCCGAGTCACCCAGTGAACCGTACGCTGTGAGCCACTGGGGTTTCTAAGCGTTGTTTCTACACCGGACCTCAACAAAGAGTGTGTTCTTAATGACTCAAACTTCCACTCATCAACTCAAACTTTAAGATTCTAAAGAATATAAAAACCCTTCTCAAGGTGGTTGGATTTTTCCTTTTCCTAGGTGAGGTCACAGAGGCTCAATCCTTTTCTAGCTAATTGTTGACTCCCTGGAGCCAGTCTTCCCTACAGGAAGATAGGAGGCGGAAGGCAGGCTTGCTCCTCTGTGTTTACCCCTTTGTGCATCATAAGCGCTTCATCTTTTTTTTTCTTTCTTTTTCTTTTCTTTTTTTTTTTTTTTTAAAGAAAGGGAAACAGCAGTGATCATGGACCTAAGCACTGTCTGCTGGGCAGACAATGACCAGGAAGGTATGCCATCTCTCTGAATCATGACTAAAAAGATATGCTGTTCCGTTACCTGGAAGAACTAACCTATCCGGATATACCCACCAAGCTAGGCTTCTGCGAGGAACAGTATTCTCACTAACGGTTTATAGCGTGAACAGAGAACTATATCCCCTGAACACGGGAGCCATGAGACTGGATTACCACTGCGTATGAATAAAGACCTATCTAAGCCCTTATTAATGGGTAGCTTCTAAAATCAGTTCCTCATTTTTTTGCGACCCCAGCATCAGACAGGGTGATATCCAGGTGGCAGAGCTGTCCCCGTCCTTGACTCCTCAATCTCATTTTCTTTCGACCTGGCCCGCCATGCGGCTTCTGTGCCAGATCGTAAAGCTGGGCTGGCACAGCCAACACCTTTCCCGGTGTTCGCACAACCTCCCTGGACTGCCACCTCTTTGATACACACTGCACGCTCCCAGAAGTACCGGCCGTGTTTTTACCATCACTCGTGTAGCCTTCGCAGATTTGCGTGTCCTCCTTGCACAGGAGCTGTGCTGATCTCTGTATCATTCCAGTGTTAGGATATGTACCATCGAAGTGAGCAGCATCACTCACGATTACTAAAGGAGCTCTGTATCCGTATGCCCTCAGAAGGGATGAATGAAATATGATGGGAAAATTCTCCTGTACATTTTATCTACGCAGACAGACAGCCTGAATCATGGCATCAATTTCCCAGTCCCCTCCTTTTTGGGAGTCCCATACTGATTTTCCTGCCTTCGAAACTCCAAGGTTGTAACCATGCGTGCCCTCCCCCATCCGTTCTCTGCTACGTACGGTGACAGCCATGATGTCCCAAGCCGTAGCTTCCTGGTGAGCACCTGTCACAGCAGCGACCAGCCACAAGAGGCTTGCATGGGCACTGGCCCCCAAGTCGGCTGCAGCTGGGCCCCACTGAGCCCTGGGGGTGACACTTACAGGCTGTGGGGAGACAAAGAGGACAGGTAGAGGTGAAGGAAGAGACAGAGAAGCACCTGGTCCTGTTGGGAGCTTTAGTTCACTTCTCTTTCGTTTAGTACTTCTCTCATCCTTGACTCCTTCATCTGTGAAATGGGGAAATTATAGCCCCTACCCCAGGGGATTATGAGGATTAAAGACAATAATGCCTGTGAAATACTTAGAACCATGGAGCAGGAAGTAAGTGCTCAATAAATATGACAATATACATACCTTAATAAATGTTACTTAACAGGTTAGTGAAAGGCTTAAAAGAAATTGTTTTAAAAATTAGCTGTTCCAATATAACTATTATTATTGATATTATTCCTTCAATTCCTGATGATCTATGTTGGTACTGGACTATCTGTTTCATTTCCCTTATTCTGTTTCTTTCATGGGGTTGTAGGAACCCTGCAGTGTAATGGGATAAGCATTTGCCCAGAACTCAGGAACCCCGGGCTCTCACTGTGGGGAGATTTTGTAAAACCCATCCCTTGGGAACATATGACAAAGTTTGAAGAAGTTTTTGAATGTCAAAACTGGAGGGAAGGTGCTACTGGTCTTGGGTGGTCAGACGGTAGGGATGACGCTAAACTTCCTATTAAGCACAGAAAAACCCCCATGAAGACCCCTCCCCAAAACAAAGCTTTATCCAGCCCCAAATTTCAGAAGTGCTAAGGGTGAGAAGCACCGCTCTGTGGCTTAGTGAAATGGACAAGTTACCTAATGTGTTTGGACTCCAAGAGTCTTGATCATTGAATGAAAGTTTGAGGATGAAGGATGTTGTTTACAGTTCACCTCCAGCCCTAAAAGTCCAGGACCCCAAATAAGTATTTTAGGACCAATGTTCCAGTATCCTAGCAGCCCAATGCTACTCCAAGGCTCCTTTTTTATACACTTACTGTATGTGCATTGGGATTCCAACACACAGCAGACTTTGTTATATATCTAATCATTGGGAAATTGGCATTGACATCGATTGTTTGGAGGAGATGCTAAAAGAAATTAAATCGATTCATTCACATTCTAAAAAGCTGTGCGTCAGTAGAGCCCATTGGGTCACCACTTACCTACTGCCCCGTTGTGCAGCCTGGCGGACATGCTGACTATCAGCCTTTCACACACATCAGGGAGCACCTGGGGTCCCGTCTTCGAGGCAATTTCAACACAGCTGTGTAGCTGATATTCATCTAAGTCTCGCTTGCTGCAGAAATTCTCCAGTGAATTGATTTGGGGAATCAGACCAAGCTTTTGAAATAATACAAAAAGAAGACTGAGGTTCATAACTGTCTCCCGTTTAAGATTCTACTTAATAAACAATTAGACCTATGAGGAAATGCTTACAACTGAAGATTTTAAGATTTTTATTGTGTTTAAGAAATCTTTAAATATTTACATTTATTGACTTGAGACAAAGAAAATAAGACTTTTTTCTTTTTACCTTTCTTATTATATTTTTAGCTTGCTCATAAATTTGTCTTAGATTTCTAAGACTTTAAACTAGGCTATTTGTGATAAATTCAGAAATTATGGCTTAGCGCATTCCATTGTATTATTGTGGAACTCTAATTCCACAAAACTCTCCTTTTAAATATTTTGTCCTTTTCAGTTACATATAAACAATAATGTCTTACATCAAACTATTTGCCTCTTGGAGAGTCACAGTATAGATTAACATACTAAAGCTCTGAGAAGTCCTATAAGAAAGATACTTTTAAACTCCATGCTTCCAGGGTGGCTCAGTGGGTTAAGTCTCTGCCTTCGGCTCGGGTCATGATCTCAGGGTCCTAGGACTGAGCCCCGCATCAAGCTCTCTGCTCAGCAGGGAGCCTGCTTCCCCCTCTCCCTCTGCCTGCTACTCTGCCTACTTGTGATCTCTCTTGCTCACTGTCAAATAAATAAATAAAAATCTTAACAAAACAAAACACCTCAGTGCTTCCATGCTTATTTAACTACTTGGTTCTATACTCAAGTAACACTAACATTCCACAAATTCAATATAATACAGATGCATTTTGTGAATTGTTGGCTTAGCGCATACAGCTATTAGAAGGACAAATGCATTGTTCTAGGCTTATTCTCAAAGAGGGATCACCTATAGTTTGATACCTATGTGAAGAAAAACCATACAGTTATATTTCTTGAGAAGATTTTACCCATGTTATAACCTATGACCACTTTAAATGTTTTTCAGTGGCATGGCTGACACAGTGGAGAACACGCTAATATAAGAGAATCGATCACACCAAGTTGGTCACAACTGAAATTAAAATTTAATTCAGCAGGTCTAGTTAAAAGAGTGAACCAGGTGACCCAGATAGATTTCCCCTGGCCTTCTTGTTTTGTCCATACTGAACCTCGCTCCCATAGTCCTTTGCTTCAACCCCCTTTCAACCACCCCTGCTCCAGCATCCATCCACACCCCCCGATCCTTCTCCCTTTGCCGTCTGACACACCAGTGGTGCACTCTCAGCTTTAGATGCCCATTTCACAGTGTCTCCACTCCTTAAACCTCTATCCTCATTCTCTCTGCACTCCCGGACGGGCCACTCACTGCCTCTTCCTCTTCTGGCCTCACAGAGGAAAGGGAGCCTCCCACTTCCTGCCTCCCAAACTCCTGGCACTCAGGTACTACTCCCCCACCACCACCACTGCCCCGTCCCTTCAGCACTCACGAAGATGTGTCCCAGTGGAGGAGATGTCTGCCACCATCCCCTTTGCCCTCAGGAAACTTTTCTGTGGATTATGCTTTCTTTAATCTCTTCCTTTCAACTGGCACTTAAATGTGCTGAAATCTCTCCCATCTGTAAAATCACCTCCTTGATCTCATACTTCCCTTCTGCCCCTGCCTCCATCTCTGCCCTTTGACTCCTTGATAGCCAAATCTCTTGAAACATTGTTTCCTTGGAGCCCTCCCTGCCTCCTCCCACATTTACTCTTCTCGCCAATGCCACACCTCTCCTTCCCCCCATCCCTCAGTGTTGGGTTCCTCAGGGTTCTCCCATAAGCCCCCTTCTTACCCCACCCCCCCATTCTAGGTGACGTTGATAATGGCGTGCCTTCGGTTACCGTCGATACACATTGCTGATATCTCAATCTAGGTCTCCTGCCCACAGCTCAATTGCGGGCACCAGATGTGCTCAGACAAGCTTACTGGTCACCCCACAGCACTGCAAACCAATGCACCTGCCACCTGCTTTCCCTTCTGTGCTTGTTGGCAGGAAACAGTGCCAGCATCTCCCAAGCTACTCAGTGTAGAAAACTGAAGAAGTTCATCTTTGATACTGACTTTTTCGTCATCAACACTGCCTACCCACCTCACCTCCTCGCCCCCACATCAAATCAATCATGAGCCTGGTCCACATAAACTCTTAAATGTGTCTGGGGTGCATTTATCTTTCTTCGTCCCCCTGTCACTGCTCTGAGACCATCTAGTTTACCATGATGGCTGCCCGACAGACGTCCCATCTTCCACTCTTGTTCCCCTTCTCCCATCAATTTTCTACTCTGTAGTTGCTGTGATTCCTTAAAAGGCAGTTTGTTCAGATAACCCCTCCTTCAAATCTTCAGTGGCTTCTTTCTCTTACCCCCGGCCCCCCAACCTCCTGGCTCAGTGGTTCTCAATATGGGAGGGGCCGTCCCCTAAGGGGCATTTTGGAAATTCCAAGGGGTAGTTTTGGTTGTCATGGCCATCGGATGAGGTGTGTTACTGGCTTTTAGTGGGTGGGGATCAAAAATCCCAGACGTTTTGACACAAAGGAAAATCAGCCCCGTCTCCTACAGCTTTCGAATGCTCCACCGAACATCCATGAAGGAGAAATCTTTGCTGATAATTATGAGCTGAAAGTCTTAGTCTATGTTTTAAAAACATGTTTGCAACACACCTGCTTTCCTGGCTGTGTCACACTGAGTGATTCTACACCTATGACCCTGTCCCCGTCTCATGTGTCTGTGGTGTATTCCTGCCAGTGCACAAACATATTGAAGTACATAATGTTTCTCTATAAATTACTTTCCTTTTACGTCTCTTTGTATTTGTGCATTACACTGACATGCTCTGGAAGGTATGTGAGCAGGTAGGCTATGATGCTTGTGAATTGTGTTTCAAATCGGTAAAGGATACTGAAAAATATCTGCAACTGAAAGAGGTGGTTGGGTCAGGGGACGCTGAGGATCACTGCTCAAGGCATCCCCAGCTTTCCTGTCCAGTGACCCATCATGGCTTCCAGTAGCTCTCAGACCATGTTGCCATTTCCTGTGTCCCGGCATGTCGGGGGAGGTGCTTGTCTTCACCTGCGCCTACCGCAGTGTCTAATTCACAGTAGCTACTTCATAAATATTTGCTCAATAAAGAAGCATATATACCTGTCCAGTGTGGTCTCTTCAAGTTGATACTAAAATGACTGTTCTCCAAACACACACCGAGTGAAGACAGATGCAGAAGGAAGCCGGACAGGCTAGGGTTGGGGATGAGGGGAGCCAACCAGGGGTAGGTTATCTATAGTCGCTGGTCTGAGGCAGTTTCGAGGGGGTCATTCCTGGCACCAAGCAGATGGCTCAGATGATAAGAGTCCCTGTGAAGCTATAGGATTTTGTAATGTCATGACTCACCTCTTCTAGAAACTTCTAAAGACTTTGTTTACCAAGTGGAGTCCATCCCATGGTTTAAAAGAACGGTGGTTTTATGTTCTAGAATGGCTAATATACTTTTGACTCTAAATACATTTTCATGGAAGCACATATCATGCAATCGGGAAGGAAATTTGTAGCTGTCTCACTCTGTTTGCAGAACAAAAGCCATCTCTGCAGAAGGAGCCTCCAGGGTTGACCAAAGCTTTCACTGGGGCTTCTTGGAAATGTGTCCTAGTCTTAGATATCAATGTTAATCTGGCTGCAGGAGAAGAATGAACTTGGAAAGTGCCAGGGCTCAGGCAGCCAAGCATCTTCCCAGAGCAGCAAAATCAGTGGGGTGGAAATAACTGCTTTAGTCTGTAATCAGAAAATGTGCATTGGCTTTCTCCTACTGGGCATCCAGGGTCAGGGTCTCTAAGGGACACTGTAGGTGCCCTGCCCAGATCTTCCCATTTGCCAGCTGCTATGGCATTGGCTGTTCTTTGCTCACAGCTGTCCCTCTTTCTGGGGACTCAGCCAACTTTTCCAGAAGTGAATGCACTCACTGGGGGGTTCGGGGGGTGGATGATTTGGGCACACAGGCCCACCACTTTGCCTCTCGGGGCAACTGGCTCCTTGGTACAATTATGCTCCCAAGCTCCCTGTGGGATCAGCTACGTTTCAGTGCAAATCACATCCCTGCTCTGTTCCTTCCCCGTCCCCTGGACCTCTTCTCCCACAAACATACCCTCAATAAATCAGGTGGACCCAAGTCCCTGTCTCAGTTTTGGCTTCTGGGGAATCTGATCCGAATGAGGGATCTAGCCTCTCTTCTGAGGTTCTGATACTTTGCCAAGATCAGGCTGCTTTCCTAAATTTCATTCAGGTTTCATGGTTTTTGTAGCTATTTGTAAGCTTGAAAACTGATCAAATGGAAGTATTTTTCAGGTAATTTCAAATTACCCATTTGTATTACGTATCTGTCAGATATCACTGCAATGATTTTATTTACACGTCCGTCTTCTGCATCAGGCTGCGAATTATTTGAGTAAGGGGACCAAAGCTTACACCCCAGGAACCAGCACAGTATCAGCCCATGTAGGTTCCATGAATGGGTGGTGAATGGATAATTCACAGGATGCCTGAAATACAGCATCAAATCATAAACTTGGAAATTTACAAAATTAGAAATATTCAGGATATGGATTTAAGATGAGGAGTATCTTGGCTCTTAGAAATTTGAGTTTCATGACTATCATTATAATAATAAAATCTCTTCATGATGTATGAATTCCTTCATTTTTCTCTTTCCTTTTCCTTTCTCTACTCTGCTTGGGTTCTTTCTTTCTTTGTAACTCGTGTGTTGGTCTATGAGTGCAGTTCTCTTCAAACTTCCTGGCAGAGAATAAAACTTCCATGGGTAGGGAAATCACAGTAGGTTAAACTCTCATTCAAGAGTTTGTTTCTACTTTCTACTTCCTTTCTACCTTCACCTGGTAGAACCATGGACCTCCAGGAGCAGGATTTAGACCATCCTTGGCTAAGGTTGTCAGATAAAATACAAATCACCCAGGTGAAACTGAATTTCACAGAAGCAATGAATAATTTTTTAGTATGTTTCAGACAGTATTTGAGGGCAATATTTTGGACATATTTATACAATATTCAAATCTAACTTGGTGTCTTGTTTCTTCTCTCCCCCTTCCTCCCTCCCTCCTTCTTCCTCCTTCCTTCCTTCCCTGTTTTCTAAATCTTGCAATTCTATCTCTGGTAAAATAATCTTATAAATGGCGGGGGTTTTTTGTTTTTTATTTTAGATGTTACAATACCTGATTTCTAGAATACAATCCAAGATACACCTGCTTCATACTGAGTTCTATAGTAGATGATGAAACAGCAAAGTTCCAGGTTATAAATTTAAGATGTTCAATGGTTAAAAATTAAACTTTGAAGACACAATTCATGAAATACGTACATACAACTACTTAAACAGGGGATTGTCAAGCTTCCTATAAAATACTAGACAGTAAATATTTTTGACTTTGTGGGTCATAAGGCGTCTGTGGCAAATACTTGGCTCTGTCTTTGTAGCTTGAAATCTGCTGTAGATAATATATAAACAACTTGCCAGGGGCGCCTCGGGGATTCAGTTGGTTAAGCGTCTGACTCTTGGACCCGGCTCAGGTCATGATCTCAGAGTTGTGAGATGGAGCCCCGAGTCAGGCTCCGTGCTGAGCACAGAGTCCTCTTGGATTCTCCCTCCCTCCCCTTCTCCCTCTGCCCACCCCCCATATAAATAAATCTTTAAACAACTGGCCATAGCTGCATTCAAATAAAACTTTGCAGGGCAGTAATGTGGCAATTAAATCATGATATCAGAAGATCCTCACAAATATTTTATTTTTTTAATATTTTATTTATTTATTATTTATTTTGATAAAGAGAAAGAGAGAGAGAAGGAACACAAGCAGGGGTGAGGGGCAGAGGGAGAGGGAGAAGCAGACTCCCTGTCAAGCAGGGAACCCAATGCCAACTGGACCCCAGGACCCTGGGATCATGACCTGAGCTGAGGGCAGACGCTTCACTGACTGAGTCTGTCAGGCGGCCCTCTCACAAATATTTTAAAATGCAGTTGTAAGAAATGATTCTGATTTTTACTCACAAAATTACTTTTAAAGAAGCCCACACCATTCTATACGATTCTGCTGAAGGTGGAATGAACCCGATCCTTTCACATATTTCTAATGATCGTGAGAGTTAACTGGAGAATACTTTCCAGAAATTAATTTGACAGGCTATTTCGAGAGCCATAAACCTTGAGGCATAGGGTATAGATACTGGTAAATGAAAGCTTAAATTTCCCCAGTGCCCAAATTCTGCCCAGGCCCTAGCCTGGGCCTGAAGTTGTGTACAGAGTGAGAGGTTTAGAAGGAATATCGGTGGCCCAACTCTATGGGGAAAGAAGTTGAAATAAGTCATTTGAGGAAATATTATGCACTGTTCCTAAAAATTATAAGAAGACAACACAAGGGCGCCTGCGTGGCTCAGTCATTAAGTGTCTGCCTTTGGCTCAGGTCATGATCCCGGGGTCGTGGGATGGAGCCCCGCATCAGGCTCCCTGCTCGCAGGAAGCCTGCGCCTCCCTTTCCCACTGCCCCTGCTTGTGCTCTCTCTCTCGCTATCTCTCTCTCTGTCAAATAAATAATAAAATCTTTAAAAGAAAATAAAGAAGATGACATAAGCACTATAAGAAAATGCTTAGGATATAATGGGAACTAAAAAAGTACCTGTCTATGTACTTGCATGAGCGCTCTGGTCACAACACTACACAAGCAGGAGGTACAGAGCAGAACTTACAAGACACTGACAATTCAAGTGGTAGAATTTCTCCCCAAACTTTCTGCCATGCCAGGATGTTGTAGTGGCCCAGAGCGGGGGCTCTGGCACCAGAGAGTCTGGCTCTGATGGCAGCCTCCTCACTCACTGGCCCTGTGACCCTGTGCTTCTGTTCTGTCATCTGTAAAATGGGGACAGTGACAGCACCTTGCTCATGTAGTTGTGAAGACTAGACAACAGAGTAAGTAAAACCTTCGAACCGTTGCTGATAAGCGCTGTTCAGTAAGCTGTGCAGTTGGTATTAGGTGACGTTTACAGAGAATCAGTGATTTTTCCAATGGCACAAACCCATTTATACTTCTAAAGAAACATGTCACCAGGGAGTCTAAAAGTCGAATGATAACAGGGCTCAGCTTGGAAGGCGGCGCCCTCCCTCGCTCCGTGATACTTACTGAGTCAACCAGGATGTGGGACTGAGCGTGGGACCCTCCTTCCAAAGGCCGGGAAAAATGGACATCTATGGAATATTGTACATCTGGTTCTAAACAGATGGCTGTGGGCAGCAGCACGATTCTGCAGGAAGAGAAATAAAGCAACAATTCAGTGACAAAAGTACAATTATATAACCTAAGCGGCCAGGGTATTTGGTGGTGTTCCGACCTGCACTGAAGTGGGTTTGACTGTGGGGGCAGAGGCCAGGTCTAGACCAGCTCCGGTGGGTTGGGGGGACAGCAAATTCACTCTCAGATTCTCTGTGTGGCTCTTGCATAGGATTGTGCCAAATAGCAAATCTTAGGGACTACTAGCCATGGGTTGTCGCGACTACTCTGGGAAAAGGACAGAACAAATGTCCTTTATTCTACCTACCATGCTAATCTCAACAGGGTCTCTTGTTTTATTTTGCCACAAATCTCTGATGCAAAAAAGCTACTAATTTTTTTCTTTCTTTCTTTCTTTTCTTTCTTTCTTTCTTTCTTTTAACCTTATAGACTCTCAGCTGTTGGGAATACCAGCTGAATATTTGATTCTTACTCTTAAAGCATTTTAATTTCTCACCTCTCCAGGCTGTTTGGTGAATGGGAAAGGAATGTTCTAGACTGGGAATCAGGAGCTCGGGGCTAGAATCCTGGTTCTGCAGTATGTTAGCTCCAAGACTGGGGCCTGTCTCCAAGAAGTCTCATTCTCAATTCCCTCCTCGCCCAATGAAGAGAAAGTCTCCTTAACGAGTTGTTAGCAAGATAAAATATGATCTTAAATGTGAAGCTTAGTGTAGCCCACAGCAAGCAATAAATGTCACCGTCTCCGTTACCTCTTCTGCTTAGGTCTTCGATACAAATTACCGATAAAGGAACAAAATTCTAAGAAACCTTCCATGTTTGAGGACAGGTCCCAAGCATACCTGGAAGCCGCCGGTAAAGGGAAAGACAAAGGCCGTGGCCATGGACTCTCGCGTGGACAGTGCTTGCTCCCTCCAAGGGGCTTAACCAGGACCTCGACAGTCCAGTCGGCTGCAGGCTTGACAGGAAGGACATAAAAAGCACGCCCTTGTGAGGATTCACACACACAACACACCTCATGGGCAGCCCTTGGACTTGAACCCACAACCCCCAGCCCTCTTGGAAAATGGAATTTGGGAGCAGAGTCTGAGAGGCTCGCTCTCTGCTCTTGCTTGCTGAGGTCGGAATGGCGACCCAGGTAGACCCAGGAATATTGTTTCTGGCCGTAGCTCTAGTTCCTGGGCTGGAAAAGCCCTGGTGCTCCTGACGGGCCTTGTTTTTAACCTCTGTCTCCCAAAGATTCAATTACCACACCCTGTCCCTGGATCACAGAACAAAAGTGGAAATCTGGAATACTTCACAAAAGCTTGTATCCTTGTTTTCATGTTACTGCAGAAATATTATTATATAAACGTATCATTATACAGATTTTGTTATGTAATATTTGATTATTGTATTGCTAAACCTATTTATAGGTGTCTAAATATGTGTATATGTATTTATAGCATATGCTAATTCACTATACTCTGAAAGCCATGCAATTTGGAAATGCTTTTTAAAGATTCCAGAGATGTGTCCTCTTTAGGGAAAAATTAAAAAATATATATCACATTTTTAATGACTCATCCTACTGTCTAGGCCCAAGTTCACTGAAACTCCTTGACTATCATTTAGAAGGGAGCCATAGAGACTTGTGTCATATCAAGAGTTTCAAAGTGGATCAGCCGCTCTGGTCATACAAGACCATGAGAGTTTCCAGAATGAGGTCCCTCAAGGAACCCTGGGGTTTCTGAGACCATCCCAGCCTCATAAAAAATTTTCAGGGGAAATGGTCTGTGGGGTTTCAGACTATCAAAGAAAAGATTATGCAGAGAAAAAGTTCAGGGCCACTGCTCTAGATGGAGTGTTTTTCTGATTTGGTTTCTGTTCTGCCTTAGATCTTTCTCAACAGGCAGGGGGAGGTGGCAAGAGGAGCAGCCTGCCGTTAGCTCTTCTCTTGTTTCAGGGTCAAGTCCAAGTCCAAAATAAATGTCTCTTCTGCATGAACCTGAATCTCTGCACACAGGTTAGCTTATTGAAGTTTTAGAAAATTTTAAGGAAAAAGTCCCAGGAGGGCAGAATTCATGTTATTTTAGTTTTTTATTGTTCTTACACAAACATGCCATCACCGCTTCCTTAGATTCTGTACCTGAGATGCGTAGCGTCAACTTCAGCTTCTCTCCATGGAATAAAGCATGTGTGCCTCTGGCTTACTGTGTTGTTTTAATATTTTTAGGAAACTCTTTGATTTCTAATGGTCTCCAGATGTTCGACTTTTTGCATTTTCTGTTGACCCTATCTAGCAAGACCAGAATGGAAACTCGTAGTTCCAGAATGTACTTCAGTCAGCCTCTTACCCCTAAAGAAGCAGCTGGATACCTGAGGCTCGTAGCAAAGGGCAATGGTGAAGTCCATGGGCAAGGAAATGTTGCTGACGACAAATCTCAAGCCGGCCCCAGGGAGAACTCTGGCAAATCCAGGTCCAGTCCACGTAACAGGGGTTCCAGGAACTGGTTCTCGGAAAACCACGTGAAAGGCAGGCACCTGGCCAAAAGTCACTGAGCCCTAAAATTGAAGAGGAATGCACACAGCTTTGCCTACAGTCAAGTCCTGGAAGAGCTCAGGGAAAAAAAAAAAAAAAAAAAAGCACATATTTCCTGATGTGTATATGATACACCTGAGTCAAGGATAAATTATTCCAGCCAGGTCCAGAAGGCAGCTGAGGATAACGTGCTGAATCAGCAGCTTTCAGAGCATATGTTACCGTATGGAATGATTGATTTGAAAGCAATGTCACTGGAAACCACTTTAAGCTTAAGTACCCCACGTGCTAATGAACTGAACAAATTCCACACTGATGACCTTGGATTTTCTCAGATATGACTATGGGACTCTGGCCAAAATATGGAGGGAAAGAAAATATTCCCATGCTTACTTCATGGGCTTTTCCTAATTATGCATGACGCTGAGAAAACCCACATGGCTTTTTTTTTTTTTTTTTTATCTCTTCCATGCAAATATAAGACATGCTCCTCTATTTGCTTAGAGGCATAGAAGTATAAAACTTGTAACACACTTGATTGATTAGCCTCCCTGATGGTCTCTATCCTGGCTGTCAGCCTGGGGCCATCTGGATCCTGTAGATAATACTTTAATGACTTCGCCTCTGCCTCCCCAGGCTTGCAGCCTCTACCGGAACTCTGCCTCTTGTGGCTTTCTGCCCTCATCACCACCCCTGCCAATAAGTGTTTCACACTCTTTCCAACCGCCAACAGAGTCACACCCAGATTACTTCGTCTGGAGTTCAAGTTGCTCTGTGATCTACCCCAAACTCCTTTTGTCTGATAAAGGTTTATTCAGTAACAATTCAATGCCAATCCCTGCATTAGGAACACAAAGATGAATAGGACAGAGTCCTTGATGTGGAAGAGTTTAGAATCTGGCACTGGAGACCGAAATGTAACTAAGAAACCATATCAGCCAGGTGAGCTTTCAATGGACAGATACATGGAACATATCTGTATACCCTCACAATTGCCATAGACACTGCAGGTGTCCCTCGGGGATCCCCTTTCCCTGGTTGGAGCACCCACCCATGAGTTGCTGTGTGTGTGGCTTCTAAGAGCTCACAGTCTCCTCCTTCTCCGGAGAACTGGCCTCCTATACCTCCTCCCTAAGCCCACCTCCATCCCTGCTCCCAGGGTAGCTCACAACCAATGGCTTCTTAATACAAGGCTATAAAAAGCTGAAGACAACTCTGTCCGCGGTTTATGCTTCTGAGCTCCTTCGTGGATCAATCCAAAGTTTGTTTTACCTGAGACCACATCTTACTCTTTCCCCTTGTCTTGTTTCTGTCTTCCTCTTCTGGAGTTTTCCTGAATAGCACAGCACTTCCTTAATAAATCACATGCACCTGAATCCAGGCTTCGGCTCTGTTTCTGGGGCACTTGACCCGAGATAGTCGGCGCCTGACTGTTTACCCAGAAGCAAGCTCCTAGATGCACTTTGGGAGGAGGATGGTTTTCGGGTCAGCTGGTGATGAGGACCCCAGTGTGTAACTTGTACGATGATCCCTGGAACGTGGTTAGCAATTACTAAATTGCTATTGCTAAAGCTGTCATCTGTGGACAACTTGGGACAAGAGAAAGAGGGAAGCGGGGCACCCACTGGATATTTCTGGCACTGAGAGATATAAGGGAGCAGTAATTATAAGGACTGTGGACTGCAGCAATAGGAGGTAGTTGTTGAATGCTGCTGATGCTTAGATGAGAGAAGATGACGGGTTCAGGACAGTCATTCACTAATTCAAAGCCTAGTGTGAGGATCAGAGGGCCCGCCTCCTTGGAGGTCTTTAAAGACTCCTCTCCTTTAGTCAGGTGGCAGGAAGAGCTGAAGACCAAGCACGGGACTTCGTTGTAGGACTTGCAGAACTTCAGAAAAGCCTGAATTCTCAGCCTCGGTAAGTCACCTATGCTGAAGTCAGGCCCCTCACAGGGAAGAAGAGGGCTTTTAAGACACGGGTGATGCACACGAGAACCTTGAACCCTGAGGTTCTCCTGAACACCCTCTGACTATAGAAATAATCCACTCACCTTTACTGGAAAATAGAGTCCCTCCACTCCACCCCAGCCATGTTTGAGGACAATGTAGAAACTTCAAATGATGCAGATGCCTTGGAAGAAAATGTGCACCTTCCCCGGGACCTGCCTATACTACCCCTCCTCACCACCTGTCTGAGCATTAGGGTCAAGTTTCAGATGATCTGACTGGGAAAGGGCTGGATCTCTGAGAGGGACTGGCTAACATACACCAGTAGCAACTGGGAAAGAATGGCTGGCTATGGATCCTGAGGTTGTTGGAGGAGGGAAGCAGAATATGAAACTGGATAAAGACAGTATGTGGACTTGGGGTCACTAGTAATGTAGGATTTAATTAGCCTGGCAAGAGCCCTGGGGCCTTGAGAGACGGATCCAATATATTGCTGGAGCAGCTCTTGGAAGCTTGGCAAAAGCTGTGGCTCTCAGGAAAGGAAGCAGAGGTTCCAGAAGAGCTGTAGCAGGCTCTGGAGGAAGGGATACAAGGCTCAGAGTAGCAGCCATGCTAGAATGGATCTAAAATGCAAGATCGGAAAACACATCCATTAATTATGTTTCTTGAAGGCCTAGGGAACACGCTGTATATCAGGACAGTAAGCAATGAACCTATGAGTAGGGCACCAGCATCCCTGAAGAGCTGAGTGTTGAGTATCCTCTGTAGGCTGGTGGGATTCACCATTACAGAACTGAGCTCCTTAGTGTCACTGAAAAGGACAGGACCACAGACTATCAAAGGCTGGGCATGTCTTCACTCTCAAAAGCACGATGGGTATAATTATGAAAATGGGCAGCAAGGGTTTGAGAGGGGGCAAGGGGGCCTGACCCATAGGAATCTTCTATGCAGATGATTAATAGAACATGGTATTCCTAGGAGCAAGGTAGATGAGCAGACAACAAAGCTTTAAATATGTAATCAAAAGTGATCCGGTATGAATTAGTGAAAGGTTGAGGTCAGCTGCTCTCATGGAAAGACATGATGCTTTGTCAAGTTCCTAGATCTGAGCCACTTCTCGGATCCAGAACCTGGTGACCAAAAAGAGGCCAGGTCCCCATGAAGAAAGACTCTTCAAAACCAAGGCAAGTGTAAACCATGTACCCAGCCATCATGGTCCCCTTGTTAGAAGAGGGGCATATAAGGGTCAGGTAATATATGGAGTCCTGGCCTAATTCTTTTTGCAGTGAATTCACTGCACTTACTGAACCACCCATTGATTATTTCCTCCAATTCCTGAGTATGTAATTGGCATAGACCTGCTCAGCAGTGGACACTGACTCTTTGACTTGAAAGGTAACAGAAGAGCTCTTATAGTAGGAAATGCCAAGTAAAGTCTTCCGAGGTGCCCATCTTCCACTTTCTCCCCATCAAGCCAATATAGTAAACAAAAAACAATATTGCACATCAGTGGCATCCTCGAAGTTTCACTGTCAGGACTCAGTGGTGGTTCCCATCATATCCTCATTACAAACTTAATACAAACCTAACCAGCGTAGTCCCACTTGTATCTTTACCAGAGCAGTTGAACACCACCTTCGTATATGATATACAGCTACTCAAATGCAAAATGTGTTCTTCTCCATTCTCGTATAGAAGAAGGAACAGAAGCAATTTGTATTGACTTGGGGTGAGCAGGTATTCAGTCTTGCCCCAAGGCTGTTCATTCTCTCTTCACTCTCTGTAATAGTATAGCCCCAAAGGGTTTGAATCATCCAGGTATTCCACAAAATATTACAGCAGTTTCCTATATTAAAGGATATAGTTGGGTGAAGATGAGTCTTCATCTCATCTTCATGAAGATGAAGTTGGGTCCCTTGGTCCAAAGTGATGTTACACGGTCTCCCATAGAGAATCTGACAGTCTATGCCCTTGTTTGGCACCACTCTCGGAGGACTCACAGAGTGTCTGATCCACCAGTAAGGGAAAGCAGAACACTTCCTCGGCTCAAGGGACTCACGTGACAGCAAAAGAAATATAGCAGTGGCCTTGTGACTTTGAGATCCACTGCTCCTACACAAACCTAGCCTTCCAGAAGATTCTAATCTCAGATGGGGTTGGAATGCGGGGTCTCTTAAAGCTGCATCAGCTCAGCTAGCTTGGAAATGACACCCTGTGGGGCAGGATAGTACTCTTCTGGAGTTTGTTTACTGCTTAGAGTGAAGTCTTTTATGTAATGCTGTGTTCCCAACAGGCAGAAAACATGGGTTTGGAAATCAAGTAGGAGTAGCCAAATTCACTGTCACTGATGGTGATCATAGGAATTTGGGCTTCTCATGCTTTCAACTTTAGGCTCTGTGGGTCTCGACATCTCGATTCTTGGGCAGGAACAAAGAACTCCACTAAACTTAAAGCTATGGCTGTTGCCTAGTCACTCAGGACCCTCATGCCAGTAGGCCAGGAGGCCTGGGAAGAAATGACCATCACTAGAAGGGCTGATGCTGTATAATCAGGACGTGAGGAATATCCATGGCACTGAGGTGGCCCACTAAGACACACTTGGCGTTGCCCTACGTGTAGCCTGATAAGACTATGGAAACCAGAGGCTCAGACCCTGGAGGGATGAGGGTCTAAGTCATCCTACCCCAACAGACGTGCTAGTTGAGGATGAGGGGACTCTAGAATGGGTGGCAAGAAGGGCAGAAGATAGAGAGTATCAGTTACAACCTTGGGACCAACTGTAGCAGCTGAAGGCTGCAGTTTGTCCCACTAGTCTCCTTTTGTAAATCTTCCCAGAAACAGTGACCCATGAGAATCCTGGGGAACCCATGCTTGCATGGAAGGAACTTAATGGAAGAAACAAATGAGCACGGTCAGCTTCAAGGGCATGCAATGTGTGTACTTGCAGAGGGTCCCATGCTCCAAAGGGCCCAGGGTTTGGTTTCCTGCTCTGCTGTCACCATCTTGAAATCATAATTTTATCTTTGAAGTTGTTTGTGAATGAAGTCTCTTGGGATAATGGAAGGCACATGTGAGCGGAAGAGATGTGCCCACTATGTGTTTGCTTGCTTGCTCCCATTTGCAAAGAGCTCACACGATGCTGGTGAGCATAGCGTTCAAGTGGACCTACTATGCGCATGTGTTCATTGAGACTAAGAGTGCATACAAAGTAAATGTGTTACATTTATGACTGAGTAAGCAGGGTGCTGACAGCTCTAAGAAACCAGGCTTTCCGTTCCAACCAGAGCTTGCTTTGAAAGCAGAAAGAAGGCAAAGGCATTTGAAGAAAGCCATTATTCATGTGGCCTCCCCGTATCAACCAGCAGCTTACAACAAAGGATGATTAGAAGGAATAAAAGATAAAGTGACTCCTGGGTGCCCATCTCACAGTCCTGCCTTACTCATCAGCACGCTGAATGTAGGGAGTGTCAGTACAACACAAACTGAGAAGTGAAATGAAAACTAAGTTGAGTTGGTTTTGCACAGCCTTCCATTGTTCTGGAAAGAACAAGCTGGAGATGCATATGTGACCACAAACTTGCAATCTCGGGGCCTACACAGAAGCCAAATGCTCTCATGTTTGCAGTGGAAACTGGCATTGCATGACACAAAGATGAATGGTACAATTCAGGCTACTAATTTAACTTCTACATATTTCTTTTCCTCAAACGACATTAAACAGCAAATAAAAAAACCACTAACAAGTCACAAGAGAAAGACTACGGAAGAAACTAAGAAGCTAGATATTTCAGCACCTTCAGTGTTCTTTTCCCCTGATTTCTGAACACAGGGCTCTGCTCAGGGATCTGAGCACTGCCCCTCGCAGGGCTTCCCTCTCCAGCCACAGCGGCTGTGACTGCTGGCTGCTGTCTCGCACTGCTCCCTCCTCTTGAGAACTATCCTTGGATGGGAGCCCCCTCCCCGGGGAGGTCGCCTGAATGTGCGCTGGCAGGCCTCAACCACGGCTGACTGATGGACATCACTCACCTGCCCTTGGGCCTCAATGGGGGACAATTCTGTTGTGCCGCTTCCAACCTTGCGCGGGTTCGGGCCAAGGCTAGACTCTACCCTAGACTCGTCCTTGCCTTGCTTTCCCCTCCCCGGCCTCCTGCCCTTGCTCCCTTACAGGCTTCTCCTGATGAGTGTCCTCCCAGTAACGCATGCACACCCTAATGTCTACTTTCATATCTGTTTCTGGGGGACCCAACCCAAGACAGCAACTCAGTCCCCATGTCCACATGTATAGAAAACGGAAATAAAATTTTCACACAAAAATATGCCCTGTTTTGTATTCTTCTGTTGCACCACCTGACCCAGCCAATTGATTTCATAACCCACTTACTAATAGACGGAACCTCCAGTTTTAAAATGACTGATCTGCGGGACCCCAGAGACGGAAACAAGGAACTGTGTCCAGATGGCGGGACATGGTAGGGAATGCCAGAGGAGGATGGATCTGTGTTGGGTCTTCAGGGATGAGGAGAAGTTTTACAAATCAGTCATACAGAGGTGGTCATTTCAGTGAAGGGGAGGAGCCACTGTTTCCCACTCTCTTCTTTCAGATGGACTCAGAATGAGAAGCGCAGAGAGTCAGAGAAGCCTCCATGGGCATGTGGTGTGGGAACAGAAACAAGAGAAAGAGCGAGGCCGCCATACTGGTGTGCGTGGACCCAGGAGGAAGAGCCCCGGCCAGGAAGCCTTCTCTGCTCCTCTCAGCTGGAGGGGGCTCCCTTTAATCCTGAGTCCCTATCACATTATGGGCACCTCTTCTCTGGTGCTCCCCTCAACCCCGCAACCATTAGCTGTTGGTGTACATGGCTCATTTCTACAACAACAATCTCAAGGGCAGGCTTCACGTCTACATAGTTTTATTATGGATCCAGGCATTTCATTCCCTCAAGGAGGTCTCTTATCTGTAAGGAACTGCCTCAGGTAGATTCATGAACAAGACAGCCAGCAGCTGATTTCACTTGCTTTCCAACACGTGCACTCGTGCACATGCACACGGGAATGTTCAGTAAGCAAAGATGCCAGGGTATGAATGAACGAATGAATGATTGGGTCTCAAGCACCCCCAACTTCCGCTAATATAGTGGGATGGCTACAAGGTCCTCAGGTCTCCTCGGGCCTTTTGAAGCCATTGGAGGGGGGTCCTGTGAAGTGTGGGCTGGATGCCCTGGCCACATCCCATGGCCTCAGATTCCAGGGCACAGCCATGCACCAGCCCCAGGGATATCCCCATGTCCTTTACCCTCCAACGAGGGGGAGAACTATTCCTCAGCACGGAACATTTCCTTACTAAAATGACAAGAAATTATGCAATACCTGACTCTCTGACTCCAGAATCTAGCTTTCCAGAAACTTCTGTCTTGAAAGAAATAAAGCTACTGATGTGTGGCCCAGAGGCTCTAATTACTTTGAGCTGGGGTCCTCCTTTCGTCCATCCCTCCTGGAGGATACGAGAAGCTCACGAGGCCTGAGCACTTAGCCGGGCCCCACCTGGTTCTGAGCACGGTTCCTTGTTCACTCAACAGCAGGACAGACAACAGCCATGAAGAAGTGGATTACCTCACTCCGCTCGTCAGCACGTACACTCTGCTTCTGATTGCTCTTCAGTATTATACTGCCCTTGTCAACTGTGAAATCGCTCCCCTGTTGCTGGAAATACACATCACATGTAGGCAACGCTGTTGCCGATACCTTAACAAGAAAAGAAACGACAGTGTAAGCAACCGGCAGAAGTTCCCATTATACTGCAGGGCGAGAGTTTCCGATTAACCAATAACCTGAAGGTAATCCTGATTCTCATTTCATAGTCTCAGGAAGGAGCCATGAGGCAGCTGATACTTTTCTGTTCCTCTGCGAACATGGGAAATTTTTGGTCGTCTGATGAGCACGTGTTGGGTTTTCTTTTTAAAGGATGCTGTGTCCCAATGACATTCGAGACTGGGGAAACATTTATTCTTATCTACTAGTTCTACGGTGTGGAAAAAAAAAGCACAAATGCTGTCTTAATGTGAAATCTCAAGAAAAAAGTTGTAGAAAATCCACAACAGGCATGGCGGCGAGGCCCAGACTCATTAGCTTAGTGTCACTCTGGCTACTCCCTAGACCCATTCCTGGCAGTTCTCACAGTTTGTGGGATTTGGCCTTTTGGGTTCCCATGAGAGATTCGAGCCGGAGAGCCAAATCCCCACAGCCAAACTGAAGCAGAGGAACTGCAGTCATGCTGCTCTGGGGTTCCTTAAGACGCTGGCCTCGCGGGCTTCTCTTTGCTACATGTCCTCAGTGGTGACCCAGTCAGAATCTCCAGTGGCTCGGTTCCAGGTTGCTGCTGGGCTCTGGACATGTGTGTTTCCTTGGCTGATGTTTCATGGTTGGTGTTACTACCAAGATTTTAAATTTCACAGTTTCCCTGGTTGTTTGTCACGAGCATGCAGTCCTAGGCTCAGCTGTGGCCTGCTTCCAGAACTCTCTTACTCTAGTGTTTACTGCTCTGATTCTCAGCCACACTCTGACCAGCTGCCTGACCTCTGTGATGAGGACCCTTGGACAGGCTACACTGGATTATGTCAATTTGGTCCTCTTCTTTGTGTTTTTTTTGTTTGTTTGTTTGTTTGTTTTCCCCTCACCAATTGAGTTCATCATGTAACACAAAATTAGAGACTATTTTATTAATTTCATACAGACAGTATATTATAGAATTAGCCTTATACTGTATTAAGTTTTATACTATGTTAAATTCAATCAATATTAACTTTTTGTGACCACAAATCATTTCTATAAGAAAACAGACCAGTGTTTCCCAAACTGTCTATGAATCACCTAGTTCTCTGTTAACACAAAGATATGATTCAGTAGGTGTGGGGTGAGGCTTAAGATTCTCCAAATGCAGTGAACTCACAGGTGATGCCAACCTTGTTGGTCTATAGATGACATTTTGAGTTGCAAGGATGTTGCCATCAACGGAATATTTGTGTCCCTGCAGAATCCATATATAGAAGCCTATTCCCCAAGGCGATGGTATTTAAAGGGGGGGGCCTTTGCAAGGTGATTGGGTCATGAGAGCATATCCTCATGAAGAGGATTAGTGCCCTTATGAAAGGAACCCCAGAGAACTCCTTTGCGCCTTCTGCTGTGCGAAGGCTCAGTAAGAAGATGGCTGAAAATGAACTAGGAAGCGGGCTCTTGCCAGACACAAATCTGCTGGAGCCCTGCTCTTGGACTTCCCAGCTTCTAGGACTGGGAGAAGTAAATTTATGTTGTTTATAAGCCACCCAGTCTATGGTGATTTTGTTACAGCAACCTGGATAAGTTAAGATACACACACACATACACACACCTTTTGAAGACCCAACAAGAAAGTTGATCATCATTTTTAGTTCCCCAGAGTGTTTAAACAACTACTTGTAAGTTGTAGACTTAGAGTCACACCCTTTCATGTGTCCATCATCCTTTCTCTTCTCTCTGCTACCTATTAACTCGGACCCTTCCTTATTCCTGTTGGACTATTGCAGTCCGCCCTCCCTCCATCCCAGGCCCCACTTGTATGAGACGGCACTGACAGGAAAACCGAGGACAGTCTTCCTCAGGTCAGTCCCTTGCTCAGAAAGCTTCAGTGAGTTCTCATTGCCCAGAGAATAAAATATAGTTTCTCTAATAAGAGAATCTAATGTTCTTTTCCAATACTTCTTCCCTGTACAAACTTCCTGTTCCATGAATGCCCCTGCCCTGTCTCTCCTGTGAGCCATTACTTACAACTTTTCACCAAGGCCACCAACTGAAACGTTTCTTGTTTTCAAGTCTCAGCCCAGATTATTCTACCTGTGCATTTGACCTGCTCATAAAGGATCACTCACTCTGAAATTATAACACATTGCACGAAGCAACTCTCCTCATCATATGGGAAGCTGCCTGGAAATTAAAGATGCCCACGCTTAGGTTGTTTGGAAAGTTAAATTAGATAATGCATGTGAAGCGCAAAGCGCAAGGCATTAACAAAATGGAAATTTGTGGGGGTTTGTTTTGTTTTGTTTTGTTTTTTTAAGATTTTATTTATTCATTTGACAGACAGAGATCACAAGTAGGCAGAGAGGCAGGGAGAAAGAGGGGAGGAAGCAGGCTCCCTGCTGAGCAGAGAGCCCGATGCGGGGCTCGATCCCAGGACCCTGGGATCATGACCTGAGCTGAAGGCAGAGGCTTTAACCCACTGAGCCACCCAGGCACCCCAATTTGTGGTTTTTTTTTTTAATTTTTAAAAGTAAACTCTACTCCTGACCCCAAGATCAAGAGTCGCGTGCTCTACCAACCCAGCCAGCCAGGGGCCCATGGAAGTTTTCTTAGTCACAACAGCAAGGGCATAGTAAACATACAATGCATAATTATTATATGAATGCACAAATAATTCATATCTAACTTAAATCCTTTCTGCCACAATTATCGATCATGTTTTCAGTGAAAAGGAAATTATTCATGATGCTATTTTTTAAACACTTAACATCAGTTCCACCGTGAATTTACTTTCCTTTGTCTTACACAGGACTTTCTAACTCTTCAAGCAACCTTTCTGGCTCTTTAAACCTGTTTTATAGCCTTGATTTTTTTTTTTTTTCCTTAAAGCCATGGAGAGGAGTAAGTCTTCACATCAAACGCTAGTCTCAGTTCAGAGCTACATCCCCACAGGTTATTATCCTATTTAATGGATTGCTGGCACCCGCCACGTGGTGCACAGGGAATAAATGGTCAGTATCAGTCCGTCTACACTAGATAATTACATCTGCTTTGTGTTTTCTTATCTGAAACAATGGGAACGATTGTATTTATAGTAGTGTGGGAAAGACACCACTGTGTGTCCCTTCTACTGTTTCACTGTTAGTTACCACATTCACAATGCTTCTGACACCGATGTGCAGGTTTATTCCCACACCCACCAAATCTCTGACACCAGCTGAGTGTCCTATAATTTAATTCAGTCCTGACACCATCTCCCTGGATTCAGCATCAGATGCCACAGGTTAAGGTCTCGGTCCCACTAGACTGCCCCACCCTCCTTCAGAAGCCGGCAGAAAAGCCAGGTTGTTCCTGGGACTTCTGACCAACCAGCTATAAAGTGGGATTCCCATGACCCCCTCCCAGAGCTTGATAATTTGTTAGAGTCACTGACAAAACCCAGGAGAACATTTATGTTTCGCAGTTTATCATACAATAAAGGATCGTATAAAGGATACAGATAACAGCCAGAGGAAGAGACACACAGAGCAAGGACCGGACTGGGAGGTTCTGGAAGCAGGAGCTTTGGGTCCTGGAGTCGGGGTGCACCAGCCTCCTGGCACATGGATGTGCTCACCAACCTGGACATGCTCTGAACACCATACTTTGGAGATTTTTATGAAGCTTTATCACATAGGCATGATCAATCATTATCTCCATCTCTAGTCCCTCTCCCCTTCCCAGAGAATGGGTGAGGGGTGGGGCTGAAGATTCCCAGCTCCTAATCGTGGCTGGTTCTTTTCTGGTGGCCAGCCCCCATCCAGAAGCCCATCAAGAGTCACCTGATTAGAACAAAGGACACTCCTATCATCCAGGAAATTCCAAAGGATTTAGGAGCCCTTTGTCAGGAGCCAGGGTCAAAGACCAAATATTAGAACAAAAGGTGTTCTAGCACTCCTATCACTCAAGAAATTACATGGGTGTTAGGAGCTCTGTACCAAGAATCGGGGGTAGGAACTAATACATATTTTCTATTACTTTACAATAGTTACAACCTAACTATAAATACCAATATTACTTTCCCAAAGGTTTTTTTTTTTTCAGTCACCATCATAAAGACAAAATTAAAAACTGCAAAGAACGCAGACATAGAATTGTTTCACTTTATTCCCCTCACCACAGCTGTTAAGTCTAAGCAGGGACAGTAAAAGCCTCTTGTCCCCTACCCCAATTCCGGTCAGTAAAAGGGAATATTCCAAGCCTCCTAAGGGGCATTTGCATCCCTCCCACCAACAGTGTCCAGATAAAGAAGAGATGACAAGAAATGGCTTCATCGCTGGAACCTGGATGAGTTCCCATTTCCTCTCCAAATCCCCTCTTCCAAACTGACCTTCACATGCTTTCTCTCTTTGAGACCTTCACCTTGCATTACCTTTTCCCTTGTCACATTCCTGCCTGCCTGTGGCTGGTGTCACGTGCTTGAGAATGTCACAGGAGTCTAACTGGTATTTTCTCTAATCATTCCCCACGTGTGTGCTGGCTCCTCTAAAGAGACTTTGAGAAAAGTATGTTTAGGGAAAAGACCCCACAGGACTGGGACTTGTAGGAAACGAGGTAGTGTGCCAAGTGACATTTGCAAGCGCACATTCCAGCGAACATGGCTGCCTTCAGCGAGAACCGCTAAGCTGAGACTGGCTTCAGGAGACCAGAGAACACAGCGTCCTTGTGGGTTGGGCGCCTTCCTCATTCATTCATTACAGAGTCTGTGACGTTCCTTCCATGGGTGAGGAACGGTGGTCAGCACTAGGGCAACAGTGGTGAATGCGATGCACTTCTATCCTTCCCACTCACAGTCTATAGTGCCTTGGGGAAGGCAGACAAGCAGATGCTCAATAAACACGTCCTATCTGATGGGCACATCGAAAGAGCAAAATTGAAATCACAACTTAATCCAATTCCCACTTACATGTCAGGCTCTGCTCTACAACTAGACTACGGATATTAAATAAAATGCAGACTCTGCCCTCAAGAATTTCTATAATCTTCAGTTCTATGATAAATTCAACTCTACTCCGATCTGCATATGTGGGCAAAACCATTCTTTTCGACCTCACCCTTGATCTCAAGGGTGTGTTATATGTATGGACTGACACGCCATCAGATCAAATCTGTAAGGAGACTAGATGAAATACGAACCAGAGGCGCAAGTCCTTCCAGTGGGGTGGCCTCCTCTGCCTCATAGAGATAGAAATTCAAAGGAGCAAAGAAGTAGCCGGGGACTGGTTCTGTGCAGCGGCGGCCGGTGACATGCGGGCGGCATTCACACTGTCCATCCTTGGGGGAGCACCTGGGGAAGACCAAATCCATCGGGCACAAATGTTGCGGGGGGAGCGGGCAGGTATAAAATGAAGGCAGGGGGTGCTGAGCTCAAAGCCCTCTGAATTTGGACCCACTCTTTGAATCGATCAATCAGTCATCTTGATGAGGAAGTTAGGAGGCCATGGACTCCATGTGTCTGGTCTTGAAAAGCCAATCCAGATCCACAAAACCCAAGTAGCCACTTCTTTCCTCTGATTCTGCTCTAAAGACTGCAAAAAGGAGTGTAGGACCTCTCTTTACAGGATGGCAAAAAGTTGGTGTTTTAGGCAGGTCAAGTCACACAAGGCATCCATCCTCCCACCTCCTGGGACACCCAGGGAGTAGAACTGTTTCTCTCTTCCTTAGGAATATTTCAAGCAAAATAAATCAACTGGACTGTAGCACATGCTTCAAGATCATCGCCTTTCAACGCCCTCTGCTTGTCGAGGAATAAAGTCCATTTGGGATGACTACGAGCAAATCGGGATAAAATATGCTTTTACGTGGAAATGTGAGCGATGACTGTAGGCACAGAACACTGTCATTTATTTGACTTACACGTTGGAATAAGCACCTCCAATGTCGCAGTTGCAGGGAGAACAGCCGTGGAGGCCATCTTCCAGTCCCCAGTATCCAGCCTACAAGGAGAAAGAAAATGCTCAGCCAATTCTAGCCCTGAGGAGATTCGCTGCTCTGAAGTGTAATATTAAAACCAGTCCAAGTCTGTTGACTCACGTCAAACAGCCACACGGCCTGGGCAATCACCCAGCCTCTCTTGCCTGCACACTTGGTAATGATCTTGGAGGACACCTATCTCCCATTTCTGGGACTCGAAAGGAGGGGGACAGGCGGGTTGTCTGCAGATGAGTCTGAGCTCAGATGTGGCGGAAACCATAGGGTCCTCTAGCAGTACCAATTTCAGATCAGTCTGGAGAGAAGGGCTTTAGCTGATTCGCAACTGCTTTTGTAAAACCAATAGGTTCCCTTACCACAAAATCATTGGGGATTTTTACCTCTACAACCCCAAAATGTTTGGGGATAAAAAAATTCAATCAAGCTGCTTTTGAGATCTTAGTTGAATATCATAGTTCAGTAGGCTCACTTGTTTATAAATAAGTCGTTTTGGCACAGTACACTCTATGTGAGAGAGTCAGCTCTGCTCGAGACTTTTTTCATCATTGCAACATCTTGACCTTTATTCAATATAAGCAGCTGGTAAGATACAAACAACCAGTTCTTAAATCTGATAACATTTACTATTAAATGCTCAAAAAAAAAACCAAAACACAAAAAACCCCCAAACTTCCCCCTCAGATCTCCAGTTAACACACTCAGAAAAAATTAAGTTCTTAATAATAGGTAGTATCGATACATACCTTTTTTTTTTTCATTAGCTTGGTACAACTTTATGCCTGATTTTACTCAAAAAGATTTATTTTAAACATTAGAAGTTGACATAACTTGTTACAAAACACAGGACAGGACTCCTGATATTTTTCCCAAAACTAAACGTCAGTTCAGGCAAAAACAATGTGCCATGACTGGCCTTACTCAGGATGTGGTTGTGAAAACTCCCCCATTCCAGGCATGCTGGCATGCGGGATGCAGAGCGGGGGATGGGGAGCAGGTGAGGGGAGATAGGGCCTGGCGCAGGTCAGGGGGCCTGGGCGCCACCGGACACAGGAGGAAGTGGGACACCTGCTGGAGGCGTGGGCTCAGCCACCATAGACAAGCCCCCCCCCTCCCCCGGGGTGGCCCTGCCCAGTTATTGTCCTGCTTCCTTCTCTGTTTTGTCCCCACACGGCCACACAGCTGGCCCGGCCCCCTTGCTTCATAATTTCTAGGTCACCTGCCCTGTCTTAGAGAGTTCCCACTTCGCACGTGCTTCCTGGATTTCTTTCCCCACCTCCTGTCCCCCTTCCTCATATGTTTTCAGTAAAACAACTTAAAATATTAGCACAAAACTATGTTGTAATAGGCATATGTTTCTTATTTATCAGCTACATTTCTTCAGACACATCAAGGTCACTGTTCTTTTATTAGGTTAAACTTTTTTTTTTTTCTTTCTAAAATGTCATGGAGGGCTGCCAAGATTGGAGAACAAAGGGACGAGTTGGATTTGAACTCCCTAACTGCAGGACACATTTCTTATGGTGTAAAAAAAGGTTTTCTTTTACTAACTTTAGACATATGTGCTCATATGTTTAGAGGAGTCTGTGAAAAATCCAGGATTTTATTTCCCACAGGAATCTACATTCCATGTAAACCTGTGGTTTGGGGTTTTTATTTTATTTTTTTTTGAAATGAGCTCGTCCAAAATATTTTTAGGCAAGGAGTGGTAGGGGTGGTAAAGGGAACTGTATGCGAGAGACAGAAGAAAAGGCTCCATGATCTGGCCGGCTGAGAGAAGGGAGCAGATCAATTGTCACAGTCTATCCTGCTTGGCGCTTTCAGAAGAATAGCGCATAACACTTCTAACATCGGTGCCTGGGTGGGTTCAGGCGAATCTGGTAAAAGTTGGTGTACTGGTGAGTGTTTAACAACTGGCAGAATTATAGTGTCATCCAGCAAGAATTATAGAAGACCTGGAAGAATTATAGAAAATTCTGGAAGAATTATAGAATTCTCTCTGGAAGAATTATAGAAAATTCTGCTGTTTGCTGGTTTTTGTAGCTTAAACAACTCTTCCCAGGGAAGTCTGAAATACATCAGGACAAAGGAAGCAATTAACAAGACCAGGTCTTTTCTGGGCAATGGCAGTAGAAATCCCACACATACAAGGGAACATACAAGGGAAACATACAAGGGAAATCCTAGGCAAATACATACGGTGCATTCTTCACAGTGTGGTCCTGTGGCAAACGACTGGCACAAGCACTGCCCCGTGTCCACATCACAGGCTGAGAGGGGAAGACTCCCGAAAGGGTTACAGTCACAGGCTGAAAGCACGGCAAACACAATTATTCTTGTTTTTGTTGACCCCATTCTTGTCCTGAAGAGCTCACACTGAGCCAAATGCATGGCCCCAAGAAGAGAACAGCCAGCCTGCCTAGTGTATCGTCTTGTTGCACGATTATTGTGGTGCGTGCACCCCCACATAGGAAAGCCAGGGCCAGATGCTTGCAGAGCGCCCGTGCGGTTTTGCTGGATGACACTTAGGAGACAAAGGAAAAGAAGTTGTGCAAGCAGGGCCAGGTGGCACAGTTACCCTAGTGATTCCAGGGGTGGGGTCAGATTGCTTGATGCAGGCAAGGGTTTCTGAGGGTCCTGGTGTTGTACCTGGTCGTTACCGATGGCTCCTTTTGTGGCTGTTGCATCTAATGTCTTTCTCTTCCCTCTCTTCTTACTGCCTAGTTACTTTCTCCTTTAATTGTCTCTCTCCTCTTTCTCTGCCACGCAGAGGCATCCCTGAGTCCTGCCTATGTTGTAAAGGCTAAGAAATTTACTACCAGAGCAAGATATACATTTCCCCTGCAGGAAAAAACCACTGTTTGTGGAAACAACCCAAATGTCCATCGGATGATGCTGAATGGATAGGTCATATGTGGACTCTCCACACAACGGAATATTGCTCCGCCATAAAAAGGAAAGAAACACAGACACACACTGCAACATGGATGAACCTTGAAAACATGATGCTAAGTGAAAGAAGCTGGTCACAAAGGACCGCATATTGGATCATTTCATTTGCATGAAATGCCCACACTGGGCAAATCTACAGAGACAGGTTGCCTAGGGCTGGGGGAAAGGGGGATGGGAGGGTGGTAGTTAGTCATGGGGCTTCTTTTCTTTTCTTATGGCAAAATACATTTCACCTAAAATTTACCATTTTTAAATACACCAACACTGTTGTGCAACCGATCTCCTGAACTCGATGCCCATGAAATACCACCTCCACCCCTTCTTCCCTCCCCCAAGCCCTTGGCAACCACGACTTTGTGTTTCCATGGACTTAGCTGCCCTAGGTACCTCATGGAAGTGGACAGATCATACAGTAGCTGACCTTTTGGGACTGGCTTATTTCACTGAGCCTAACCTCCCCAAGGTTCATCCATGCTGCCGCATGTATCAGACTCCCTTTTAAAGGCTCATGAATATTCTGTTGTATGTATATGCCACACTTTGTTTGCTCACTCATCCACGGATGGACACTTAGATCGCGTCTACTTTTCGGCTATTATGAACAATGCTGCTATGAACATGAGCGCACACATCTCTCCAAGCTTTTGGGTAGATAGTCAGACGTAGGGTATAGGGTTTCTTTCAGAGGTAATGCAAATGTTCTGAAATTGACTCTGGTGGTAGCTATTCAACTCTGAATAAACTAGAAATCACGAATTGTACTTCAAAGAGTGGATTGTATGGTATGTGAATTATAGCTCACTGAAGCTGTTACAAAAGAAAAAAAAACACACAATATTTGTCCTATTCTGGGAGGTCATCAGGTCAATACTGAACCAGGGAAACACTTGGGTGTGATGAGAGGTGTGATGGGAATTGGCTTGACTATATAATTCACTCTCTTGGAATTTAATGTTGCCATTCATCTCCAGAAGGTAGGTTTCTGCATGCTGCTCTCTAAACATGTAAATAATCTACAGTTCCTCACATGGGCAAAAATACAGAACATGATGCTGTGACCAAAGGGAAATTATTTCCCCAGGATTTCCGGGGGAATCTGCAGTTTTAGAAGACCTCAGGCAGCTCTAAATTTCTGTGATCCCAGGGCCAAGGGTCTCCCATTTGGCCCCAGAAAACTCTGAGGTTCTTCTTATTTCCCTGCAACCTCTCCCTTAGCTCTTTAATTTTTTTCTTCTCTTTGCCAGAGAATAAAGGACCAATTCCAGGAGGGGCATGAGACAAAAGGGGAAAAGTAATTTTAAAAAAGGAAAAAGAAAAGAAACCACCACTTGAAGATTGCTTAAGAAGTTATCAATCTATGCACAAATGCATAATGTAATTTAATGAATCTGTATAAGAGAGTCCAAGTCAGACGACCATTTTTCTAAAGGTTTCGCAACTTGGCTCTGAATTTCTTGGCATTTTCCCATGTTTGGCCCCAGTGGGGTAATGTGAGCGCCCCCTGCTGGTCCCTTATGATAACCTCAGCTCACCACCAAGAGAAAAATCAATCAACTAAAATTTGTGGGAGGGTTTTTTTGTTTGTTTGTTTTGTTTTGCATCGCTTTAGAAAACCCAGAGGCTGGCAATACCTTCAGTGTTTACAATGACCGAATTTTAGGGTTGACAGAGACAGCCCCAAGCTTTAAAACGCATCCGGCTGTTAGACTGCCGCTGCTGACTTACGCTGACAGCCCATGGGGTCGGTCGCATTCAGCCCATGGTGGTTGGGCTTGCACCGGTCACACTTGGCTCCTTCCACGTTCTCTTTGCACAAGCACTGGCCGGCCACAGTCCCCAAAGCAGGATCAGACTGACTCACACACATGCCACCCGATAAGGTCCCGTCTGGGTCACATTCACAGGCTGGGGACACAGACATGCATTCTCTTAGTTAATCGCAAATTGTGTGAAACCTGAGATATAAACATAGCATTTTACTCATGCTATAACTATTTTATTTTGTTTAAATAATTAAATATGTTTAAACAACTAGACTAGTGGGTGAGGGCTATTCAGATATGTCTCCCAGATTTCAGGCTTTGGAAAATGCTGAACAAATATATATATATATATGTATGTGTATATATATATATACATATACATACATATATATATACATATACATATATGTGTGTGTGTGTGTGTATACATACATATATGTGTGTGTGTGTGTGTTTAATTGTTTTTTTTATGGCTTTTAAGTGATTCTAAGGTAAGAGGATCAGAGGAAGATGGTTATTATGAAAACTGGATGTGAAGAGTATATTGATTATTTTGGGGGGTGACGTAAAGGTTTTGGAGCTAGCTAGAGATGATGATCATAAAACTTTGTGCTGTGCTGTACCTTTTAAAATGGTTAATTTTATGTCATGTCAGTTTCACCTCAATGAAAGAAAGATTAAAAGAAGACAATAGGGACGCCTGGGTGGCTCAGTTGGTTAAGCCGCTGCCTTCGGCTCAGGTCATGATCCTGGGGTCCTGGGATCGAGTCCCGCATCGGGCTCCTTGCTCAGCAGGGAGCCTGCTTCCTCCTCTCTCTCTGCCTGCCTCTCTGCCTGCTTGTGTGTACTCTCTCTCTCTGACAAATAAATAAAATCTTTAAAAAAATAAAATAAAATAAAATAAGACAATAAGACTCCAATGGTGAAAATGAAGTCCAGAGGCAAGTAAGCATGGGACTCTATAATGTAATACACAAATACAGATATATATACACAAATATGCAAATACAGATACACACACATGCATATATATCATCCAGGGTTGTGAGAAGAGAAAAAACATTACATAAAATGTCTACCAAATCTCTGAAATCTGGTTAAGAAAGTCTGTCCTTCCCCATCACAGAACAGTAAAGATAAATGTTCTCATTCTCTTTAATTCATCCTTGAGGGAGTACCTTCAAGAAAGAAAGGGCGAGAATAGAAAGAAGGGTTTATATCACTGTTTTCTTTTTGGAAATCTGCTGGCAGGGCAGAAGCTAGGACGAAGAAATTCTGCAAAATGAGATAGTCACCTATAGTCAAGGAGCAAACAAAAGAACCAACCCACCCCTACCCTCTTTTCTGTTCAGCAGAAACTTGAACGACTACAGGAAGGAGTACGCTATGAAAAGGGATACTGATAGTATGAATAATTCCAGAGGGAAGTAATAAAAGGCAGAACTTGATTTGAGTATAAGGAAGAGCTCTCTGACAGTTAGAGCTGCCCAGTAGAGCAGTGGCCCCTCATTTTTAGGGGTAGCGTCCAGGAGAGGCTGGAACATGTCATTGTCTGACAGACTCTTTCAATTTTCAGCTGTTATTGGATGGTGGCTGGTAATAAAATCTTATTATGGAAAAACAGCATTCGGTTCTGTTTAGTTTGGGAAAACCAGAATTTTCTTTTAATTAAATACATTTGCTTCTAGAAAGGAAGGGATAAGCCGGATGCATTTTAGAAGTAGCCCAAAGGAAAAAGGTCAGCTTTATTTGGGAGACACTCCAAAGGGTCAGTACTGAGCTCCAGAATATAATGTAATTAGGTACAGAAGTATCCTTTGGGGAAAGGATGTGGGTGAGGAGGTAGTAACTTTATACAGAAATAACCCTGTGTCATGTCCTTTAGGATAGAAGTCCAGTAAAATTTCTTGGAGTCACACAGCTTAACTCCAGCAAACTCACATCGTCAGTGGTTGAATTGACCAATCTTTGTGTTTTCTCCTGTATCGCATTTGACTGTGTTTTAATCACAGAAGACTTAAAATTAGCCGATCTTAGGCCTGGAATCTGATCATGTAAATATTTAGGCTCAAACAAGGACAATTTGGAGAAAATTTATATGAGAATGCTGGTCAGTCTTAATAAATGCCATTTGTACACTCATACTCCCCCACACATAAACATGTACTTAGGGAAAGTGGGGAGTCTCATGAAGGTTGTTTTTATAATCTCCTCATTTATCTTTCCTTAAAAGAAAAAAAACCTCCTTGTTTATAAAGAACTACTTCTTAATTTCATATCTGGGTACTAGTTTTCTTAGTTTCCTTCAGAAGTGACATCTTAATTCTATCTTTTTTTTTCTTAAAGAATTCATTTATTTGAGAGTGAGCGAGAGCAACTGAGAGAGAGCACAAGCAGGAGAAGGGGCAGAGGGAGAAGCAGACTCCCCGCTGAGCAGAGAGTCTGACCTCGGTGTGGGGGGCTTGAATTCAGGACCCTGGGATCATGACCTGAGCTGAAGGCAGACGCTTAACCCACTGAGCCCCCCAGGCGCCCCAACACGAAGTGGTTTTTAAGGAACAAGACTTTGGTTAACATGACTTTCTGGCTTAGTTACTTCTAATCTCTTTTCAGGTCCCTAGATTATCTGTTTCAAAACATTATATTTTCCCCTGATTCCACCTAAGAGAGCAATTTCTTCTTCTTTTATAAATGAATAGGGTTTAAAACAATAAAATACGTGTGTGTGTGTGTGTGTGTGTGGGTGTGTGGGTGGGTGCGCGCACGCACATGTGTAAGACAGTGGGGAGTGAATTACAGGTTTTGGTAAAAAAATGTAGGACATTTGAAGAAATTTTTTCTAAGAATTCATTTCTTTGTATCAATTTTAAACCGGTCACGTAAGGGAAAACGTTATGCAGTCAGGTACCTACTAAGTCATCTTTTTTCAAAAGCATTTTAAAATTTAAATTCAATTTATTAACATATACTGTATTATAGGTTTCAGAGGTATAGCTTCTGATTTATCAGTCTTATATAACACCCACTGCTCATTACATCACATGCCCTCCTTAATGTCTATCACCCAGTTATCCCATCCCCCAACCACTCCACTAAGTAATCTGAACAAAACCTTCGTTTATGCTTTTTCTACACTGTGAGGATTTAAAGCCTGAAATCTAGGGTGTTGTATATATTCAGGTAGTTTTGAATTACTTTTGTATATGACTTCATTTTATATATCATGATGATACAAAGTCTGAAGCTGTGGTTTTATAGCAAATCCTTCCCCCCCAAAATAACAAAATATTGATGAAACTGCCTAAGAGAGAGGATTTCTGGGTCTTGGGAGAGGCGACCTTCCCTGGGCCCTGGACATACGAACATTTTTTGCTGAGAGTGCCAACAATGCAAGTCCTTGACTGCTCTTCCCCCTGGGCCATTTCTCAAGGTTGTGTTTTCAGCAAGCTACCTTGGGGGATGAGGTAACTTCTTCCCCTGGACAAAGGACAGTCATGCTTCCCTTGAGATAAAAGCAATGAATTCCCCAAGCTTAGTGTTCCTTGGTTGGGGCATAAACTCATTAGGTATGCGGGATCCACCTGCCATCCTTTGAATGGCCCCATGGGACTCAGGGCCTGGGGACATGGGAACACACACCCATACAAGCATCTTGTTGCTTGCTGTGTCATGAAGTCCTTTGCCTTCCCCCCTGGAGTTTCATGTCTTCTGCCAGCATCCATAAAACAGTAACCAGCTCCTTGTCAGTCTGTGAGTAGAGTAAAACCTCAGACCCAGGAACTGGCTCTTGATATTGGAAATCAAGTTGGAGCACTTATCTATGCGGTATTCGACAGACAGCGGTGCTGGGACTGGAGCGAGACAAGCGACTTAACGAGGCGCTCACCACCACGTTAGTGCAAATGGCAGGTGTCAAACCCGTGCTTAAGTCACTCAGAGAGAGACAGAGAGTTCTCCCTGAAGCTTTGGGACCTAAGTGCTTGGCTTGTCTTGCTCTAGTCTCGTTCCTGCAGGGACGTTCAAATGAAAATAATGATGAGACAGCTTTTTGTTAGCAAAAACTGAAGTGGGACAAAACCCAGGGCTGGCCAGGATGCAGAGCAATAATACTCACACACGCTGGTGTGGGTGTTAACTGGTACCCCCACTTAGGGAATGATGTTGTTATCATGTAACTGACTTGAAAAATTTCATACCCTAGTCCAGTAATTCCCTTCTTGGTATGGCTCTTAGGGACAGGTTTTGTGCATGTGCACAGGGCCACATATACAAGAGTGTTTTTTGAAACATCAAAAGAAAAATGGCCCAATAGATTTTGTCATATTTATGGAAGAAAGAGCTCTATGCAGATATTACACACAGATACTGAAACTGGAGCCTGAGGGCTATGTGATAGGGATGAGTCTCCAAAGTATAATGTTGAACAAAATGATCAAGGATACATAGAGTGTGATACCATTTACCTGAAGTTTGAAGACATGCCAACATACATTGTTTGTACACAAGGACACGCAAAAATAGAAACACCAGCATTGTAATGATAATTGCCAAATATGTGAGTTTATCCACAGGAAAGTAGCAAATGGGGCAGGTGTGCACCTGGGGCCCGAGCAGCATCTGTATGTTCATCAAGGTCTTGCAGACGAAAGGGTAAGGTGTGTTTTGACACCGCTGCTTGTGGGCATAAGGGTGCTTATTATACTATTCTTTATTATTTGTATATGCATAAGATATTCCATTTTTAAAAGTGGAGATTTAAGACAAAATGAAAGATTTGTAAAGATTTAAAAAAAGAAGCAAGGTGGGGTGCCTGGGTTGCTCAGTCAGTTAAGCCACTGACTCTTGGTTTCAGCTCAGGTCACGATCTCAGGGTCGTGAGACTGAGCCCAGCATCAGGCACCATGCTCAGCATGGAGTCTGCTGAAGACTCTCTCCCTCTCTTGCTTTGGCTCCCTCTTTCTCTCTCTCTAAAGTAAATGAAGAAGAAAAAGAAGGAGAAGAAGAAGGAGGAGGAGGAGGAGGAGAAGGAGAAGGAGAAAGGAAGAGAAGAAGGAAGGAGAAGGTAGAACGAAGAAGAACAAAGAAGGAAGAAGAAGGAAGAAGGAGGAAGGAAGGAGGAAGGAGAAAAAGAGGGAAGAAGGATGAAGGAAAAAGGAGGAGGAGGTGGAGAAGGAGAAAGGCCATGTAGTTTATGCATCTTATCAGCAAAATCGAATTGTCTACAGCCAGACTAATGCTGCAGCCAATTTCACTATGGATCTTCCTCGACTTAAGGCAGGGCTCTGATAAACCCATCATAAGGCAAAAATTTAAGTCGAAAATATATTTAATACATCTAACCTACCAAACATCACAGCTTAGTCTAGCCTGCCTTAGCAGTGCTGACGACACTTACACTGCCTGACAGTTGGGCAAAATCATCCAACACACAGCCTGTTGTATAATAAAGCGTTGAACGTCTTGTGTAATTTACAGAATACTGCACTGAAAGTGAAAACGGAATGGTTGTGTGCGTACAGATTGGCTGTGGGTGGATTATTGGTTGTTTCCCTCCTGCCCAGCAGTGCTGCCTGGGAGCTGCCGCCCCCCCCCCCCCCCCCCAGCATGGGAGCGACGGTCATCCCCTTACGGCCAGCCTGGGGATAGACCCAAGTTCGAAATCTGAAGTAAGTTTCTACAGAATGCCTGTTGCTTTGGCAGCCTGGCAAAGTTGAAGCGTCCTAAGTAGAGCCAGCTGGCCAGGGTAAGTCAAGTCCTTGTGGTTTAACTACTCCCTCCCGACCCCCACTGACCTCCAGGACATGCAGGTGTCCACAGCATCCTCTGAAACCACATTCCCCCTCCTGGCTCAGTCAGGGCGAGTTTCCCCTCTTACCAGTGCCGGCCACTGCCTCGGGGCTACCAGCATGGACCTGGATCATTCGGCCCAAACCGTGCTGAGAACGAAGGCTCTTAGAGCTGCAGCGCTTTTGCAAGCCCCCCGGCCCCTAAATCAGGCGCTTTGGGGATGCTGCAAAACTGAGCAGGGGGCTTGGGAGGGAGGCCTCTCCGTCAGCCTTTGCTCACACATGCGGGAGAGACAGGCCCAAGGCCGGGGACTCACGGATGCAGGCGTACGGATCAGACATGGCCTTGAGTGGGTCCCTGTAGAAGAGGGGTCTGCAGCGGTCACAGTGCTGCCCCTCAGTGTCGTGCCGGCAGTCTTCGCACACGCCCCCGCTGCGGCCGCCGCTCCTCACATACGCAGTCATGTCGAAGTGACAGCGGTCAGAGTGGCTATTGCAGTGACAAGCTGAGGAGGGAGAGGGGTTATGAGAGATTGCTCAAGGTCTGGGGGACACCGGGACTGCGTTGGCGCCAATCACCGCAGCCGTGTGCCCCTCCATCTCCTGCCACTTCCCCTCTTGTTAGAGACACACCAAGCATGCACGGATTTTTTTTTTTTTTAAGATTTTTATTTATTTGGGAGCGAGTGAGAGAAAAAGAGATCACAGAGGGAGACAGACCTGCTGCTGCGTGGGGAGCCTGACAGGGGGCTCCATCGCAGGACCCTGGAATCAAGACCTGAGCCCAAGGCAGACCCTGAATGGGCAGAGCCACTCGGGCATCCCCAGTACACACAAACGAAAACAGGGGAACTTCAAAGGATCTTCCTGGTGCTCTCTGTAAAATGTGCTCCTGATGTTTAATATTTGCTTTTCCTTTTAATATCAAATAAACAAAAGTAAATCATTTAGGTGATCCAGAAGGCCTAGAATGCAATTTTTTTGTTTTCCAGTAAAGAACACTTTTACTGACTCAGGCTTTGTAAACTTGAATTTTTATTTCACATCTTCTGCGGGTCCAGGGACCCTCAGGTAAGATGTCAGAGTTGGGCCCCCACCTGCTTCTCCATCTCTGCGGGCAGCAGGAGAGCACGAAGGGTGGCCGTAGGTCATTCTCATCCCATGTGGGGCTCAGCCGGAGCACCAGCGGGAAAGGACTTCGGTGGTAGAATCTGTGCTGTATGCCTTGCTGGGGATTCCCTGTAAATAGCAAAATCTCAGGCTCCATTTTGCTGGGTGTGGCTCACTGTGGCTCTCCCGGATGGCACATTATCATGAGATGATAACGCCACCTTCCAGTCACCTCTTACTCCCTCACATCCTATCTGCGCACCCCCCCCACCTGACCTCTATCAGTCTGGGAAAAGAAACGGAGTAACAAGTTTGTATGGAAGTTCATCAAAATTCAGAGGTGGCAAACACATTACAAGAAACCCCTCTAACTTACAAGCCTAAATATTTCACAAAAAATACAACAGCCTGTCAGACTGGATCCTTGTTCTCATCTCTCCTGACACATGTGTTTAAGATCCAGTTCACGGGGGGCGCCTGGGTGGCTCAGTGGTTAAGCATTTGCCTTCAGCTCAGGTCATGATCCCAGGGTCCTGGGATAGAGTCCCAGGTTGGGCTCCCTGCTCACAGGGGAGTCTGCTTCTCCTTCTCCCTCTGCCTGCTGCTCCCCCTGCTTGTGCTCTCTCTCTTTCTCTCTCTCTGTGTCAAATAAATAAGTAAAATCTTAAAAAAAAAGAAAAGATCCAGTTCATGGACTGTATGATCATTCAGGAAAAGGGTAGGGATCTCCATACCAAACCTAGGCTTGCCAGATCCTGGCCCAGCCCTGTCTCCAATGACACTACCGGTCCGTGGCTCTGCCCCTCCTCCGGAAAGTGACCACATGACCTCCACATGACATGCATATTGTTTCGGGGTGTAAATTACTGCTCATGTTTGGTGTGAAGGCTTGAGAAGTCAGTATTCTTCTCTGCGAGGTCATGGGAGACATTAGGATATCCCACAGCCGGAGGCGGGAGGACAGTCCCTCACCCCTGCCGCCCGCAGCCCCACTGAAATGGACTAAACTGGCCTTTGGGCAGCGCAGAGCACCCTGGGTCCAGGCTGAGAACATTCCCCGTGTACCTCTGCACGTGCTGTCCTGGTGGCCTGCTCCCGGCCTCCACGGGGCGTCGTGGAAGAAGTCCCTGCACCTCTCACAGTTTGGGCCGTCTGTATTGTGCTGACAGACGCAGCGACCGTGAACCTGCGTGGTGTGGCAAGCGGGCTTTGCTGGAAGGATGCTGGGGTCTGTCGTGGAAAGGGAAATAGCAGGCCGGGCGCCTCTGTGGGACTTAGTGTCGCTTGCTGGTGACAGCACCAACCGGGACTAGCCTTTGTTATTTGTTCAACCAGCTCTTAAATTTTGGAATAAGTTTAAGAAATGCAATATATTTTTTGGCATTTCTGAGTTCTACTTTTAAGGCAACATACGGCAGACCACGCACCAGGGGAGACAGGATGGGGAGTGTGTGTGTGTGTGTGTGTGTGTGTGCGCGCGCACACGCGTGTGTGCAGAAGGTGGCTGAGGAGCATAAGGGAAAAGAGAGAATTAGAAAACAGAAAGAAGCTGGAGAAAAAGGTGTGATTCTCTTGGCTTTTCCACAAAATGCCGTGTACGTCCAAGTTCAAAGAGACAAGTTCTATTTCTAGTGAAATATGAGGTGGCTGACAGGGAAGCATCCCGCCTTGTCTGATCGTGGCTAACAGTTTACAATTATTTCGCGGACACACTCTCGGGACTCGGCATAAAAACACAATTCTCCTACTACATTCCTCTTTGGAGACTCTTCCCAAGCACGGGAGAGATCAGGGCTAGGAACAGTCATTCCCAGAGCAAGAACCTTACTTGGAGGGGCCGTTTCTGCAGTGACAGATTTTAGTCAAAGACCCTGGCATGGAGCAGAGGCTCTCTCACACAAGAGACCCCCCAGTCACTTCTGTGGGACCCTCCAAAACCAAATAAAACAAAAAGGGAGCAAGATGGGGCTCCCCTGAGATCATAAATGGTAAATGCTACTCATTAATTCATCTGTAGCAGAATCTAGAAGAACCTCTGGCCAGAGAAACAAAGTCCACCCCCTCTCTCCGCCCCCCTGCCCCCTGCCCAGCTGGTGCAGCAGGCCAGGCTGAATGACACCTGTGCCCATGCAGAGCTGTCCCTCCGATGGTGGACCCCCCAGAGAGAGTCTCATCTACATCCAGCGGCAGCACAGTGAAGGGAAGGTAAGAGCAGCTGGGTGCCCTCTGGGATGGCTCAGGAACTCACCATCCTGGGAGGGCTGAACACGTCTCCCCGCACCTTCTGTGCTGGGCCACACTTGCTGGCGTGGCCGTTGCAAAAACAGCTGCCCCGCACCACCATCTTATACAGAGCGTAGTAGTAGTTCCCCAGGGACTCATTCTCCCTCCTTCGGAGCAAAGTGTCCCCCAGGGTATGGAGTTTGGTAAAGTTTATCCTCAGATTTGTTAATGTCACGAGGTCTAGAAAAAGGAAAAACAGCAAAGCAAAGCACACTTAGGTGGCCTCAGGTCAAGGGCCCCTCCCGGACTGACAGCCCCTTCATGAACTATAGACCCACAGTGACGAGGCATACGCCACACCCGGAATTCTAGAAAAGGAGCTTGTGCGAACACAGAGAGTGAGTCATACCCTGGATGTAGGGGCTGTAAGGGTTTGCAATTTCAAAGCTGGGATCCAGAACTTTTAAAACGACCTGTAAAACAAATATAGGTAAATGTATATGCATTTTATCCAAAACAGCCTTATTAAATATACTCTCTAAGAAGAGATCCTGACCGTGCAAAAGGGCTGAGCCATTGCCTCTCCCACCTAAAATACAGATTGTTATTTGGGTTCTCACATGAATACAAGTCCCAAGAATAGAAATGAGTGAAAGATCTTAAACAGTCATTCTGGCTCTTTATGCCCAAGTGGTCCATGAAGGATCCAGAAGAGCTCATGGCTCCTGCCCAGGGTTGGGGTAGAGGGACGGGGTGATAGTTCAGTCGGTCATCATCCTTCTGGATCAGGTGGGGAATTCTAGAGTCTGTCCTCTGTCACCAGTTCTTTCATTCTAACTGATAAAATAATACAGCCCAATACCACTCCCACCCTGACTCTCTGCCAGGCACCAGCTTTGCTCAGAGGAAGCTCCTGGAAGGTTCCAGCTGGGTGCTGGTTGACAGAACATGGAGAGAACACAACTTAACCAGGGCAGCCACTAGCCTATAGCAAAGGGTTAAAAACAGAGGCTCCTTCCTCTGTGGGCCCTGTGCCCTGGTGCCCAGCCTGGGTCTCAGTTCCCACTCACCCTCAGCTGGGCTCTCTTGCAGAATTACTTTCCTTTTCTTTCTTAAGTAGACAAGGGGCTTGAACTCATGACCCTGAGAGATCAAGACCTGAGCTGAGATCAAAAGTTAGAGCTCAACCAACTGAGCACCCAGGTGCCCTGTGCAGAGTTATTTCCTATAAGGTAATTGCTATTTATCTGAGCTCCATTTAGACACCTTCATTCTTAAAAAACAAAAAAACAACAGCTTGAGTTCTATTTCAGTAAACACTACCTAAGTTGTTTTCATTTAAATGAACCACAGGAGCTAAAAAAGTTTTCATTTCTACCAGAGAAATCCAAGAATGGAAAGGCTACCTCGCCACCAGTGGAGGGTTCGATATCCGAATATTTAGAGTCACAAACAAGGTCTCCCACTGCCTGGGCCTGGCCCGAAGAGATATTTGGAAAGGAAGCGGCACAGTCTTTCGCAAAATATTTGAGTACTTTCCAGGTGTGTCCATAGTCCGCGGAACGTTCGACTAACATCGCAGCAGGCCGAAAAGTCTAGGAAAACATGAGGTAAACTCGTAATGCTTCACAAAGTCAGATTTCGTTACCCACTTCAGATCAAACTTTTAGATTTCCTAGTCTCCATTTTTCAAACTTTATTTGCATCTTTGAAAATCTATCATACAATGAACATACAGAAATCTCTTTCCAATCAGGGGTAAGCTTTCATCCCTCTGTACTTTGTTAATGCCCAGTTTCCATGTTTTAGCCCGGTGCTTGGCCGAACCCAGGAGCCCCCAGCTGGGGGTGGAGGCTCTACTCACGATTTGCCCCTCCTTACTGAGACATCCCTAACCTCTGCCCCGTGGGACCCTCTCCTAGGGCCACCGCCTGCCCGGTCCCACTCTCCTCACTCCCACTTCTAATAATAATAAGTCCCTTTTGTTGTTTTCAAAAAAAACACAAACTTTATTCGAGTATTGCCTCGAATCTGGTTCCATTTAAAAGATGTGTATGGGCTGTGTGAATTATTCATTGAAGACAGGAGAGCCTGTCAATTTTTAAAAAGCCAATGTGATTGATACTTTACAGCGATTTACATGTGGTTTTCTTTGACGAGAACACTTTTCTAGGCAAACTCCTCCAACACCTACCAGGAGGCTGATTCTGATTCCTAAGTGCAGAGTTCATCTCCTCAAGGATCCCACCAGCATTCTGAACACAGTTAGTTCCTGCACTCACCATTTTTGTATTATGATTTTTAAATCTCTATGTATGTTCATATCCTTGATTGGACTGTGAGCCCTTTGAGGGCAGACACTTGTAGGGCTTTTTAAAATTTCATTTTTAACTTATTTTCATTTTTTATTACCTTAAGTCTGCTTCTGGCCTGATGACAAAATTAGAATTTTGATGAATGATTTGGGAATGACTGCAGCCCAGGATTTCTTTGGCATCTAACTATCCTTAGTAAAGACCCTTTCATTTTTCTGCCTCTTTTGATAACAACCTTTCTGGATTTCCTTAAATAATCTCCACTTCCTGCCTTTTTCTCCTTAAATATATTTTTCCATTTCTTGCAGTCCCTATCACCCCAGGACTTGGAGTTTTCCTTTCCGCTCTATCTTGTAAGATTTCTTTCTTTCTTTCTCTCTTTCTTTCTTTCTTTCTTCCTTCCTTCCTTCCTTCCTTCCTTCCATTCTTTCTTTCTTTTTTTCTTTCTCCTGTTGACCATCTAAGTGATTAACTAATGAACGGCGGGGTTTTTGTTCTTTTTGTTCTGTTTTCCGCTCAGGAACCAAAACCCAAATGACAAAGCTTCAGTAGAGATGTACAAAGCCCTCTGTGCTCTGCCAGGAAGCAAGGAAGTGCACTCCCAGGCAAGCCCACATCTGATAGGTAGATAGAGGGGGCAGAAAGCCCACATGTCTGTACCTTGAAGGTCAGAATGAGGTGGCTGAACTGAAATAATGCTTCTAGGTCCAATCTGATGCTGACATGATCAAGACCTAAAGAAAAATCCAGAAAGAAGAAAATGAGTGATTTCGAGAGACCCCTATTGATCACATTAATCCCCCCTGTGGCTTGCCCCTAGTAAAAACCATTGAAATCACATAGCTGGGGATCCACACTCTTTCCCAGTGGTCTCTGCCTGTGGTTTCCCATAACACTCCATGTGCAGGAGAAGGTCTATTTGAGAGCAACACAGGGTTTACCGGGACCATGCGCCACATTCATGTTATGGTGGCAGGATTACATCCCTGCAAGGGACTTCCGGGAGGGTCCCCATAGGTGGAAGGCAGGAACGCATGTCCTTCAACTCACCTCTTGACCGCGTGTGCACTTAACGGGGAGCTAGCAAGCCAGAGCCGGGTAAAACCGACAGACACACCCTATTCTTTCAGCAGCTGCTTGATGATCACTTGGCCTAGTTTCATTGTCACTGAGCCTAAAACAGAGCTGACCTATTCCTCTTGGAGCGAGGCTCTGTGGCTCCCCGGGGACGGAGGAGGAGAGGTAGCCCGGCCGGGACTCTGCCCTGAGAGAGTTAGCGGCCCTAGACCTGCAGCCTGGACGTGGAAGACCAGCCCCACTCCGGACCTAACGGAAGCCCTGATTGCTCTAGAGCAGCCCTATCCTGTGGGAATAGAAGTCACACGAAGTCACACGAAGTCACACGTGTCATTTAAGATCTTCTAGCAGCCACACGTCAAAAAGTACAAATAATCAGGTGAAACTAATTTTAGCGTATTGCACCCAATATATCAAAAGCAGCCTCATTTCAACATGCGGTCAACGTTTTTGAAAAAATTAATAATGCTCTCTGTTAACTATTAACAATGCTTCATTTTTTCCAAATGAAGTCTTAGAAATCTGGAGTGGTTCTACACCGCGAGCACATCTCCCTTCCGGTCAGCCGTGTCCTAAGTGCCCTGGAGCACATGTGGCGAGGGGCTCCAGGATGGGACAACAGAGCCCCGAGAGCAGTAACTGGGCTGTAGAGAATGGGAGGCCGTTCTCTTTGGGGGTGAATCACGTGGGAGGGTTTGCTGCTCAGAGGGCAGCCCCATTCCTGGCTCTGGGTCAAGGGCGCCTCACCCTTTCTAGAAAGGAGATCTCCTTTCCCCTCTTGAAGTTCTTGGCTGAGAACACTTGTTCTATGCAAACCTTGTCAGAGGGGCGCTCCCTCCATGAGGAGATGCGGGACAAATGCTGGACACATGGTTTAAAAGAGCTGTTAAGCAGGGCGCCTGCGTGGCTCAGTCTGTTGAGCATCTGCCTTCGGCTCAGGTCACGATCCCAGAGTCCTGGGATCGAGACCCACATCAGGCTCCCTGCTCAGCGGGAGTCTGCTTCTCCCTCTGTTCCTCAACACCCTGCTTGTGCGCTCGCACGCTCTCTCGCTCTCTCTCAAAAACAACAAAAAAACAGCTGTTCAGCAAAAACAGCATCAGTGAAGGCAGGTGGCTGTGGCAAAGCCAGTCCATGCACTAAGGAGAGCCCAGCTAGAGATGAGTAACTGGAATCCCAAATGAGCTGGCATTTTAGTAGACACCAATCCCCTGCTTGCCCGATGGATGGCATAGAATAAGAGCCTCATATTATGTTTGCCCTATATATTATCATCCTACACAGTATTATTATTCCCATGATCCCCAACGGCCTAGGATCCACTGTGGGAAATCTGCTTGGGTGTCTGAAGAGGATGGGGGACTGTAGCCCAAGTACAATGTATAGAGATGTGGCAAGTGGAATTATTTGTGGGCTGAGGGTCCCGGGTGGGTTAAAGAGGAGCCACGCATGAGGGAGCCGGCCTACATCCACTCCAGCACGTAATGCCCAAGGCTGGGGTGGGACGTGAGGAATCCCTGTCCAGTCCTGATCGGGGCACCTCGGAAATGCGGACAGTGAGGGCCGACAGAAGCCTCACTACCCCAATCGTTCATGAAAAAGGAAGGGCACCGATCCAGGAAAGGAAAGACCTTCAGTTAGTACCAACTATCCTTTCAATTCAATTTTTATATGAAAATATTTGGCTCGCAGCAAGAAATGAAATGTTCTTTTTCTCTCTCCCCGCATGTGCTGCAGAAGGAAAAAGTTCTCGGTGCTAACCCTCAGATTTCCCCCAGGACATCCTTAATTCTATGTACACCCGTGTGTTTCATATTAGCCTTGATTTACCAGCACCTTGTAAGTGTCTTGTTTTGTTTTGTTTTGTTTTTCCACAAGGAACAAAAGGATGCACAGGTATTTTCTTCCCGCACATGGAAAGAGTGAAGCACTCGGGAGTTAGATGCTTAAAATACACTGAATTCTCTGGAGGAAAATAACCTTTCCTGAAATGAAAATCCCGTCTGTTCTTATACACAGTCTTACACTCTCCGTAGAGACTGTTCCATTCCAACAGGGCTCCTGGCTGTGAAATTTTTCCGATCATATAGCGCGAAAGACATCTTATTAAAAATATAGAGAAATGAAAAACTGCAAAGTAACTCAGTCGTACCATTCTCAGATTGCCACCATTTCCTTCCTCTCTCTGGTTCAAAACTTGTAATTACATTCTCAATGTTGTGGCTGAGGGATGCGGAGTAGGGGTCGTATGGAAATCTCGAGTCGCAGATGAAGCATTTTTGCTCCCCCTGGAAAAGACCATCATTTAGATCACAAATAAAGAGTCATAATTACTTATTGTTGATCTGAATTTAAAAACAAGCTGTACTTGCTATATTTGTCTTTCAATCTGGCTAAAAATAAAGAGCAAAGGAAATAACAAGACATCAATGTTTCCATCAATAGGTACTTAACAACAATGACAGATGCAATAAAAATATGACCCAGAAATTTTATAAATTGATATATTTGGGGTAAAAATGCAAATTCATAGTTTCACATATATTTGTCTTACACAAATTTACTAATCGTTGTCCTACACAAGAGGCGGATGACCTGGAGGTTACGTGACACTATAGAGAAATAGACAGGATACCGTCTTTGAGTAGGGATTACTTTCTTTAGTTAGAAAAAGACTATTTGGCAAGAAATTAATGAAACACTTGGCCACCAGGTTTTCGGCAACCATCCTCCTTTCTCTCTCAGACATAGTTTTTGGCAGAAAAACTTGCGGTCACCAAAACCTCTACGTCATGGGTTTTGTAAAAACACGTGGATTTTATAAAAGATTCTCATTGAACTTGTAACAGGGAGGCATGCCCCCTTGTCTTGCAGTCTAGAAGGTCTTACCAGTGAATTGGAACTCCTTAGCTTGGGATGGACTTCCAAAGATTACAACAGTCAATACTGGCCTTCGAGTTCGCCCAATTTAATGCATCTATCAGCCACATTTAAAAATCGAGTTGTCCCTGGATTCACTCAACTCTACCTACACTCTCTCCTTGATCTTCCTTGAGTTCACCAGGAACTTAACTGCCCTCCAGTCTTGACACAAGCTGTTCTCGGCTCCCCTCTTCTCCAGCCCTCAAATAGTCCCATCTCTCGCTCCTTCCCTTCTTTGGGGGCTCTGTTTAACTGCCCTCATCTCAGGGAGACGTCTGCCTAAAATACCACCATCTCCCTACCCTTAGGGCCTCTGCCACTGTTTGTTTCTTCCTCTGCTTTGTGATATTTCCTAAGCCCTTATCATTACTTGATACTGATTAGATATTGTTGGATTATTGTCTGTCTCCATCATTAGAATTTAAGTTGAACGAGGGCAAGGACTTTGTTTTATATAAGGTTGTATCCTCCTTACCTAGAACAGTGTCTGGCACATAGGAGATGCTCAATAAAACTTGTTGACCAAATGCATGGTGATTTTGATGACCATTTTAGCTAACATCTGTCAAAGTAAACCAGCCTTTCAAGAGAGCCATATAATCTCTTTAGAATAACTGACCATTATAAGCCTTATACTTACAAAAAACACCAAAATGCCTTTTGGAAATTAAGGAGCAATGGAAGTGAAGCCTATTCTGCATATGGGGGGTCTTGCCCCAGACCAGTTCTGAAAGAGCAGCAGAAACCCTATGATTCCATCAAAAGATGTCAAGACTTCAAAAGATTTCCAATAATACTATGGAAATAATTGGGGGAAAATGTTTAATTTGGGGGTTTATTCTGTAAATATTTTTAGAAACCTAGTCTTTGATGGACCTGGCTACATGGGCTGCTTAGTTGCAGTTAACCAGATGGGGGAGTCCCAACCTGGGTAACACTGTGGGTCATGTAGCCCTACCCAGAACACTTGGTCAGCCTGAAGACATTTTGAGATTTTTTCCCCAGCTCTAAGATTTTAAGATGTCTGGCATTCTTGAGACAAAAGAAACCTTGAAGTCTGATTTACTTCTACTTTTGGTGGTGTGACTTTGAAAGATAGGAGTACCACAACCTAATTATTTTCAGAGTGTGTCATGAGTTGGCTATGGCAACAGCCAGCAAAATGCCAATGGTTGGAGAACAAGATGGGTGATGTCAAAGATGGAGTGTTTCTAATACTAGAGTTGAGAACCACTTCTTTGGCCAGAGGGCCTGGAATTAGTGAAGTCACTGGAAGGGCCATCCATCCCACCTGGCCTAGAGTTGAACAAAACTTCTATTGTGTCATTTCCCTGCACATGTAGAGACTCTGCTTTCTGACACAAGTCCCTCCCAAACTTAGAACAGCGCTAAGCGCTCAGGTATTGTCTCCACTTATTTATAATCATCCTCTTTTACTAGAAACCAATTAGAATACAAAGCATTTCCCAGAGACCTCCAGGAGTTGCTTTCAATGAACAATACATGGAAAAGCCTGGGCCACTAACATTAGGCTTATATCCAACTTCCTTCCTGCACATCCTCTTAAATAGAGGGTTGACGTGATGGCCCCAGGCTCCTCGGCAGGTAGGATACTCAGATGACCTTGGATGCTCGTACTCCTTCCAGAGCATGAAGAAGAAAATGACCATAAAGCAGCTGGTCCTTTTATGAAACTTGTCTTTAAGGGGCGAAAAAGGCATGAAAATATGTTCATATTGGGATCTTTTGGCCTTTAGATAAGACAATTTCCAAGTGGCATTGCGAGGCTGGCATGCCATCAATTTGATGTCCTTACAACCACCCCCATCCCTGAGGCAGGACAATGAGAACTCATATTTAGCCTAATGGCCTTGAGACCCTGAGGGATCTTTGCTCTTCACTGATTGTTCAACTAAATTTACTCTCCAGGAGTCACTAATGCAGCTATGAAGAACAGTACACTGTATAGTAATTGCCTTCAAAGACTGAACCAAGGAGGCTTTTCTGTCTAATCCCAAAGGTAAAAAGAAAGAGATGAAGCAGATCTTCCCTATTTCCTGATCAGTCCAGGGCTCCTGGACTTGGAGTCGTTTCACCTGTGCCTCTGATGTTCAGGAAAGGGTGATGTGTCCTCCTTTCATGTTGCCGGGCTGCCCCCACTCCTGATACACTTGGAAAAATCCATGTCATCAACAGAATAATATCCTAACAAATAAACAAGGACCCACCCACCTCGAGGTAGCTGAGGATGCAGTATTTCTGGGCTCCGTCCAGCCCGCAGGTAGAAGAAGCCGTGAGCTGTGCGCTGCGACCCACCAGGAGATCACCGGTGGTGGGGTGACAGGAGCCCCTTTTGCATTCATCGTGGGCTTTCATGTAACTGAACAACCCTTGAACACAACAGACACGTTGCATACAAGGCAGTCTAAGGGTAGCAAAAGGCTTAAAGAAGCAACCGGTTAAGTTGGAAAGTTAAGAGTCCTATTTATTTTTAAAATAAAAATTGATGCTGTTGTGCCCTTGGCCTAATGGAAATCTCTTAGCCTGCCAGGTTTACCCTCTGTGTTCATGACTCCACCTGGGCCAGCCTGTAGCCAGTGACTGATGGACACAACTCATAAGGCTGGCACCACTAGCTCAGGCTGGGGGCAACTCCGTGGTGTGGTTTGTGCTCGGAACCTTTCATGGAGGAGGTTGAAGCCCCACTCCAGCTGGGACCATGTCCTGCTCCCACCTCCTCACTCTCTTACTCCTCAGAGTCTTCCCTCACTAAATCACTGACACATAAATCCCTGTCTCAGGCTCTGCATGGAGGAAACCTACCTTGAGACAGCCTGTATGTACTAGAAATTTTATAATTTCTAGTTATGCACATTATGACAATAATGTGCATAGACACCAGGAAGGAAAATCTTAATCTAGCCTCTTATACCTATTGTTCCAACCTGTACAAAGTCAATCAGAGAATTTAAGAAATCCTTGGGAAACAACTTTCTCTTAAAATAGGTAAACTCAACTGACCCCCTTTATAACCTGGATTGCTGGGTTTGGATTCACCATGGAACAAATCATGCCCCTTTGGGATATTGTGAGAGATGGAGTTCCAGACCCACGCAAAAATGCCCAACTGATTTTTGAGGCACCAAGGCAGTTCAAAGGAGGAAGGCTAGCCTTTCAACAATAGGGCTGGAGGAACAGGACACCCACAGGCAAGGAAATGAACTGTAACCAATACCTTGTACCTTATACAAATATTAACACAAAATGGGCCTGGACTTTAGTGTAACATATAAAACTGTAAAGCTATAAAACTATAACACATGGGAGAGAGTCTTTGAGACTTAGGACTAGGTGAAGATTTTTAGGATTGACAACAAGAGCATGATCCGTCCAAGGAAAAATCGATAAATTGGACCTCATCAAAATAAAAATTTTGCAAATTACACTGAATGAAAAAAGCCAATTAAAATGTTATGTACTGCATGGCTCCATTTCTTGAAAGACAGATTTATAGAGATGGAGAACAGATTTGTGGTTATCAGGGATTAGGGAGGTAGGGAGGAGGGTGTGGACAGAAAAGGGTCATACTAGGGCTCCTTGAGGGTAATGGAGCTGTTCGGAATCTTCAGTGATCGTCACTCAAATAAAACTACATAGAATTTAATACACACACATGAGTGGGGGTAAAACTGATACAATCTGAATAAGGTCACTTGACTATAACACTGTCAATTTCATTGTCAATTTCTTCATGGGGAGGCATGGGGGGTGGGATGGGGGGGTTACCATTGTGGGAAACTAGGTGAAAGGCGTATGGGCTCTCTCTGTGTTATTTTGTACAACTGCATGAGAACCTGTAATAATCTCAAAAAAAAAGTGCAAAAGCCCACAGAATCCTCTGCCCCTTCAAAATCACTCCATCAGCCTCTGGACAGTAAATCAAGTAAACTGTACACTCTACAATAATATGCACATACATGGCCTGTTCTAGCTGCTCTTCTATACTTTTCCCTTGAGACACAGAGATTTATGTCAAGCCCTGATTCCAGCAGACAGGAGAGGGATGGGCATAAAATGGAAAATCATTTCCATACTATGGAATAAGCTTGGTTTCTCTCCAGCTTTCTCAACTGTAAAACAATAAGAATTTTTTTATGGTCTTGTTTTGCATTGCAAAATCCATTGCAGGGGTTTCTTTCCTTCAACTTTTCCACCAAAAATAGAAGCTATTGAAAAGTAGTGTTTTCTTTCTTTTAGGTCCACATTTCCCATATAAACTATTCTTTTCATCTGGTCATTTTGTGATTATTATCAGACATTAATACACAGATCACAGTTCTATAGCTAAGAATATGACACATAATGTCTCCTTCCATGCAGGTTACCAGATCCCCCTTTGGACAAGGAATTTTCTGTCTTCACTCTCATTGCAAAATTACTCTGATTCCAAAGCAAAGACACAACAGTGCTTTCTCCTTCTTGAAGATAGATAACGTGCAAAAAGTTAGCACCGTTGCATACTTTTGTTTCATTGTATAATAAATGATCCTAGGTTGGTTAACATGGATTTTTTTTTCCTTTTATTCACCCAATAACCCAAACCCAGATCTCCTTTTATCTGTAGGATAAATTACCAATCAGAAGTTTGGACTCCCAAAGACAGAGGCTTTTAAAGACAAGGTCAGATTTAAAAATCTCTGCTAATGCTGCTACGTGTGGATTAGCTAAGACTTCCCTTCCAGGGATTTATTCTTCTAGACAAGTTCCATCCTGAATTCTTTTATTGGAATTGCTGCCTTAGAGGTTTAACATGTTTTTATAACTTGACTTGGCCTAACTTGTTTTGATCAGATGTGTACTTTTCAGAAATAAAAGTATCCCAGGACTTAGGGAAATTGAACTATTATTCTTGTAATAGTCTAAATGAAAATATGAATTTCCGGCCTCAAATACTTGGCAAAAAGTGGCTAGCAACATAAGCAGTTAAAGCTTCATGCCTGAACAGAGACAGCCTTAGCAATACCCTTCCTGAGTTGAAATTTTCAACTGCCAGATTATCCCATTAGCAACAGGTTGGAATTGATTCAGAGAATAAAGATCCTTATGTCTTTAGAGAATCAATGCATTCCTCAAAAACAACATGCATTTTGAAGATAGGATCTGGTTAAACATGAACTTAGAGTAGACCTGGTCATTTAAAGAAAATGCACAGCTCCATAAAGCATCATTTTGTAGAAATGACAGTTATTATATACTCTCTCATTTTGTATGTTGTTCTCATTCTCTTAAACACGTGGGATGTTTTCATATACTTTAGAGTTCACGTTGGAGTTTAAAGGCTGTAAACATACACACACATTACTTACTTTGGGTAAGAAAACTTACAAAGAATGTGTGTTAGGTAAGTTCTGTACTTTGTTTCTAGTTCCTAAAACCTGGTCAATGCGCATATTAGGATTCTTTCTCTGAATCTTCCTTAGAAGGCAAGACTAAGCGCTTAAACAGGCTCCAGTTCTTATAGAAATGCCTGTGGTTGAACTACAAACCAGAAAATGCCCAAGCTGATGATATGGTTCATAGTTTGACTACAGGCAATCCTAGAGATTTGGGTTAGATCAGGGTAAGCTTACAGCTGGAAACCCAGGATCTACTGTACTGAGGTCTTTTCTTTTTCTCTTCTTTCTCAAGATATTTTTAAAATATTTTATTTATTTATTTGACAGACAGAGATCACAATTAGGCAGAGAGGCAGGCAGAGAGAGAGAGAAGGAGGTAGGCTCCCTGCCAAGCAGACAGACCGATGTGGGGCTCGATCCCAGGATCCTGGGATCATGATCTGAGCTGAAGGCAGAGGCTTTAACCCACTGAGACACCCAGGAGCCCCCTCAAGACTTTTTTTTTTAAGTAATTTCTACACCCAACATGGGGCTCAAACTTACAACCCCAAAATCAAGAGTGGCACGTTTCCCCCACTGAGCCAGCCACATGCCACGAGGTCCTTTTCTGCCCAAGCTAATTTGGTTTTGAAGATCTTTCATCCTAGAGAAAGGTCTCCTGATGGAGAAGGGGTCTCTGAGCGACCGTGCTGTGGTTTAGGATTTTGGCAAGGTGTGGGGAAGTCATCCTATATGGAGGTTCAGCGATCCACAGTGCTTGCTTCTGATTTTGCACGCGAGTTTAGTCCCAAAAAGAGCACCCGAGGCAGATGTAGAGGGAAACAGCTCTTTTCTGACCGTCTGAGGCCAGACCTAAATTTCATTGTCCTGGGGGAGAGGCAGTGTAAAAGTCTCTGCTCCCAGCAATTTGTGGCTCATCTCCCCAAGGCAGAGAATTTCCAACAGAGAACAAATGAGCATTTCCTTCTTCGAGCTGTTCTTTCCTCCACCACCAGCAAATCTAACTGGGAGATTGCCTCGGGGTTTGGGAATAGCAACATTAAAACATGAGATTCTTCATTGCTGCCATGAAGAAATTCAGCATGAATCTTTGAAGAGAAGATTCTAAGCAATTTAGTTAGCACTTAGTAACTAGAAGCAAAGCTGTTTCAGAAAAGTCAGGATCAAAGAGCGTAATTGTTGGAAACATCCTCTCTATGACTAATGTAAATTATTCTCAGTTTATTAAAGATGGCAGAGGTGTGGAGGATTTGGCCCTTCAGTGGAAAGCTGCTGCTGCTGCTTACTCAGAAGAGGGAATTTTGCCTGTAAATTCTTCACAAGACCTCATTACTGGGACAAGTGCTACATTCAAATGGGCCTCTATTTAAAAATTAAAATGCATTCTACTTGTAAAGAATCTAAAGTATTTTTACTTTCCTCAGTATCTTACTTATCTGCTGATAGTAATATTCCATTAAAGTTTGTTGAAATAGCTATGTGTGTACTATGTGTGGAATTTTCTAGTTACTGGTGGCAATTACGCAACAGAAGAACCATGAGAGCATACAGAACAGAAAAAAAGAGGTGGATATGTTTTTAAAAATCTTTACTAAATATTTCAGAACAATTCAGTAAAAGAAGAAAATGGATTTTGACCACTAATACTCACCAAGGTGCAAAAAAAAGGCCAGTTGAAATTGCATTCTTTTGTCAGGAGCTGATTAAATTCAATTTTGCTAGGGTAAAAAAAAAAAGAAAAGAGGTTAAAGTCAATCACTGACAGAATCAATAATTGCCATTAATTTTCAATGATTTGAAAATTTGACGATTCTTTAGGGGCACAAAATATCTACAGTGTCCAATTTCTTAAAAAGTAGGAGTATATAAAATTTTTACCCAATATTTGTTTTCTATTTTCTTGAATTCAAAGAATACAATAGTTTGTAGGAGCTAATATGAAACAAATATGCTTTCCTTTGTATATTTTTATTTTAACCTATTTTTGCCCTTTTATTGTTTAGAAAAAAATTTTTAATTATGCAATCAAGATGTACTCATTCTTGAAAAAGTAGAAAAATCAGACAGGCAAAGTGAAGGAATTATTATCCGTAGTACTACCGCCCAGAGACAGCAGTTAATATCTTGCTGTGTGTTTTTCCATAGTGCTTCCCTTTCACATAAGAATTTTTAAAAAATGATAACATACTGTATGCTTGTTTCAATCAACGCATCTCAGACATCTCTCTGTGCCAGCAAATATAATTTTACATCAGTAATTTTTCAGCCTAGTGAGGGACAACAGGATCACCTGGGGGCTTCCATAGACCAAACCTGTATCCCCATTTGCAGATTCAGCTATGTCCCTCTGGATGGAGGGCGCCGCCAAGTCACTCTGTGGGGGAAGCCTGATAGAGATGGGCATATACCAGCCTGGTGGGGTTGGGAGGAGAGGAGGTAAAATGCTCTCCTGCACCAGTATTTTTAAATTACTGGACAGTATTCCTCTGAAGGCAGGAACCAGAATTAATTTAACGAATCTCCTCTTGGTCGATGTGTGCATTGTTTCTAGTATTTTCCTGTTGTAGGTATTTTTGCTAAATCTTTCTTCACATCCTGAATTTTCCCCAGGATATATTAAGTGGAGTGGGAAGAATGGATCAAAGAGCATGTGTGGTTTGGGTGTCTGTGTGCACACAAACATACATGTGTAAGTCAAGAGTACATACACACATGCATACATACATACTACATGTATGTAGCATGTGTGTGTATACAGCTGATACTGCGAACGTGCCGTGTGGACATTTTGTCCCAGTGCACACTCTAACCGACAGTCCATGAGAACAGCTGCTCACTTGTGACCTTCCCAACACGGAGTATTATGAATTTTTAAAGATTTGTCCATTTAAAGAGCAAAAAATTCTACCTCATTGTCATTGTTTTAATGTTTCTATTTAGATAGTAGTGAGTATAAAAATGCTTTTCCATGTATTTACAGGAGAGAATTAATTTTGTGCTTCGATCTTTACAGGCTTTTCCTAGCGAATTCTTTGTGTTCCTCCCTGCCAAAGCTCTGAGTCCCGCTAACCTGACGTGCCAGGCTTTCTGCTCTCCGAACCCTTCTCTTATGCTCTTCGCTTTGCCTCGAATGCCACCCTCCTAAACTCAAGCACCAGCCTCCTTATGAAGTCTTTTGTTTAAATGCCTGATTTTAGGGGAATTCCCTTCTGTGACCCAAGCTCTTCCCCCAGCCTGGGCTTCACTTGGACCTCCCGATGTCCTCAGATGAGTCACTGGGAAGCACTGCCCTCCGCAGCATCTCCGATTGAAGATGGGTCCTATTCCTCATACAAGCCTGCGATTCTGGACTGCTCCCTGCGTACAAAACCTTGTCAAGACCTCCAGGAGAATCCAGAATGGAGCCTTCAGGAGGTCCCTTTTGTACAGGAAAACCCGAGTGCTTTTCCTGGGTGGTGCGTCTTCTTGTCGCCTTTTCCCCAGTCAGGGCGTGTGGCTTGGGCCCCTCCCTCAGCTTCACTCTTGATACTGTGAAATCCCCGCCCTGATGTTGTCCTGGATTCAGAACCCCAGCTGCACTTCATTCCGTCAGATGCAGGATGATTAACAACGTGGTTATCCTTCCAGTAAGAATGGGCAGCACAAGTGAAGTGTGCAAGTTTTCTTCTCCATAACCAGAGAAATTAAGCTCGGTGAGATCATGATGCATGTGAAGAGCCTACAGTTCAGGGTTTGAAATGACCTAGGCTCGAGGTTGCTCAAAGTCGTGGAAATTACGCAGGAAATACCGTGAGCATCCCTGCTTCTCTCCAGTGGGAAATCCACTCATGGCGCAGATTCCAAACTGAAACACTGTTCCCAGTTACAGACTGTGGGCTAAAGTCTCCCTCCCCTGGGAAGGATGCGAAGGGCACAATTCTAACCGCCCAGGTTTAGAGAGAAAGGAGAAGACCTGCTGTGTTGACCACAACAGGAGCAAAAGCTCATGTGAAGGGAATGCCTTTGGAGACACAACCGTAAGAGATTCTTAACCACAGGAAACAAATGGAGGGTTGCTGGAGAGGAGGGGGTGGGGATGTGTAATTTGTTGATAGACTGTGGGGAGGGTATGTATTGTAATGAGCACTGGGTGTCATATAAGACTTATGAATCACAGACCTGGACCCCTGAAATGAATAATACGTTATAAGTTAATTAATTGAATTTAAATTTAAAAAAGAAAAGGAAAAAAGAAAAGCAAGGGATGCCTTTGGCAGAGCACTTGGGGGGACAAATCTTTCTCAGTATCACCGTTCATCACACATCTGTGACGTAAATGGACTCCTGGGAATTTTGTCAGTTTCCTAAGTATCTTTAAGCAGCAGCAAAGATCATGATACAAGGAAGTGAACTTTGCAGCATGCATCTGCCAGGTTCCAGCCCAACCTGCCCCAAAGAAGAAAGAACTAGAAGAACCGAAGCTAGACTAAAATAGGTACAATTCCCTTACTCATAATTGCTCAACGCATATCACCAGCTCCTCGGTGCAGAATTCCTAGGCTTATCGCCAGTTCCCCTGCCGGCTGAGCACCTCCACAGCCCTGGCCGCGGCAGCTCAGACACCCCCAGGAAGATTATTTTTTCATCACTTCTTTTTAAAAAGACTCATTTATTTTCTGACACAGTACGCATAACATAAAATCTACCATCTTAATCATTTGGAAAGTGGTTAAATACATTCCCGTTGTTGGGCAAGCCAATCCCCAGAACTCTCACCATCTAGCAAAACAGAAACTCTGGACCCGTGAAAGAGCTTGTCACTCTCCAGTCCCCGCAGCCCCTGGCAACCATCGATCGGGTTTCTGCCGCTATGATCTGACTACTCCAGGTACCTCCTACAGGGACAATCACACGGTATCTGTCTTTTTGTGACTGGCTCATTTCACTTAGTATACTACTTTCGGTGTTCACCCGTGTTGTGGCACATGTCAGATTTTCCTTCCTTTCTAAGGCTGAGTAATATTCCATTGTATATACCCGGGGAGATTTTTAAGCTATGGATGCTCAGTCGGAATGGCTGGAGGGGGACCCAGCTGTCAACGTGTCCACATTCTAGGTAATTCCAATAAGCAGGAAAGTGTGGGAGCCGCTGAGGGTTACTGTGACCCAATTTGCTTAGACCAGAATGTTGAGGGTCATCCTTGATCCCTCCCTCTCAGGCTTCCCAATCTAAATTTGATCTCCTCTCCTTAAACAGTTGTTCTCAATGTGTGGCCTGTGGTTTTAACAACGTGACCAGTTCATCCCAGTGTCTTTGGGATGCCCCTTGGTCCGGGCAAATTCTCAAATGTCGGTCACCCTCCTGGATTAGTGGCATCAGTGTCACCTGCAAATGATCAGGCCCCGGCACAGACCCACCGATTCAGAAAGTCTAGGGATGGGACCCAGCACCGTAGGCTTTTACAAAGCCCTCCAGAGAAGGCTGAGGTATGCCCAAGTTTGAGAACCGCTGCTCATCAGTAACTCCTGGGTCTAAAGGCTGAAGACCAGAGCTGCTGCTGCTCCTGGGAACAGCCGTAACACCGCACGAGAACCTAATCTGTGCCGTGTGCATTCCCCGCTATCTGCCTGGCTGGGAGTGGGGGGGGGGGGGGGGGGGGGGGGGGGGGGGCAGGTCCCCCACTTAAGGCACTGCAGGTCCAGGCTGTGGTACTGGGGGGACAGAGTGGGCACCTCCACTGAGCTCTGCCTCAGCTAGACGTTCCCGTCCGAATGTGCCCGCTCTTCTTAGAGCTTGCTCCATGAAGGCCTTCTTTTTCTGGTTCTCTATATCCCAAAGTGGTTCTTCCCATTTGACTAGCAGATTTTTATATTATTAATGAGCTTCCAGGGAGAAAACAGTAAAAACAAGAGTTCGCTTTCTTTCTTTCCTATATGAGGTCTCTCCTTTGGAAGGATCCCATTTCTGAGTGGGGGGTACCCTCATCTCCACAGCACTTATGACCTCTTTTAAGGCATAAAGTATATTCTGCTCTTTAGTTTTTGGTAACGTCTTGACTAAGATGATTCACGTATCATAAAATTCACCCTTACAGTGCTTTTAGTTTTTCAGAGTTGTGTAGCCATCACCACTCCCTAACTTGAGAACATTTTCCTTACCCCGGTAAGAAATCCCATACTCTTGGCATTAACCACCGCCCCCGCCCCCCCGCCCCCCGCCATCTGCCTCCTCCTAAAGCCCCTGGAAACCATTATTCTATTTGCTCTCTCTGTGGATTTGCCTGTTCTGGATACTTTATGTAAATGAAATCATGCAACATATGGTCTTTTGTGACTGGCTTCTAGTGAGCAGAATATTTTCAAGGTTCACCCACATTGTAGCCGCTATCTGCACAGCAATCCCTTTTTATTGCTGAATAATATTCCATTATATGGATATACCACTTTGTTTAGCCATTCATCAGTTCATGGACAAAAGTTTTTCTCTACTTTTTGGCTATTATGGAGAATGCTGCTATGAACATTTATTGACAAGTTTTTATATGAATGTACGTCTTTTCATTTCTTTGGGATAAGTGCATAATCGTAGAAAAACACTCTGTTTCTTAAACAAATGTTATGACCTCATCTAAACGTTCCTCATAGACTGTAAGCACTTGAAAGCCAACAATCATCTTCTTGTCCCCAGAGGTATGGAGAAAAATACCAAACACATTTGCTAACACATATGCCAACTGCATATGTAGCCTTCCAGCTTGATTTTTATTACTGTCTCTCTCTTACGAACTTCACCTCATCTGTCCTGACTTGAAGGCCTTGACTGTGTCCTGGGTGGGGCCCATCCCTGCTGGGGCTGCTTTGGCCTTGTTTTCACGATCCCCATGACAAGTGCCAGTCCTGGGTGTTCCCTGATGAGGCCCTTTCTCTGCCTCTTCCCCCTCCACATCATTCTGTGGCTTCTAGTTTTTGATGTTCTCCGTGTTTCCATAGGTTTTTGCTTTCCAGAGTCATAGTGTGAATCTAGAGGTGTCTTTAAACCTAAAGGTTTAAAGCCTGTAACAAGAGGCACTTGGGAGATCTGTGGGGCTACAGATGTAACCACGATCCACACTCCCAATTTTGTTTTCATATCACAGCTGGAAGAAACTCTAAAGTAGCTCAGCCATTCCGAGTCCTTGTCTCCATTTAGAATTGATCTAGAACTTTGCTTAGGGAAACAATCCTGAATCACATCCTGTGGAGGATTTATAGCTTTTCAGGTCAAAAGAACTGGCCTGGGGTGGAAGCCTCCACATGTGGGGGTCTACAGGGCCCAGTGGCGTGTTGGGTAGAAAATGGGCTGGGGTCCCAGGCTTCCTTTCCTCCAGGGGAGTAGTGGGAGTGGTCCCAAAGGAAGGCCAACATTGGGGTTTTAAATCCTTTAATCCAGCTATCTCTGAAATCCCTGAGGCCCAAGCTACAATGAGGAGAGTTAATTCTGATGAATTTAGGCTACTGAAAATATTCTCCCTGAAATGTCCAACAAAATGTGCCAAAGGGACTTCAATCATCCCCCATTTTCTTATTTCTCTGTGTCACTTTTCAATGGGTTCTTGGCATTCTGTTAACCAATTCATTCCTTCTATCTTCCCTCACTCCAGCCTACCTCCTGAAATAGAAACTCCTTCCTTCTCAGCGAAGGTGGATTATGGCTGATCCCTGTGATTACGCTGGAAAGGCTGAGGCCCAGATCAGCTTTCCTGCTTCTCCTGTGCGCAGCGGGTTCTCAGGATCCGTTTGCCCAGCAGAGAACACAAGGTCTGCGGACATTTGTGGCTGTCACACTGGGCAGGGGTATCTACTGACATCTAGTGGACAGAGGCCAAGGACAAGGCTGGAGAGTCTCCTACAGATGGCAGCCCCATCCCCCTAAGGAAGGATTATCCAGCTCCAAATATCCATAGTGTCCTTAGTCAGGCTCTTGTCACCACACCCTTCATTTCCATAAGCTTCTTAGGTCTGGTCCTTGATCCCAGTTTTCTGTTTCCCATTTGAGATGATCTAAGTCCCAAGCTAGATGAGTGTTAAAGAGTCTATTAACTTTCACAAAGTCTGATTTCTGAAAATCAGTCACTGTGAAACACACGGCTGTCCAGAGCACATTTTTGGGCGCGGTGGTCATGTCCCCCATACCTTCCTTCAGCAGGCTTTCTGCTTCATTGGTGCTGCTTTTCTGCTTGCTGTACCAGACCTGACCTTTGTGAAGCTTCCCAGAGGCCACATGCAATTTCTTTCTTGCTAAAGTCACTGGTGAGTTTAAGTGATATTTGTAAAAGTAATTGGAATGAAGAAAAATATATATCACCCCTTATTTGCAGAAAGAGCATGTAAATATATTTACAAAGGCACCGGATGCATTTTGGTGATAGTTCAGTGAATGCCGCCAGAGGACCCTGGTCCCAACTATAGTAAGCGTCACAATAAACAGTGAAGTACGTGAAATTGACAATAACTAATTTCCCAGCATTGCTAATCGATTTTAATTTACTAACAATCACCATTATCTCATCTGCCTGCACTGGAAGGCTGTGCTCAAGGTGACAGCTTGTCAAAGAGTTTCTTCTCTTTTTTTTTGTCAAAACGATGTGGAGGAAGGCAACAAATGGGGACACCAGGGGTTATTTAATGTCAAGCTGCCCAGGAGTGTCCAAACACTGCCCTAGGCAGAGTCACCGGTGCAAAGAGTGAGTGGGAAACAGCCTTTCTGCAGGTTTCCTTCTGCGAAGTGCACAGTAATCTTTAACACGGGGGACAATTATAATCCACATATTTGTACTAGCCCTTAATTCTTTTTCCAGCACACATTTTAAATGGGTTATTTTACACATTTGAAAATGACAGTTCTCATAGAAATCTTATGTTTAACTTTCCCTTATCTGTGTAACACATTTTTTCCTCTCCTACATTACATCAGGAATCATTAGATATTTCGACTGTGCTGCCTTAAATTGTGTCGCAGTGAGGAATGCAGAACATGAAGCTATAAAGCTCTCTTCCCCTTAAATTACAGCATACACCATACTTTCCTCAAAACTCACTACTAGTACGTACCTAAGATATTAACGATGCATTCTTAAGATACGGTTAGTTCTACACAATTGGAATGTTTTCCCAACTGTCCCAAGTTACAGCGCCATGGTAAAAATAACTATTCACCTAATACACAATTTAAATTGTGCTGCTGAACATTGCATCATTCGAAGCTTCCTTTAAAGAACAGAAAAGCTCCAGGCACTGGCTGCACCCCACTCGCCGCTAAGCACCCATTTTTCCCATTGGATATTGTACCGTGTGTTCATGTCTTGTGTATACATGTTATCTGATTATCATTCTGTGAAGGTAGTAAGTACACTCCATGCTCTGATATACTACACTCTACGCTGGCTCCCCTCATACACAACAAATCCTGAATTTGCTGATACCTTCACTTAATCCCCAAACTGCCAATGTGTCAGGGAGAGAGAAGACTCACCGGGACTTGCAAGGCTGTGTTGAGAGGCGCAGGCTGCAAACAGGGCGTGTAAAGGCACACCTGAAAGTGAGAGTCAATTTAAGCAGAAAACCTCTCCCCCGGAGGCACCTACAGGGAGGGGAAAGAAAAGATGAGAAATGTTCCCGAACCTGCCATAAAAGGTGATGCGTGAAGTTACTTGCCTTGGGTTTTGACTTGCCATATGCGCGTGCCTGCACAGGTGTGCGGGCATGCACGCACACACTTACACACACACAAACACCGTGTATACAGAGGCAACGAGCTCTATTTTGCAGCAAACATTCTTCATTTATATGCCAAAGCAAAGGCTGGGAGGAGTTGAATCAGGGTTACAACAACAAACTGCAACTTTCTTACCAAATTTGTAACTAACGTTGCAGCTTCCCCTTAGCTGCTACTGCAGCGGGAAAGTAAGAAGGAAGACTCCGAGCATCAGAGGCTCATACTGGGCCCCGCCAGGCAAGCGGGGCCCAGGCTTTCTTGAGGAATGAAATGTCCGCTCTAAATCTCTTCCTAGCAAAACTGTAGGCACATTGAAATACTTGCCGATAAGCATACTCCTACTTACCATCCTAATGCATTACAAAGTAAATCTCACCCTGCAGAAGAGTGGTTGATAAACACAACTGTTTTTATTGTTCACTAACTTGTAAAGTCTTTTGCTTGCCCATCGGGCTTTGCCTTCAGATACCAGGCTTCTGGTGCTTTGGAGAAAACAATCTGTGTCTGATGAAAGAAAGAGCGAGACCAGAGCGAGACAGTCCGCGGAATACTTTGGCTCCTAGAATTTGGGTAGTAAACTTACTCTCTACAAATGCAACATTAAGACAAAATTAACTAACCCATTTCACTGACTTATACCGGCATCTGTCAAAGAGACGACATGGCAGAGAAGATCAGTCTTTCCACATCCACTCAGCCTTGAAAATCATCTCTTTCTACTTTTATCCAGATACTTGGGTAGCACATGCTCTGCTATGAAAATTCTGGAAACACTATCCTGTACCTCCCAGGTTGGGAGTGATCGGCTTGGTTGCTCCATTATTTAATTGTATTTGACTGCATCGGTGAGTCATTAAGCAAACAATGTTTATGTTGTTACATACCAAAGAGATAAAACAAAACATTCTTGTCTCCTACCTTCTCCTTAAACATCGGTGTTTCCCCTGGGCTTTACCACCTGAGCACTCTGAGTGTGTATTCCTCCGGCAAATTCATTCAGAGGGTTTCAGGGCTCGAACCCCTTCTTTATCTCCAACCCCACCTACTTCCTGAGCTTTGATTCCATGCTCCCACCTGCCTACTGACACCTCTCTCGGGCTGACTCACCAGCACCTCAAACCTAAGACTTTCACAGTTGAAGTCTTCTGCTGTTCCAACCCCTCCCTCTTCCTCATCTTCCTAACTTCTCAGTTAATGGCGCCTTTATCCAGTCTTTTGTCCAAGCTGGGAACCTCAGCTGTGCTGAATTCCATGCCTCCTGCTTCCATTGCCCTGAGACATAAAATCACACTCTCTGAGCGCAGCCTGGGGTCTGGTGACGAACAAGGACATGGTCTTCCTCTGCTTGCCCCAAAGTTCCTGTGGTTTCCCCCTCAGCACAGACGCGTTTGATGGCCCGTGGCACTGTTAGTGACTTCCCTTGGGCCTTGGCTTGCTGGCACTGGGACACCGTCCTGTCCTCTTAGAGGGCGATTGCGGGGCTCACACTGGATCTCAGAGCATCACCAACGGGAGGACTTAAAGGCTCTGTCCTCACGGGGCTTCCTTCAGGTTCCTGTCCATTTGGAACAGTCCCCGGGTCCCACTGTTTACCCCCATCCCCACCCCCGCCCCTGCATTGTCAGTCAGCAGGTCGAACCTTTCACTTGCTTTACTCTTAAGATCCTGTCTAGTAGGGTGCAGAAAGGTGGGGGTGCTGGGGGAAGAAGGCTAAATATTACTGACTGGACTGTTTCACTTTGCTTACAAAGAACAAATTTAATTAATCTCGTGGCCAGGTCTTGATGACCAAAACAGAGTTACGTCTGCCTCAATCACTCAAAGCAGAACATTTTGAAACATTACATTTTTGGCTGGACAAAAATTTTGGAAGGTGACTCTTCCCGAGAATGGTCCGATAATATTATGAAGGAAAACTCCCAAATGCTGCTAAGTCAGGTGTTTTTCTGCACTTTTTCTTTCTTTAGCCTTACCTCGATATATTCGTTGGGCTGTCATCACTTCTGACAGGTTCTGTTGCCTATATTTTTTTAAATTTAAGTAATTTATTTAAAGAGTGTGCACACATACACACACACACACACACACACACACACACACACACGCAGGAGCTGGGGGGAGGGGCAGAGGGAGAGGATCCCAAGGAGACTCCCTGCTGAGCACGGAGCCCAACCCTCCAGGGGGGTGGGCGGGGCTAGATTTCAGGACTCTGAACCCAGAGTCAGACCCTCCCTGGATCCACTGAGCCACCCAGGCGGCCTACTGTTGCCCAGATTTTATCCTTGCGTCTTCTGAGCCAGTCATCCTTGTCATCACCAAAGAACACAGATTTAGACTTGTGGGTTCTTTGCTGACAGACCCTCACTGGCTGCCTTTCACTAACAGGATCCACGTTTCTTAGCGTGGGGCAGGACAAAACGGGTTTACGGTCTGGCCCCAACACCGCTTTCCGCCGCGCCTGCCGGAGAGCGAGGCTCTGCTCACTGTCTGGACACATCATGCACTCGGGTGACTCCGGCCATTTCCTCCTGTGTGACACCGTTCTCCCCTCTCCACTTTTCCTTTAGCTGCCACCTTCTATAAAGCTTTTCTAGAGCCCTCCGGGGAGAGCAGGCTGTTCTCGCTTTAGAAGCACAACCATATGCTGCTGGCAGCCTCCCCCTCATTCCTCTGAGCAAGGTCAAGGACCACAGAGAGGACCATCCTTATTGTTCTGCCTCTGACTCAGCGGCTGGGCTCTCCTGTTTCCCTTGCCCAGAAGCCAGGGGCTCAGTCCCAGCAGGTAAAGTCCTGTGTACCCTGGGATCTTCATCATCCACAGACTCAAGGTCCAGTGCTCTGGGGCCTCGTGCTGGGTGTTCTAGTGGCCACCAGGGGCAGCACTTTTGACGTGCAATGCACACTTCCCTTCCACCTGTGTTGGCCTGTTCTGTACGGCTGGGCTTCTGTCGCGGGTCCCTTTAAGCATCCGACTCTTGATTTTGGCTCAGGTCATGATATCAGGGTCGTGAGACTGAGCCCCGCGTTGGGGTCCGTGTCCAGTGGGGAATCTGCTGGAGATTCTCTCTCTCCCTCTGCCCCTCCCTCCACTCCGGCATGCGCTCTCCCTCCCTCTCTCAAATTAAAAAAAGAAGCTGCTCTCTTACTCTTCGCGGAGAGAACAAACTGATGGTTACCAGAGGGGAGGTGGGTGGGGTATGGGCTAAACAGGTTTTGGGGCTTAAGGAGTACATCGTGATGATCACCAGGTGTTATATGGACGTGTCGAATTGCTCTATTGTACACCTGAAACTAACATTACACCGTATGTTAACTAGCTGGACTTTAAATGAAAACTTGAAGAAAAAGAAGCTGCTCTCTTGGCTGGTCTTTGTAGCTAAGAGAGCCTGTCATGTACCCTTCTGTGATGAATTCCCTCGGGCATGACCATCCACCCCCACAGGTGTTTTGACCAGGGATTTAAACTATACCACACAGTATTCCCAAATGCCAGGCCGTGCAGGGCACACAGTATGAGTGAGTGAGGCGTCATTAAGCTGCAGAAACTGCTAACAAAATTATATGGAAACCCCTTTACATCAGAAAAATCGAAACCCCTGAATTTAGGTTTGGAACTTACGGTCTAATATTTGGGGCCATGGGATCTGAACTGCTTTCTGTTGGATTTTTAACAGGCATGATAAGTTAGCTGAGTGGGTGGCACAGAAAAGTCATCCAAGGGCATTTGCATTGAGTAAAACATTCAAGGTGAGAGAGTGACAATTTTCTCTAGTGTCTAGTAACTTAGAATGGCGGGAAAATTCTTCCAGCCCTCATAACGCCCTGTGGTAATTTAAAGCAACTGTTATTTCTCCTATCAGTCACGGTTTGCCTCTTCCACAAAATGTCATTCTCTTTTGTTTTTTTTTTTTTTTTCTTCCTCATTTCTTAGACTTCCTTTGTTTCCCCCTCTTAGAGTTCTCCTTTTCTCTGAAGCCGATCCACATCGCCAGGGATAAGGCAGGAATATCTTGTTCCCTGTTTTGTTCATTCATTTTTTTCTGGTTCATGCTTCTGTCGCCATTTTCAGGCAGCTTGATACTTACCAGCTGTTACATGTGCTGAACTCCAGGGGCTTGTTTCTTAGAAATGGGGGAGCCAAACTCACCCCAATCTACTTCCAGGGGATCAGGTGCAATATTTTCTTCTTGCTTTTCAGTGCTCTGTCAAGTCCCGACTCTTTGGGATCGCCTTAACTGTCAACATCTTCTGTTTGCCTTGTGAGTGGCCAAGTACAACCATTGCAGGAATTACAGGTGTAAATGGCTCCGGACGCCATGTTTATTTCATTGTCCTACAAAGATCTCCAGGGCAAAAATGAAACTAAGAGCCTGCAATTTTACTCAACTGTATATTAAAGAATCCATGACCCTTGGACTCTGCAGTGTCAGCTGGGTATGCTTGCTGGTGGCTCGAAAAGACAACTTTGGGATTCCTACCAGTTCATCGAAGGCAATGGCTGTGAACTGAGCAACACCTGAGAATCCTTTTTTATACAATATCGACTAGTACGAGAAAAGATTCAACCAACTTTCCTCCACCGTTAATTTTATAGACCTGTAAGTGCTTTTAGAAGAGTTTACCAAAGTTTCTTATCTGTTATTTCTGTGTTCCTATTTACTGCTGAACTTTAAATCGATGCCCTTTGTTTTTAATGGGTTCCCTTGAGGTCAGATTATGTGTTCACTTCGGACATCCTGGAAAGCAACTCCTAGAAGACTAGATGACTAAGCCAGAGGAAGCTTGCCGTCAAGAGATGCTGCATTAATTTGGTTCATGTGCTTCTACAAACCTTCAAGTTCCCCCA